AGCTTGCCAGAGTATAACTACAATCGCCCGAAATGGCATCTTCGGCGGCGATATCGAACTCACTTATTAACGCAGGTATCGGGATCGTTACGACGAGAGAAATAGCTTGCTCGATTTCGGGTGATCGCATGCGCCGTCTTGGATGACAGTTGGTATAGTTTGGAGGACCTTAAGGTTACTGTGGCGTCGTAGTGACGTAATTTTCGAATGACGTAGTCAGATGGGAGTTAAGAATATCATATGTAATATTGTATTTTTTTTTGGCCCCATTTTTTTATTAATAATGATAGAAATGCAGCGGTAGAACTCATGCCATAGTACTAGACTAGCTGTAGCTTTGAGGTGGATGCCAGGTAATAGCGTAGTAGACGTCATGTCATATGACGTCGCCATTCTGAGCCCAAACAAAGTAAATAGACTTCTCGACGAGGACTTTCACAAATATATCGCAACATACCCTCTCAAGCCTTGGGCGTTAGATATATACCAATTACTTACAGTGCGCATGTCGCGAAATAGCTATAGGTTGACCATGCCTTGTTTGGAAGATAAACAGCTAACAAATTGTTGCACAAACAGCCGTCAGGCTGTTGCAAGAACTAAGCGCTGGTTGTTGTGGTCATATCGAGTATCCGTTTTAGACGCCGCAGTACTACATGCCTAATATGGCAAACTATACTTATACGTCATGCGACGCAGCATTTTTGAGCGGCAGACAAGCAGCATATAAACAAGCTGTCGTTATGGCAGCGCACTATGCTATTCGAGCACGTCGGTGATAGTCGCTACTGCAAAAATTTTGCCTCGACGATTCAGCATATCCTTGTAAGATTGGGATTAATGAGTAGAACGCCACAAGCCGGCAAATATTGTCTGTTTATTTACTTTGGTGCTACTACGAGATACGTGTAGTACTAGTCACCTACATATAGGCACGTATATATATGAATTAGCTTAGTATTGAGAAAATGATTATTTCTGCCGAGTTTTGTAGTACTTTCTGACGTGTTGTGATATATACTACGTCGTCCACGAAGGAATTGAGCTGCTGCGGTTTGTGTAGTTATTATACAAAACAAATATACATTGGAAGAACAAATTGCAAATTAATTAAGATTAGATCAAATAAGTCATGTCCTCCCACACTAATTTGTATTTATTTTTTACTTTATGTCGTATCAGTGCGTTACAATAAGAAACGTTTTAGTTAAAATCGATGAAACGCAGAAACAGCCCAAATGGAAGAAATTTTGCTGAAATACGAGCCTTGTTACCCCCAGAATGCGTTCCCATTTGGGATAAAATGATGAGCATTGATATGTCAGAATTTTTTACTGTCAAGAAAAAGACTTTACCCATTGAAGACTGGAAAGGGCATAAAATGCAACCTTCATTCAAAGCTGAAACCGTCCGGTTTGCTTATGAAGATTGGACGCCAAGAGAAGGCGACGTATTCGTTGTGGCCTATCCTAAAACAGGTATAAAATTTATAGTAGTCTTGTATTATTAAATATTTTTGGGATACCATAGATCTTGTGGGATGTAGGTCTTGTTTGCGAAAAAAGGTAAAGACTAGTTTTAACATAAATCGTCTAAACTCTAATTAATATAAATTTTTATATTTATCCAACTATTAGTTGTTGCGCATCTTTTGCGTCGCAGACCATAGTCTAGGGACAAAACATATTGTTTGGATCGGACAGTCAAGATTAGATCTCCTGCCGTATTTGATAGTACATTAACATAGTTACCCAATTGATTATATATAAGCACGTCGGGGTTTGTATTAAAAAGGGGCGAGAGACAAGTCAGAACGTAATAGCGTATAATAAAATACTGTAGAACTGTGACGATCAAGTCGGCAATAAAATATCAATTGTGTGCTGGTGAAATCTGATATTATTGTATTCGATGTTGGTGGTTGGGGATGCGGATCTGGCAATCGAAAATGGAGGGTGCGGTAGAGATCAAGCTAATAAATAATTGGACCGCTCCAATCTGCCTCTACATTACACAACACGAAAACAATATATATATGATATTGGTCAAAAGAGCATATCAACAAATCCAATTTACTTGCCTGAGTTATGTTTCAAACAAACTTATTTCCCCCGAGGTTTCCGCTAACAAGACGGCGCTTAAAAATAGTCGTGTTGGTATGATCATGGTAGTGAGTTAATTTTGAAAATGTTTTCTCGCATTTTTGCTTGGCCGAATTCTCTATGGGTTTTTAAAATATCCACATTGAAGCCAGTCATCTACCCATCTCTTATTACAGGACTAAATTGGACAAACGAAATTGTAAAACAATTGTTATACTTTGGACAAGAACGAGACTACAGAATAATGTCAAGTCAGGCAATGGTCATGAGCCTTATTGAAGGAGGGTGGTGTAAGCTATGTTTTCATTTTTCATTCTCATTCGAGAACCATGATTACAATCTAATCATCTTTAATTACTATTCTCTAATAAATGACAAGGTTTTAGTTGAATATTTGATTCAATTTGCTATCTTTGTGATAATCGACCAATGGCCGAACTAAAGTTGCCTACGGCTCTTTATCGTTTATAATTTTGTCTTTGCAGCTGAAAAATACAAAATATTTGATGCAATGCCATTAAAAAGAAGAATATTATGCACACATTTACCTGCACCAGTGATAAATGTCGACAAAATCAAAAAGTCAACGCGAAGGTAAACATTTCAAAAAATGTATTTCACCCATCTACTCAATACGATATGTTATGTTTAGTTTAACGAGGCGTCCTTACACAGTATACTCTTTTATTCCACATTTTAGTAAAATCAGTGTGTTATATATATATATATTATTAGGGAGTGGTTTCATATATATATTTTGGTTCTGAATTAAAAACACCCGTTTTGTGCCCGAACTACTATATATATATATAACTATTTGTTTTTTATATTTCCTGGCCTGGAAAATTTTTGTCAAGAAAGAGTTCTATTATTATAAACCATTTCGCTGCTCTCGCGAAAATTTCAGTTACTGTTCTTCTTAGGTTGTCTACGGTGTTGCGCAAATCCCAAAGATCAAGCAGTGTCCTGGTTTACTTCATTCAAAGTTGCCGAATCTACAAATCGATACCGCTAGATAAATTATTTGGATCAGACTGGGCTACTTTTCTGGACAGCTTTATTGCGGGTATATATTTAACATTTTTATCTTGCCATTTGAGTAGTATATGACTTCACTTTTTGTCGGCGACTTTGTCAAGCATGTATGTATATATATGTGTGTGTGTGTTTGTGGGATTAGTGTGTGTGATTTCTTCAAAAATATATGCACGATCGTGTCATTCCTGTGTGCCTGAGATACACTTTTACCGGAATTCAGAGAACATTTTTTTTTATATTTAGGCAAAATGCCCATCGGTATGCGTGACGGGGAATGGTATTTGGACCATATTTTAGGATGGCTACAGCATAGAGACGATAAGAATGTGATGTTTTTCTATTACGAAGATATGAAACAGGTATGTACAAAAATGAGATCTCATAACAACACATCTTCTGCCATTTTATCATTTATTGCTATATGTTTAAGTTTATATATATATATATATATCAAATGTTATAGAATCCGGTAAAAGAATTTAGCAGAATGGCGAAGTTTTTGGATTTAAATCTCACTGAAGAAAACATACGAGAACAGTTTGCCGAGAAAGTTTGGCCTTTTCGCGCATGAAAACATCAGATCAAAAAAAGCGGAAAAGAAAATGTTGAATCAAAATTTGCAGAAATCAAACTTGGAATACTTAGAAAAAGGTGAGGCGTAAATTCAGTAGCAGAAGTCTGCTTTAATGTCAGCACACAGTTTAGTTCCAAACAGATTGTTCTCGCCATTTTCAAAAAATCTTTTAAATCAACGCGTTTTCAATTTTTTTTAATTGTTGAATTGTTAATTAAGAAGTTTAATGAGCGTGAGAAATGTGTTATTCTCTTTTTCTTTTAAGTATTCGTTGACTTTGTTTTGAACGAAAATATTAGATATATATACCGAATTTTTGTGCAAGCTAAGTTCTAAGAATAATTTAAAATATCGTATATATACATATAAAACGTTTTTCTATCAGGTGAAGTTTGGTGGTTGAAAGACCATTTCACGGTTGCTCAATCTGAACAGAATGGACAAAGAAGTGAAGAACAAACTTGGAAATACTGATATAAAATTCAAATACACTTTATAGTTAGATAGAAAAAAGTTGAAAATGAAGCACGTTTAAATACAAGTTATTAATATACCTAAATATATGAAATCATGTGTTTTCCTCTATAGCTGTGTTCGACTATATTTATATGCCTATATACGTTTGGGAGAAGCAAGCTAATTCGGCATGTTTTTAACACCGCTTTTGTACGCCTCTCAATACTTTGTGAATGTCGAAATCATAGCAGTTAACAAATAAAAGTGTGATTTTTTCAACTTTGGCATAAACTCTTGATCACAGCGCAGTATATGGGTTCGAGTCAGATGTGACTGCGTTGAATGTTAAAACCCAGGCAACGCAAAGGCGTGGGAAAATTGAAGAAATGTCTGTCCCATGACTGTTTATTTAAACCAAGGGGTAGGCATCATACGGCCTGCGGTATCCAGGTCCAGCCCGCGACGAGATTTGACTAGCCCGCTGACTGTATCCAACACACTCTGTAATGTGTCCGAACGCATCATTCCTGAAAGTTGCCGATCGCTCTACTCCCACCGCACTGGTCAGTGCGAGCTGGTGAAATAAACAATTGCTTTAGTGAACAAACCAATTGCGTTAGCACACTTGTTTAAACAATATAAGGTCAAAGCAGGGAGCGCTGTAAACATTCCCTAGCACTGTTATCAGTTATATTTAAATTCTAAATATTAAATAGATTTTAGAAATTAGATTTTATAGATATATATTAGGTTTTATTGACCATCGGAATATCCCAAGAAACGTACAGTTGACAGAGAGTGTCGAGCATTTAATAAAGATTGGATACCGAAGTATTTTTTGTAAGAATCCGACCAATCGAGGACTTCATTTTCCACATCTGGCCCGCCGACTAGAAAGTTGCCCACACCTGATTTAAACCTTTGGATAGTTGGATAGATATTGCTAGTCTTATAGTTTTGTATTTTATATATAGCATTGTTATATATGTAAACAATTTGAATAAAATATAAGCTTTTGAAGCGTTCAAAACAGACCTGCTAATTGACCTGAATTTTTTCAGTTGGGTTTGAGTTCGAATGGAAAGTATGTCACGACTCACGAATCTGATTTAATCTGGAGAATGTTTGCTCGCCAATACACAGGACAACCTTTGAGATTCAGTAAACTAGATTTGTTTTATTGTACAAAGCAACCTACCAAATAGTAAAAATGTAACGTCATCTCTACTATCATACAACACACAAAGCCAAATTATAATTCGCAATAAGGTGTTGTTATTAAAGTAAATGGGGACCAGGTGCAAGATGTAAATTTTATCGTATTGTGATCTTATTGAGAGTACCCTGCGCATATGATGGCCCTTCACCGTAATCTTCAGATAGCGATGTTGGTTGGTTAATTCGTTAATGCCATGCTCACCGACAACAACTGTTACGCGAATATAAAATCCCCGATTTTGTTACACAGAAACTTTATCCTAGTTTATCCATACTCCCTTTGTAAACGCTCGTCAGTCAGTGAAGATAATATTATGATTTTATTTTTTACCCCAGCAAGGAAGGATAGTTTATAGAAATCTTCATTTGTGGATATGTTAACAATTATCTGACGAATATATAGCTGAACCCAAATTATCTTGTAGAAAACGAGACAACCTTCCAACAGTTTAACTCTTTCACATTTTACATTCACGTAGCCTACAATAACCGTCAATCTTATACATAATCAAAATAGTGAATATTGGGGGGCTAACTATAATGACCTCGTGTCGTATAGCTTTCCCCGCCCCCCCCCCCCCCCCCCCCCCCGGAATAAATATAGAATTAGGAATAAAGCTATAAATACATGAAATAGCTTGGAAAGGTTGAGAAATATACAATTGGACCACCAGAATCAGAACAAAATTATTTTTAATTTTTGCCTGACCCCAAATCGCAGAATCATTTATTTTTGTTTGACTTCTGACATGTATGAACCGGAATGATAATAATAAGTATAATTATACAAGTTGATACAGAAATGTCTTGAATGTCCTAATAATTGTATGTGTGATGAATATTGTAAATCTGTCCATGGTATTACATACGGCCACAATAATTTTGCCCTGCCTTACACCGTTACACGAACCTATGAACAAGTACTAATGGTGCTTATAGCGCCTATCCATATGTCGTCGACCACCGCGAGGTCTTTTAATATAAAAGGCAAGTGAATGGGGCCTCTAAATCAAATTATATTTCTCCACGGCCTGAACTAGTTAACACCAAGTGCGATTCAGAAATGTTGCATAAGTTTGACGGAAGACTCATTTTGGCGCATGTTCCGATGTTCGGTAAACGACGTAAGGTACTTTTATTTGGCGTGGTACAACCATTTTGCATGTGTTATTCCTAACCCCACCTTGCTCTGTCACTCGAAGATTACTCACTACAACCTCACAATCACGTCAAAGAGCTTGCCAGAGTATAACTACAATCGCCCGAAATGGCATCTTCGGCGGCGATATCGAACTCACTTATTAACGCCAGGTATCGGGATCGTTACGACGAGAGAAATAGCTTGCTCGATTTCAGGGTGATCGCATGCGCGTCTTGAATGACAGTTGGTATAGTTTTGGAGGACCTTAAGGTTACTGTGGCGTCGTAGTGACGTAATTTTCGAATGACTTAGTCAGATGGGAGTTAAGAATATCATATGTAATATTGTATTTTTTTTTTGGCCCCATTTTTTTTTATTAATAATGATAGAAATGCAGCGGTAGAACTCATGCCATAGTACTAGACTAGCTGTAGCTTTGAGGTGGATGCCAGGTAATAGCGTAGTAGACGTCATGTCATATGACGTCACCATTCTGAGCCCAAACAAAGTAAATAGACTTCTCGACGAGGACTTTCACAAATATATCGCAACATACCCTCTCAAGCCTTGGGCGTTAGATATATACCAATTACTTACAGTGCGCATGTCGCGAAATAGCTATAGGTTAATCATGCCTTGTTTGGAAGATAAACAGCCAACAAATTGTTGCACAAACAGCCGTCAGGCTGTTGCAATAACTAAGCGCTGCTTGTTGTGGTCGGTGACCGTACATTTGAACCCATGTACATTTGAACCCATGCGTATATCCACGGGTTCAATCTATATGCGGGTGCTAAAACCCATGGGTTAGGGTTAGTATGGGTTTAACTATCCGTGAAACAAAAAAAATTCCATAGGTGCAATAGCATACAGGTGCAATTGTCATGGGTTCAAATGTACATGGGTTCAAATGTAATGGAACCGTTGTGGTCATATCGAGTATCCGTTTTAGACGCCGCAGTACTACATGCCTAATATGGCAAACTATACCTATACGTCATGCGACGCAATCAATCAATCAATCAATCAATCGTTTATTTTGTCATCACAAAAAAACACGTTCAAACATAAAGTGACACAATGAATAAATTACAGTACTAATGATGTTTTTGCGTGACTGGAGTCGCGAGGCACCTAAGAAGGTCTTCAAGCAGCGACACCTACAGCGCTACAGGTTAGAATAAATATAATTAAATGAGGGATAAAATGAATAAATCCTAGGAATAAGTCACAACTGATACAATTACAGCGACATTCGAAATGTATGCGATTATGACACAGTAAAACAGCAGCATTTTTGAGCGGCAGACAAGCAGCATAAAAACAAGCTGTCGTTATGGCAGCGTACTATGCTATTCGAGCACGTCGGTGATAGTCGCTACTGCAAAAATTTTGCCTCGACGATTCAGCATATCCTTGTAAGATTGGGATTCATGAGTAGAACGCCACAAACCGGCAAATATTGTCTGTTTATTTACTTTGGTGCTACTACGAGATACGTGTAGTACTAGTCACCTACATATAGGCACGTATATATATGAATTAGCTTAGTATTGAGAAAATGATTATTTCTGCCGAGTTTTGTAGTACTGTCTGACGTGTTGTGATATATACTACGTCGTCCACGAAGGAATTGAGCTGCTGCGTTTTGTGTAGTTATTATACAAAACAAATATACATTGGAAGAACAAATTGCAAATTAATTAAGATTAGATCAAATAAGTCATGTCCTCCCACACTAATTTGTATTTATTTTTTACTTTATGTCGTATCAGTGCGTTACAATAAGAAACGTTTTAGTTAAAATCGATAAAACGCAGAAACAGCCCAAATGGAAGAGAATTTTGCTGAAATACGAGCCTTGTTACCCCCAGAATGCGTTCCCATTTGGGATAAAATGATGAGCATTGATATGTCAGAATTTTTTACTGTCAAGAAAAAGACTTTACCCATTGAAGACTGGAAAGGGCATAAAATGCAACCTTCATTCAAAGCTGAAACCGTCCGGTTTGCTTATGAAGATTGGACGCCAAGAGAAGGCGACGTATTCGTTGTGGCCTATCCTAAAACAGGTATAAAATTTATAGTAGTCTTGTATTATTAAATATTTTTGGGATACCATAGATCTTGTGGGATGTAGGTCTTGTTTGCGAAAAAAGGTAACGACTAGTTTTAACATAAATCGTCTAAACTCTAATTGATATAAATTTTTATATTTATCCAACTATTAGTTGTTGCGCATCTTTTGCGTCGCAGACCATAGTCTAGGGACAAAACATATTGTTTGGATCGGACAGTCAAGATTAGATCTCCTGCCGTATTTGATAGTACATTAACATAGTTACCCAATTGATTATATATAAGCACGTCGGGGTTTGTATTAAAAAGGGGCGAGAGACAAGTTGCTTGGCCGAATTCTCTATGGGTTTTTAAAATATCCACATTGAAGCCAGTCATCTACCCATCTCTTATTACAGGACTAAATTGGACAAACGAAATTGTAAAACAATTGTTATACTTTGGACAAGAACGAGACTACAGAATAATGTCAAGTCAGCCAATGGTCATGAGCCTTATTGAAGGAGGGTGGTGTAAGCTATGTTTTCATTTTTGAATCTCATTCGAGAACCATGATTACAATCTAATCATCTTTAATTACTATTCTCTAATAAATGACAAGGTTTTAGTTGAATATTTGATTCAATTTGCTATCTTTGTGATAATCGACCAATGGCCGAACTAAAGTTGCCTACGGCTCTTTATCGTTTATAATTTTGTCTTTGCAGCTGAAAAATACAAAATATTTGATGCAATGCCATTAAAAAGAAGAATATTATGCACACATTTACCTGCACCAGTGATAAATGTCGACAAAATCAAGAAAGTCAACGCGAAGGTAAACATTTCAAAAAATGTATTTCACCCATCTACTCAAATACGATATGTTATGTTTTAGTTTAAAGAGGCGTCCTTACACAGTACACTCTTTTATTCCACATTTTAGTAAAATCAGTTGTTATATATATATATATATTATTAGGGAGTGTTTCATATATTTTGGTTCTGAATTAAAAACACCCGTTTTGTGCCGAACTACTATATATATATACTATTTGTTTTTTATATTTACCCTGGGCCTGGAAAATTTTTGTCAAGAAAGAGTTCTATTTATTATAAACCATTTCGCTGCTCTCCGAAAATTTCAAGTTTACTGTTTCTTCTTAGGTTGTCTACGTGTTGCGCAATCCCAAAGATCAAGCAGTGTCCTGGTTTAACTTCATTCCAAAGTTGCCGAATCTACAAATCGAACCGCTAGATAAATTATTTGGATCAGACTGGGCTACTTTTCTGGACAGCTTTATTGCGGGTATATATTTAACATTTTTATCTTGCCATTTGAGTAGTACGATATGACTACTCGTATATGACTTTACTTTTTGTCGGCGACTTTGTCAAGCATGTATGGGATTAGTGTGTGTGATTTCTTCAAAAAATATATGCACGATCGTGTCATTCCTGTGTGCCTGAGATACACTTTTACCGGAATTCAGAGAACATTTTTTTTATATTTAGGCAAAATGCCCATCGGTATGCGTGACGGGGAATGGTATTTGGACCATATTTTAGGATGGCTACAGCATAGAGACGATAAGAATGTGATGTTTTTCTATTACGAAGATATGAAACAGGTATGTACAAAATTGAGATCTCATAACAACACATCTTCTGCCATTTTATCATTTATTGCTATATGTTTAAGTTTATATATATATATATATATATATCAAATGTTATAGAATCCGGTAAAAGAATTTAGCAGAATGGCGAAGTTTTTGGATTTAAATCTCACTGAAGAAAACATACGAGAAGTTGCCGAGAAAGTTGCCTTTTCGAGCATGAAAAAATCAGATCAAAAAAGCGGAAAAAAAAATGTTGATCAAAATTTGAGAAATCAACTTGGAATACTTAGAAAAGGTGAGGCGTAAATTCATAGCAGAGTCTGCTTTAATGCCAGCACACAGTTGTAGTTCCAAACAGTTGTTCTCGCCATTTTAAAAATCTTTTAAATCAACGCGTTTTCAATTTTTTTTTAATTGTTGAATTGTTAATTAAGAAGTTTATGAGCGTGAGAAATGTGTTATTCTCTTTTTCTTTTAAGTATTCGTTGACTTTGTTTTAACGAAATATTAGATATATATACCGAATTTTTGTGCAAGCTAAGTTCTAGAATAATTTAAAATATCGTATATATAATATAAAACGTTTTTTCTATCAGGTGAAGTTGGTGGTTGGAAAGACCATTTCACGGTTGCTCAATCTGAACAGATGGACAAAGAAGTGAAGAACAAACTTGGAAATACTGATATAAAATTCAAATACACTTTATAGTTAGATAGAAAAAAGTTGAAAATGAAGCACGTTTAAATACAAGTTATTAATATACCTAAATATATGAAATCATGTGTTTTCCTTCTATAGCTGGTTCGACAATATTATACGCTATATACGTTTGGAGAAGCAAGCAAATTCGGCATGTTTTAACACCGCTTTTGTACGCCCTCAATACTTTGTGAATGTCGAAATCATAGCAGTTAACAAATAAAAGTGTGATTTTTCAACTTTGGCATAAACACAGATCACAGCGCAGTATATGGGTTCGAGGTCAGATGTGACTGCGTTGAATGCTTAAAACCAGGCAACGCAAAGGCGTGGGAAAAATTGAAGAAATGTCTGTCCCATGACTGTTTATTTAAACCAGGGGTGGGCATCATACGGCCTGCGGTCCAGGTCCAGCCCGCGACGAGATTTTGACTAGCCCGCTGACTGTATCCAACCACACTCTGTAATGTGGTCCGACGCATCATTCCTGAAAGTTGCCGATCGCTCTACTCCCACCGCACTGTCAGTGCGAGCTGGTGAAACAAACAATTGCTTTAGTGAACAAACAATTTCGTTAGCACACTTGTTAAACAAACAATATAAGGTCAAAGCAGGGAGCGTTGTAAACATTCCCTAGCACTGTTATCAGTTATATTTAAATTCTAAATATGGATTTTAGAAATTAGATTTTCATATATATTAAGTTTTATTAACCATGGAATACCCCAAGAAACGTACAGTTGACAGAGAGTGTCGAGCATTTAATAAAAATTGGATACCGAAGTATTTTTTGTAAGAATCCGACCCACCGAGGACTTCATTTTCTCACATCTGGCCTGCCGACTAGAGAAGTTGCCCACCCCTGATTCAAACCTTTGGATAGTTGGATAGATATTGCCAGTCTTATAGTTTTGCATTTTATATATAGCATTGTTATATATATAGGTAAACAATTTGAATACAAATTAGCTTTCAAAGCGTTCAAAACAGACCTGCTAATTGACCTGAACTTTTTCAATTAGGTTTGAGTTCGAATTGAAAGTATGTCACGACTCACGAGTCTGGAGAAATGTTTGCTCGCCAATACACACGACAACCTTTAAGATTCTGTAAACTAGATTTGTTTTATTGTACAAAGCTGACATACCAAATAGTAAAATTTTAACGTCATCTCTACTATGATACAATACACAAAGCCAAATTATAATTCGCAATAAGGTGTTGTTATTAAAATAAATGGGGACCAGGTGCAAGATGTAAATTCTATCGTATTGTGATCTTATTGAGAGTACCCTGCGCATATGGTGGCCTGCACCGTAATCTCCAGATAGCGATGTTGGCTGGTTAATTCGTTAATGCCATGCTCACCGACAACAACTGTTACGCGAATATAAAATCCCCGATTTTGTTAACACAGAAACTTTATCCTAGTTTATCCATACTCCCTTTGTAAACGCTCGTCAGTCAGTGAAGATAATATTATAATTTATTTTTACCCCAGCAGGAAGGATAGTTTATAGAACATCTTCATTTGGGATATGTTACAATTATCTGACGAATATATAGCTGAACTCAAAATTATCTTGTAGAAAACGAGACAACCTTCCAACAGTTAACTCTTTCACATTTACATTCACGTAGCCTACAATAACCGTCAATCTTATACATAATACAAAATAGTGAATATTGGGGGGCTAACTATAATGACCTCGTGGTCGTATCGCTCCCCCCCAGCCTGTACCAAAAACTCCTTAGTATTTTTTATTGCTCTGCACTGCTCGTTTTCTGGTTGATGGAATAATAAATGTTCTCTCTCTCTCTTAATCATGTGATTGTGGTATCTCGCTCGTGTTAAAAGGAATACTGCAAAAATTTAAATAAATGTGAGCAACTAAAGCCCCTCGGTTGCTTACCAACAAAAAAAATAAGTTCAAATGTTGCATCATCATTAAATTCTTACTGGTTAGGCAATGATGGACATGAAAATGCCCAAATACTGCACGCGGATATTTAATTTTGGATAAATAACTTATGTCGTCGATGTAGTTGTGCTGAAATCCGACTGTTTTTTTTTCAGCTTTTCACTTCTCTCATTTTGGTTCGCGTATACAACATTGTTCAATTTTATATATCTGTAACCATGCGATACTTGAATAGTTGAAATAATATTTAGTCCGTGTTATTTTTTCTAGTTTTATTTTGGTCGAAGCAATGAGCATATATACATGCTGTATATATGCTCATTGGTCGAAGTAATTTAGTCTCCGGTGCTAAAATTGATAAAGCCGGTTGTAATGGGACTCCGTACACTAATTTGCTCCTGTGGTTAACGCGAGAAAATAGGCTTACGTTCGTTTTCCTTGATCGGTTCGTCTTGCAGTCTTGACGTCTCACAGAGTCATAGTCTTTAAAATCAGAATAGTCTATTTGCATTCTGACTGGTAGTCTACCGGTATTGTTTTTGGTTTGGAGGTATAACAATTCCAGTCGCGATCTAAGGTAGGGAAACACTTGAATATCAAGAATGGCGACATCTTTAGGAGCTAACCGATATAATCGTCAAAACTGGGAAGAATCGGTGAGTTGTCAAAATCATTCTGTCAAGTTTACGACTTGATATTCATAGCACCCATACCTGCAAACAATTGAATAAAACTTAATACGGAATAAATATAGAATTAGGAATAAAGCTATAAATACATGAAATAGCTTGGAAAGGTTGAGAAATATACAATTGGACCACCAGAATCAGAACAAAATTATTTTTAATTTTTGCCTGACCCCAAATCGCAGAATCATTTATTTTTGTTTGACTTCTGACATGTATGAACCGAATGATAATAATAAGTATAATTATACAAGTTGATACAGAAATGTCCTAATAAATTGTAGTGTGATGAATATTGAAACTGAAATTTAAATCTTCATTTTCGGACTTTAGGATTTCCCGATTCTATGCCAGACATGCCTTGGAGACAATCCATACATCAGAATGGTAAGTTTTTGTGTGGCCATCGACAGAATTGCTTGTTGTAGTCGTATGTATGTAGCTTATTGTCATGATTCAGTGATTATTTCAATTTTTTTAAATTGAAACATTTAACTTCACTGATTAAAATCCTATAAACAACTAAGTGTAACTGTGTTGCTATCTAATCTACCTCTAGTGACTTTAATACGCTGAAAAATATTCTGATAAGATTTAAGACAAACCAAATTTTTCGATGAAAAAATCTGCAATTATCGGTTAAAAAATCTTAAATTATTACAGCAGTTAACGGATAAAAAATGCTAGTGTCCACAATTTGGACATCCCTGCTATAGATGAATTCAATACAAATATACTTTTCCATACTTTATATACTAATAAGAAGAAATCAACTGTTTTTGTTTTTCATAGACTAAGGAAAAATTTGGCAAAGAATGTAAAATTTGTGATCGACCGTTCACAATATTCCGATGGTGTCCGGGTGCTAGGATGAGATTTAAGAAAACTGAAGTCTGTCAAACTTGTTCAAAACTCAAAAATATATGCCAAACTTGCCTACTGGATCTTGAATATGGTAAGGATTACGATAAACAAAATTTGTCTAGTTGTATATCTATAAGTTAGTATTAGTACTCTTGAATAAACACTTAAATTTATAAGCCTTATTTTAAATGCATACCGGTAATTTTTTCCAACAAGGTAAAGAGATGTTTTTATGCTCGGGCCATGTGATGGAAAAAATGCACTGCATTCCATCAAAACAAATAACCTCCGATATTTTTGCAAAATCTTAGACACATAGCGCGTGTGAAATTTTCTGGGATGTGTAAGCCTATTCAACTAACTACTAATATATTTCATGAATGAAGTACGGTTCAAGTAAACAAACGAGAAATGAGATTTTTGGGATGTAGCAGCCATGTTGAAAAATTGGCTACGGCATACTTATGTCAAATTCAATTTCAAAATTGGGACATGCTCTGCTTTTCAGGCAAATGTTTACATTAATTTTCAGGTTTGCCCGTTCAAGTTCGAGACCATGCACTGGGACTGATTGACGATCTTCCCAAATCAGATGTAAACAAAGAATTTTATACTCAAAATATGGAAAGAGAGGTAAATATTATGTCAAGTTTGATTATAAAAATATACACTATTTCTCAAAATAAGGTCACAAGTTATAGAAATAAATGTTCAAATTTAAACAGTTGAGAAATGCTTGTCTGAAGAAGTTCGACCTCATATAAATGAAACGTTACAGACATACATTTATGCTAGTGTGCAGCTTGAATTGAGTTAAATATTTAAACTGCGAAAAAACACAGTATGACTCTCACATTGCATCAAATAAAATAGTAATGATTTCAATTTATATTCAACAGTAATCATATAACTACCCTGAAAAAGGTATATTCTAAACCGGTGGTTCCCAACTAGGATTTTAATCTCGGGAAGGAATTACAGAATATAATTTTGTATTATTATTTAGTCATTACTAGCCTATTTATTGTAATGCATATTTATCCTCACATTATAAACTATTCAAATTTGCAAAAGCAATCGCGCTCCAGAAGTGTTTGTATGAATATGAAGGTAACTTATTTTGTTTGCCTACTTTACATCAAGTTGTGTAAAAGGACTGAATCCTATGGGCAGGGGGTATATTCACTTGGCTAACACTGACATTCCCGAACTCGTAATAGAACTAAAATAAAGAAAAAAACGAATAAAAGTATGTCCTAACCCTAACCTGGTACACACACTACGGGAGTACCAAAGCCAGTGTGCGAGTTGCAAATAACATTAGCTCACGATCCCTTGAAAATTGAACAAATAACAGAACAGAATGTTTCTAACATTTTCAACATATTCACAGATTGCTAATACAGATGGAACAGTAGCTGTGGGCTCTGTTGGGAGAAGTCAAGCTGCCAATGATTTGCTAATGAGAATGGCAAGAACCACACCTTATTACAAAAGAAATCAAGCTCATATTTGTTCTTTTTGGGTAAAAGGGGAATGCAAAAGAGGAGAGGAGTGTCCTTATAGGTTTGAAACATTGCAACTTTGTCTTATTGATCTAGAATTCCATTAAAGGATTGTTGATGTAAAAATAGAATTGCCTCCGAGACCAGGCAACATCGTTTAGTCTTGAATATTCTATTATAGACTCATACTGTCTGAAATGAGTTTTTTATTAATCTATTATACTTATTATTATTTACCTGTAATCATCTACAACAGGCATGAATCACCCACAGATCCAGAAGATCCTCTTTCAGACCAAAACATTAAGGATCGTTATTATGGAATTAATGATCCAGTTGCAGATAAAATGATGAAAAGGGCTCAAAATTCTGCTGATATAAATCTGGTAGCCCCAGAAGATAAAACCATAACTACTTTATATGTAGGTGGTCTCACCGAGGAAATAGAAGAACAAGATTTAAGGTAGTGTGTAGCTCATTGAAATACTTAAATAGTTTTGAAATTGAATGGATTCCGAATAGAAATAGGCAAAGGAATCTATATAATGATTTAATGACTTCAAAAATATTTGTCTGATAGTTATATAAAACAACCATAGTACCATAGGCTAGTGATAACTTGACTTGAGATAATGGTCATTGTAATCAGTCATATTAATTTATCATATTTTTATAAATATAAAATTGTTTATCTTTAATGAGCTGAGATATTTAAAGGTTTATGGTCTGATTTATTAACAATCTAATTAATGCACTGTCCTTTATTTTAAACTAGTCCTCCCTTATTAAAAATACCCAAGTAATCTATTAAAAATATCAATTTAATAAACTTTATATGATTGATGTTTTTTTTCATTCGGAATTGGGTATTGAATTGAGCATCTCTATCATTAAGTGTACCAGTAAATTATTCAAACAGTATCAAATAACATTTCCATATGTACAACCCATGAAGTTTTTCTTTGGTCGAGGTGCATTCGTCCAACATTTCAATGTGGTATTAATTTAAGAAAGGTCTTTTTGAAGTCACATTTTCAAGGTTAAAAAATTCCTGTTTAGGGTGCCACACTCGAATGTTGAAATTGGAAGAGCTATCATTTGTTGCTTTCTAGACTAACCTCGATTTTTTTTATCTATAGAGATCATTTTTATCAATTTGGAGAGATAAGATCGATACACATTGCATCAAAACAGAGTTGTGCGTTTGTTCAGTTCACAAAAAGATCAGATGCTACATCAGCTGCTGAAAAAAGTGTTGGAAAACTTATTATCAAAGGAAAAAGGTTCATATCATTCTCATATTACAATATTTATTATATATTTATACTCATTCAAGTCATTGATGAAATTTTCTATTTCAAAAGCCATTTATCTATAATATAATTCCTGGTTAAACAGTGTACCAAGGAGTATTCAGTCAGTTGCAATTGTATGTGAAGACAATTATATCCAGGAAATGTGATGCTTCAGTCCCAAATGTGTAGATTACCCAAATATAACATGTACTTGTGGGACCAACTTGGAATCTATGGCTGTTGTATTGTCTCAATGTCAAATAATCTCGTACTTCAGATTAAACATTCGTTGGGGAAGATCACAAGGATCTGGTAGATCAGATTCTGATAGTAAGCGTGGTAGTGAGGACAAAGAAAAACCGGTTGCTCGTGTTCCTGGATTACCTGGAGGTAAAATAATGGTTCCTATTCGAATGGAAATGAAATGTTTCAACATTTCAGATTCTTGATTTTAAGAATTATTAAGACTAAATTCAATTTAAATATCATTTTGAACTATGGAAGTCTCGCATTATGACTAAAGAATATGACTTCTACTTGTCCTTATTAAACACAACTCGATTAAAAAGCGATCAATATTCAATATATTGAAAAATATGACCGGTATATGGTATCTCCGAACACATACATAGTAATAATCATAATTATAAGTTTTTCAATTTTGGTCATGTGTGGTTGAAAATAATTTCCGATTAGATATAATTTTTCTTGCTATTACTTCGTCTAAAAGTTCATTTAGTTTTTGAAATAGAATTGGTGCCCTATCATAGTTTTAAAACAACATCCAAAGACGGTCAATTCTGGGGGAATCTTAAATAAATCACTCACTGTAGGCCATTCATACACAAATATTTACATCTGCCATTTTTCATTAAATAAAAATCTTTATTCACAGCTTTGCCAATGCCTGAAGATGTTTTGAAAGGAGATGGTGAACGACGGGGCAAGAAACGTCCTCACAATTTTAACGAACCTCCCCCACCAGGAACTTTTGGTCCACCTGGAATGATGCCACCGCCACCTTTCATGGCTCAAGGTCCCCCACCTTTGATGGGAATGCCTCCACCACTTATGGCACCACCTCTCATGCGACCAGGTTAGTACCTGAGTACTTTCTATTATTAACCATATTCTTGACCTGGCTGTGGAGTCTGGATTTGTCATTTTTCACTAATATCAGGGTTGTATTGTCTAATTTTGAACCAATTTGAGTCTGATTTTGGACTCCTAACGGGGGTAATGGAATTTATGAAAGCCCAAATTTGCGACAGAAAGAAAAATATTGTCCAAGGATTACCATAAAAAATGCCTGTTTACACATACAGAGTTCGGAATCTAAGTCTTAATAAGTTAAATTTTTATCTCTTCGAAAATAACCCAGATTTGGAGTCTGATATGAATTCTTCCAAACTTTTCCCAATTATTACTGTATTGCCTTGCGAGTAGTTTGAAATGGCAGCTTGTGTGATTTTAAACAATGATCGTCAGAACCAAACCACAGTTTGATTTATTGTAGGTGCCCATACCCTCAACACCATACTTAATCAGGTAATAATGCACGTTTTCTGGTAAATTGTTTATGTAAATGTTATGATCTTATACCAATTTTCTAGGACCTGGTCCAGGATTTATGGGACCTCCAAACATGAACCAACAAAGACCACAGGCATATTATCCATCGCAAAATCCTCAAAGACTTGGCAAAAATCCATGAAGATTTCACAACAAACCAATAAAAGATGACCAAAGGAATTATGGAGTACCGAAGTCTATGACCCCATTGCCATACATCTATTGTGGAGAACTGGTGAATTGTGATAAGCTTGGAATGACATTTTTTTGTTGTTTTATGAATGCAAATCTGCTTATGTGCAAATGACCATAAAATAGAAACTTTGTATATAAATTTCTATTTTGTCTTGATTGAATCATGGTTAGCTAGTATGTACAGATGCAGTGAATTCAAGAGGCAGTGATAGTTGCTGAATATTGTCACTAGATCTGACATACCAATTACCATTAGTGAAGATAGAGTGTCATGGGTTGGACGAGGCAGATTCGACCAATGAATGATTATATATATTGATGAGCTTTGGCCAGTTCCGGAACATGTTTTTCTGCAACGTGTGGGCATGGCCATATAGACTCGAAAGTGCTTTAAAAAATGCCTTTGTGTTGCAGTGACTGATTTTTGTGGCCTTGGTTGTTAATTTAAAACCAAAATCAACAATCTGAAGGAATCAACAGCCTCCTATTATCTTGATTCCATGTATGCATTACATTCTCAGGCAAGCCAGTAAGGTTCTCAAATCTTTGTTCAGGAAACTGCAAATATCTGCATGTTACTCATTATGTGCAGCCTGGATCGTGTTATAAATAACCTCTGAACCCCTATGCAGTCCTCCTTTGCGATTTCAGAAATTTGTACAAACAAAAATAGTTGTGTATTTAATAAACTTTGAATAGGAAATAGGATATAAGAACATTGAAGTTACCAGATTCACAGTGGGATATAATATAGTAATACAGTCTGTATTGCATAAATATTTGGTGTAATCCATTAATTTTTCTGTGTAGTTACAGTGAATGATGAGGAAAGCTATGCACATGAATTGAAAACTAATAACTTGTTCTAAGTCTGTCTGCATATGGTTCAAACCAAAGGAGAATAAACAATTGGAACTTTTCTCTAAAAATGGGTTAATTGGTGTAAATATCACACTGCACAATTACCACAATATCTGAATTTGAAAATATAGAACTATATTTTCCCATTTATCCTGGACAGGAATGCAAATAGAACGATTCGCCTCTAGTCCAGTCAGGTATAAGAATAGTTGAACTAACAGTGTATTGGGTGTATAATGCCTTAACAATGCATAAGTCTTTGTGCATGTTATGTGAAATCATCAACGAGTTTGTTTTTTAATAATAACTTCCTGAACGATTAAAAAAATACTTATGGCTAAGAGAAGCATAGGAAAAATGGTATAAAACTCTCATAGCATGAAGAAAATTTTATGGCTACCGATATATCAAAAAATAATTTCTAGAAAAAGGTAAGAAAAATTTCTGGCCTAAAAAATTGAAAATCATATTTCAATTAGAGGGAAATTATAACAATGTAGGTACGGTAATTTAAAATAGTCACAGTCGATTGTCGGCGTTACATAATATGAGTAAGCCATTTTTTAAAAGATGGAAAAGTAGGACTGATTTGTCACCGATTTTCAATTGTCATTAATCTTAATTATATTCATGATGCAAGTCTTCTTCCCCTGTGTCTTGCAGCTTCAATTCTTAGAAGTTCAAGTCTTTGCCAGGCAGGAAACAGATGCCTTGTAAAGAAAATACGCAATTTCAAAGACCATACATTAAATTGCTTCTCTTTTTCTTCCATTTCTTTAGTGATAACTTCAGGCGAACTTCCTTTACTTTTTGGACTCGCCATTGCCATTTCTTCTCCATCCTCATCCATGTCATCAAACATAGATGAAAGATCTATACTCGAGGATGAAGAGGTTCGTCGAATACTTGGTCGTCCAGTGGGATCCTCAATTCCAAGTTCTTCCAGCTTGGACATTGTTGTGTCCATCTTTTCTTCCATGTCATTTTCTTTTACTGATTCTGCATCTGATTTAATTGTTGCTAATTCAGAATTCATATCATCTTCATCTATACTGGTGATTGTGGCTGGTTGTGACGATACTGTTTTAGAACTTCTAGCGCTCGTGTGCCTCGCATAAGCAGATCCTGGTCGAGAATGTCCCAATGAACTCTTTGCACTGCTAGGCCCGCTGTTAAACTTTCGACGAACCTTTGGAGCTTGAAAAGAAGCAGGTTGTTTCATCATTTCTTCATCTACAAATAAAACTGCACTTGCTAATAGGGCTTCAAAATATTCAAGAAATGTCATTTCTATTTCAAGGTTATAGACACCACCTTGCACTACGCTTGGATTGTCTGATGCGAGAATTTTTAAGAATGCATCAGCTGAAAGACGTGGGCCAATTATTTGGAAGTCTTTCAATGCCAATAAAAGTTTTCTCATTCTGAGAGTTGGCTCACGTGTCTGTTGTTCGCACAGTGATCTATAAATTTTCCAACTTCCTTCCATATATGCTAATGCATTAATTGTCCTACGTGGGTCGAATAAAAAACCACCCTTCACTCGACCGGAATATTTCATGATATGTTCAGACATGAGCATTTGTAAGCATTGAGGCAAGATATATGACTGGGATCTAAATGAACCACTAGAAGGTCCAGAAGATTTTGATTTATCTTTTTTTGTTTTACTATTCGTTGGGCGGTTAGTATTATTTCTGATTTTATCTCGAAACATAGCAAAACTTAGAATAGTAATAGCACTTAAAAAGTCTGATAATGAAAGTCTCTCAGTTGGTTGGTGGACAGAACCCTTTTCAAGGCAAGCTGCGATTATCCTGTCCATTTCTGGTAAAGATAATCCATAATGATGTATGTGACTGTCTTTAACAAATCGCCAAAACTGAAGACGTGTCATTTCTGATTTTGTGCTCTGCACTCGATTATGTCCAAGTGTGCAGTAAAAGTGATAAACTTGACGTAAGTTGGATATATTTCTGAGGATAAGAAACGTTACTTGAGTCTGTTCGTCTTTTCTTTGTGACAGAGGAAAATTTTGAAGCAGCGCATTAAGTTTTAGTGTCAAATTTGGTGCAAGTACGTTGCCACTACCATCACGACCCATCATTGTGAAATACTGATCGCATTCTTTAGAACAAGTTCTTACAGAACCACGAAGCCTCTAGCAATAATGGAGCAAATGGCATCAATATTGTAGATACATAACTATATCCATATATTGATCAGGCTATTCCAATGTTGAGGAATATATCCTATGTTATTATAGACATTCAAATCACCCTCATTTCATTTGTTTCTGAAGGATATTTTCAATCTTTAATGAGCATGTATCACTATCATTTACAACAAATTCACTGAAAATAAGCATTGGTTCATTACTCATCACTATTAATACTGTAATAATAAACCAAACAAGCAAAACAACAAATAGGCTTCGAGCATGAATAAAACTAAATGTTACCCATGCTGTCATTTCATGTTATGCTGCTTAATTTATCTGACTTCAATAATTTGAAATCAGACGTTACACTACCACAGTACTAATATATATTATAGAGCATCAATTATGAGAAATAGAATATCTACTAGCAAAAACTTCGAACTTCTAGGATTCTATTATAAACCTCTAGAATTCTTTGTCTTCTCGTTGCGTCGTCACTGATTTCACCAGTGAAACAAATAGAGAAATAGACAAAAGCCACCAGCATGAAACAAAACACCTTACACATCAACGTCAATAAAAGCTGACAAATACCGACGTTTATCTGGTGCAACAGCCTATATAGTGTCAGTCATTAACGATACTATATGATGATTGCTTATTCTTATATATAATCAGAATATTTCTTGTCTGAGATCGCAAATACTGTATTATTATACCAATGTTCATATGAAATAAATTAACTTTACTAGCTTTTACTGGGGAATCCCCTGCGTGATAATCAATCATGCGTCACCGTTGCTATGGATACGCTCACGCTTTCGTTTGGTTGGCAAACGCTGAGGCTTCTTTCCTATTTACACCCTACATTTCTCGACCCTGTACAGAGATTGTGACAGTAAGGCAATCGAGGGCTCCGTGTTATTAGATACAAAACAAAAGCCAGGTAGATGATATGAAAGAATTGTATGTTTGACTTGCTTCAGAAGACAATAAGACGGCCATATTAATATGGCCAATCCCTTTGTGATTTTGATGTTTTCGATATCAAATTTCGCTTGCTTGCGTGGAAAAGAAGGTACGAGCTTTCAGTAAATGCGCGAGATTTTATTGTTTGTTGAAACTCAAAACATGTTTGTTAATGAGAGTTTAACATTCTTGAAGGCAGACGTGAGTTATTGTTGACCTGATTTCCTGTTGTTTTGCCACCTGTTGGATTATTTGGTACGTTTTTGCATTTGCGCAAACTCGATGAAGGCGAGAATGTTATTTTGTTATCTGTAGTACAAGTTTTATATGTCTTTGGGAAAAAATATTTAAAAATAGAAGATAGTCTTCATCAGAGAGCTAATGAATAAAATTGGTAGAAAATGAAGAAGATTGTTTTACAAATTATAATCCATACTACTTAAGTTAAAGACATTTCATTTATTTTTATATTAACTTTTAACTTAAAGTCTTGTCTTGTATATTGAATATATAATGATCTATGTATGAATAATATTATGGTAAGAAAATTAGAATGCGTAACTTGGATCTGCAGTGAAAAGATGCATTATAAGGGTGAAGATTTATTGGATTTGAGTGATTTTTTTTTAATACAAATAGAAGTTTTTATTTTTATTGCAACCAAAATACCAAGTGTTACAAATTTTTGCAATGCATTCAAAACATTTTGATTTATTGTCAGTTAGGATACATATTGTTAAACAATATGGCTAAAGGTCGAAAGCATTCTGCTGCAGGACAGGGATCAAGAGCAACATCAGCCAGTGTATCATCAGCGAAAGGTAAAAAGAAAAAAGATGAAAAGGAACCAGAAGCATCTAAGCAAGAAGAAGAACAAGAAGCTCAAGCTGCCGAAGCAGAGTTAGAAAATATTGAAACAAAATCAGTTGCTGAAAGCGACAGTGGAAAAGCTTGCGGAGACATGTCAGGAAATGTTGAAGTGGTCGATCCAGATGACGGTCAGGACTATCTTGAACCATCATTGACTGAAATTATTGTTACCCATTATGAAGGTGATCGTGGCCGTGGCGGGATTTACGATGGTTACGGGGAGGCTCAATTTGTTAGTGGTAATGTTTTCAAGGGAAATTTTGATAAAGGACACATGCATGGTAAAGGATCTTACATATGGAGCAATGGAATGAAATATGAAGGAGATTTCTGTAACAATCGTATCACAGGTTATGGAACTTATAAATGGCCTGATGGTAGTGTATATGAAGGTGAAGTCTCGAATGGATTTCGTCATGGCGTTGGTGTTTTCAGATCTCCCCAGCAAGGTGTGTCATATTCGGGCCAGTGGTATCTTGGAAAACGACATGGAAGAGGGATAATGAATTACAGTGAGCAATCTTGGTATGAAGGAGATTGGGTTAATAATGCAAGGCATGGGTTTGGTGTTCGTCGATATAGAACTGGTGAATAATTTTTCTAGTTTGAAATTTTTTGTTGTCAAAACTTCCAAATATTTATATATACACAAATGCAAAGCTGAATGTTTTCATTCAATAACTGTAATAATGTTACAAGTTAATCTTCTCGGGGGCATTATTGGTCATCCAAGACAGATGCCAAAAATTTGGTTTGTTTGTAAATTTGGATAATTGTCTTTCTGAAGACTACAGATTCATATGTTGAATTTTTGCTTGTCTAAAGCCTTATTTAGGGCAAAAGATGACACGTTAAAATTTGTTATTCATATCAAGTTAATTGTTATTATGAACTAAACTGTTTTTCTATATTTTTGCAGGCAATGTTTTCGAAGGTCGCTGGACAAATGACAAGCGCCATGGCGAAGGAACAATGCGGTGGCTTGCAACAAATGAAACATATCGTGGCATGTGGGAGAATGGCGTTCAACATGGCTATGGTACTCACACCTGGTATCTTCAACGTGTTCCTGGCTCACAGTACCCACTCAGAAATGAATATATAGGGGATTTTATAAATGGACTTCGGCACGGAAGAGGAAAATTCTTTTATGCCAGTGGAGCTGTCTATGATGGAGAGTGGGAAAACGGCAAAAAGAGTGGTTGGGGTAAATTCATTTTTAAAAATGGACGAGTGTTTGAGGGACAGTTTGACAATGACCACATGGTTGATTATCCAACTTTTGAGATTAGTGGCTCAAAGACCCCCGATCTGGCACAGATTCGTACTCGCACTCCTGTTGGTTGGGAAGAACAAGATGTTTGTAGTGATAGTCTGGAAGGCAGTGGTGCCCAGACACTTGGTCCAGGGTTAACTTTGGACATTGATACTCTTTTGGAAGAATTTCCAGAAGAAGAAAGAGCTGAAGAGCTCAAGCAAGTCAGCCATCTTGTCCTTCGAAACATCACAATATTCCGTCGAGTTTACAGCTTTTATAGTGCTTTGGGCCATGATCGATCATTGGATAACACATTTGTCATGACGAGATTTCAATTTTGGCGTTTTCTCAAAGATTGCAAGGTATGCTGAAAGTCTATCATCAAATAGGTTACAAAACATTTTAGTTGTTTTGCAATATACTAGTAACTAATAGAAAAAATTAGAACTTAATTCAACTGATTTTAGTTTTTCTTGGTTTGAATAGTTTCATTCACTATGTACCGTATATATGGTGTATAATGTATATATAGTATTTCTGCAAAATTGTTCACTGAAAATTTCATACCTAGATTCATCATCGCCAGAAATCTCTTTCGTGGATGGATAGAGCCATAGCTCGATGTCACGCAGCAGAAGATATTCACAATCCCATGGAAAAGGTCCTAATGCGGGAATTTTTGAGCAACATCGTCATTTTGTCTCATTTTATTTTTAAAGATGAAGTTACCAAACCTGCAATTAAGCAAAGTCCTAACCAAAAGAATGCTCCGAATTCATTGATTCTTGCACAGTGTCTACAACAACTTATAACACACCACGTTACCAAGTATTCTTGCATTGTCAAAGGATTTTTCATGTTTGAACCGCGACGTGCCATCACCGCCCTCAACTATATGGACAAGAGTTGGCAGATATATCTCATAATTGCCAATCCTAATCCAAATCCTCCACACGATATCATCATGAAGATGCGACAATTTCTGTTCACTTTACGAGATTTAAAAATCGTCGGGAAGCGATTGCCGGCAGCAACGGCTCTGAAAGTCATGTCGCAAGACGACCCAGCCGTTTACGCCGATGATGCCTGTAATTTGGAACTAGAAATGACGTTTTTGGAATTCTTTGAAGCGCTCATTGGCTGTGCTTTATACATGTACGATGCCGTAGAAGAAGATGAACCGACCGCCGCACAATCACAAGTGTTACATCAAACCCAGTCCAGGCGAGGATCAACTCCATCGGATATTCTTTCCCATCACCCGGACGAAAGTCGTTTGGGATCGCCCACACGATCACAATCAGTTCTCTCACACGCGACGCAAGATGCTTCAATGCAGCAGCTTCACCAAAAGTCTTCAACATCACAAGTAAAAGCATCTACTATAGATATCAACCCCATAGACAGTGGATTAGCGAGCAAGGAATCAATAGCAAAAGTAACTGGTGGCGCAAGCTCGGGCGGCTTCCTTCAAACACTTTCTCAGTTAACAGTAAAAGAACAAGACGAAGCGACAACGATCGCTGATGAAAACGAATCAGAATATCAAGATCCAACTGCGAGAAACACAGAAGTTAATATAAGCCAGGAAGATCGTGAATACAGTACATGGGCGGAAAAGCTACACTATTTCTTCACAGTTTTATTATTCCCTGCTTGGGATAAAATGGCCGCCTTGAAGACCGAAGTGGTTAGATTTCGTAAAGAACAACAAGAAAAAGAGAGAATAGAAGCAATACAAAAAGAAGCAGAACGGCGAACGCAAAGCTTTCATGCTTTGGAAAAAGTACCCAGCGATGAAGACATTGCAGCAGAAAGACAAGACGAAGAAGAAATATTGGGAGACGAAGAATCACAAATCGTTGGAACTTTATCAACGGCCCCGACACCACCACCGGAGGCCACTAAGTCATCTAGTAGCGTAAAAGGAAAAAGTGGAAAGGGCGCCAAAAAGAAAAAGTGAATTTTGCAAACAACTGTGCATTTGACTTTGTCGTATTTCTGTAATATATTAACGCATTTGTATATTTGGCTAAGGAATGGTTTATTTCGTATTTTTAAAATCTTTCACGCCTCTTCTAACGTTTTAATTTTTGCCATGTCCATTTTCGACTTCGTGAGTTTGGAGTGTAAAACATACTCAACTATATTGGTCTAAAAAATGAAAATATTGAAAACATTTGCTGTCCTGTAATTCTTATTCAACGTTTTTGTATCTATATTTTATTAAAGAGGATATATTTTTATATACTTCATTGTAGCTTTTCGCATAAATTAAATTTTTAAAACAAAGTTAGCACTTATTATCCACTGTATAGAACAAGAGTAATTACAAGCTAGCCTTCCAGCAAATTCAAACTCAAGTACAGCAACAGCCCGAACATGACAGCGCGCCTTTAACAGCAGCCAGCAATCTAGACATTAACATTTGCGTGTGCAATTTTGACATGCTATTAGGGTGAGCACAACTGCTTTTAAGTTTGGTGTCCTCAGTCATTTATCTACAATAATAGGGATCCAAATAAGGATCCATTCCTTCATTAATTTTTACAATTTCAAGAAAAATACCTTTTTGTGAAAAAATATTAAAGTAGTCGAGTCAACTTCAGAAATTTTGTGTATTTCCACTAGTAATGACTTTGTATCTTTTGTAGCAATCCCCGCAAGATAAATAAAAAATGAATAATTATCCAGTAAAGGTAAGAAATACAGATTGCGCTGAAAATTCAAATTTTAAAATCATTCCTAACTGGAGAATTACCAATTTCTTATCATAAAACGTGACGGGGGTGTTTTTCTCAAATATCACATTTTTGCATTAGTGGCGGGGACTTTCTTCAAAATATCCATGACTTTTTGTACGTTATGTATTCAGACCCTAACGTAATTTCTCTGTTGTACAGCTCAAAGAAAATGCATTCATCCATCACACTTTATAGCCTTGGCTAAAGAGTCCAATATTTAAAAACTTAGTCATGCGTGGGTCGCGCCTAAACGTTTCTCTTCATTTTACTGAGCATGTTCAGCATACACTATTCTGGCATTTAATGGTACTATTCTGGTTAAACGAGTAAGGATGCATCTCTCTGTTATTCTCGTTCGTTAGCGGTAAATGGGTCAACTATACCGTAACATGCATATATTCAACAGGCGTCAGCTGTCGCATTTAGCGTGTTGCGTGACGATAAAAGAATGCTTATTTGAAAGCAGGCAGGACATTTGGCTCCAGATTACCTCAGTGTTTGGTTGTTGATGTGATATGGGGGTATCGTGGAAGATTATGTTGTTCAAGCATATAGCGAGATGTTCGATTTTGTATTGTTCTGCTGTCTGATTTGTCTGGCTTAAATTGCAGCGGGTTTAAAACTTGCGTCCTGAATTCTTGAAATTATATGTAATGCTTTGAAAGTTTGCACAATATCTGATTTTAGAAATGATCTGTGAAAGTCATTGCTACCGTATTTATATCATATCTATGAGTATATCAGAGGTTTATAGATTAGTTTTCAAAGCGTTTTTATTAATAAAAGTTACGTCAGTAGTGGACTCAAGAAGTGCGAAGGAAATAACAAATCGCAATCAATCATTTTTGATACGCCATCACCATGCATGTACCAGTATGAAGTATACGACAATTTCCCCCAAACGTTTCAATTCAAGAAATGTCGAGAAGAAAGGGATGAAATAGTATAGAAAATGAATAATCAATCAGCATGAACGTAAAATCTCGGCAAACTATTTAGAACCTATTTTCAAGCATGCTAATGTGCGTTAAAATGATTTTGTTAAATTTAAATATCATTCTTCAAAACATTGTACATTTTACGGCTCTACCCAGAAATGCTCCACGATTCCGCAGTTTTCTGCTGCTTTGTACAATCGATACAAGGTCACTAGGGTTTAAATTTTGCTTGTTGTTCCCCGGGGCAAAATATGTACTTCTGTTACAACGGATATGTGTTTAAAATACGCATTGCTATAGTAGTGGCTATATTAGATGTAAATAAACTGTATAAAATACAATGAAACGGGCGATTAGATAGCCACAGAGATGGCTATCTCTTTATCGTCCACTAATAACGTGAGTATTTTTAGTTTCGCAGAATTGCCTATAGTGTATTGTCATTCTCGGGTTTCATGCCTTGAAATTTTAAAATGAAATGGAAAATCACGTATCATTACTTTTACTGTGTTACATTACGACTCGTGATCTGTAACCAAAGATTGCATAGAACGGAGTAGAACCACTATACCTCCTAAATGTTTATGTATTCGTTTCAATAAAAGCGGTCGTGCTTAGCGCCTGTGGATCGATGTATATTTAAACTCCAGGTCTATAAACGCTATATCCGGTAGTTATTAATAATATTTATTCTCGAGCCATAAAGCGGAAATCACGTCAACCTATCCATATGAGGTCAGGATTTTCGATGGAATGCTTGTTCATACTGTCATACGACTACTTTGCCGGCGTTATGCTGTTTGACACATTATCGTATATTATCACCTCGAATTTGGTCGGAATGGCTTTGGTAATATTTGTAAAAGGTGCATTGAAAAGTGTAGAATTTAGGGAAGGTAAGTCAATACGTTATCGATGCAGACTAAGTCTAATTTATGGATATAAGTTTATCAAACTGTCTGTCAACTGCCAAGTTACGACAGGCCTCACCAAAAAGTGGCAACGAAACTAACTAACTGGTTATCCCGACTTCAGAGTTATGCTTTATTTCGTATGAAATTGATTTGGCATGCCCGCACCGATATACGTGGAATTCGGGAGTGAATAAAACAAAACTTTCGGTGTTCATTTCGTTCACATTACGTCTTGTTCGTATCAAGTTAATTGGCGGTTGGCGAGATAAAGTAAACTAAACATTCGCACCCCCTAATTAATTCTGAATAATTGTTTGCCAAGTACGTTCTTTGGATAGTACTGGCATTTAAAAGTATTTATCTATTGTCCACGTATGAATTTGGCTTCGTGTGTCACATTCAACTCTTTAGAAAACGATGACGTCATTCTTGAAATGTCAAGAGGATTTCTGAAACACCGCATTGACCCCTTGCGCACAAACATTTATTATTTGCTCAGGCAGAACACGATAAAACACATCAGTACGACCTCACAATGTCAATACCTTTCAGTGAAACATTTGGAAATCGACGTAATGTACATCAGTAATTTGAGAGACGTTTTCTCATCAAAATGATATTCGACTGAATCGGGTTAATCGATGGCATACAGTGTAACATGGCTACAAAGCGCAAGCAGTATAATGTTTTATTGAACAGAATTCCGTCATTATACATTGTAGAATGCCGCTATCGTCTGGTCGCTTGAACTTTACGCCCTAATTGTAGTGAAATGGCAAAAGTTACAGACAGGGCGTGGTATTAGCTCAAATATAAAATTTTATTTGTTTTAAGTCACAAATTAACAAATTTAAAAATCAATCAGCGCTAATGAACTTTGATGTCATTTCCCATCATAGATTTCGTGACTGAGCGATGAGGGACAATGGATTACTCAATAGCAGTGTTAATCCTGCTTGGTGAGCGATAGACTTTGATAGCAGGGGTTTTGTCCATCTGCATTTTCTTATTTTGATCTAAATTTAAATATATTGAGTTCTATAAAGTTTAGAAATTTTATAAATACTGTTGTTAATGTTCTATACTATTTTTAAAGTTGAGTGTTGTTCTTAAAAGCTGCTACTTTGCTTTAATTTTTGTTGAAAGTATATTCATTTTTGCGTTCAATATTCAACTTATTCTTAAATCTCAGAATGGAATATTTTTACTAAAAAACTGCTTTTCATTTTCTAGCATAATTAGTTATTATTTGCTTAAAGCTAGTGGCTTCACAAAATCTGGAATAAAATGCCTCGCCCAAGGGTTCAGACATCATTGACTTTATTCGGATCTCCGCCATATGGATTTCGAATTTCTGGAGGAATAGAATTCAACCAACCCTTGGTTATAACTCGAGTAAGTGCTGACTTTGTTATTTTCACCCAGTTGCATCAATATTGTATATTTATAGTAATGATTGGTCTTTTTAATAATCTGTTATTCAAGGCAAAATCTTCAAGGCAAGGCAATTCAAATTTTTCTGAAAAAATTGTAACAGCATTGACCAAATAAAAATTCAGATTATATTTAAAGATATTTATTGCTAACATGATCTATTGACATATTTTTTTTTCAGGTAACCCCTGGAAGTTTAGCTGCAAGAAGTGGTGTGCAGTCAGGAGATGTTGTTATTGCAGTTAACAATCAATATGTACAAGATTTATCTCAAGATCAATGTGAAGCAAAAGTGAGACAAGCAGTTGGGTCTTTACATATGGTTCTCGAAAAGTGAGTAGAGTTGATATTGTAACAAGTTATTTTTCAATAATATCATAATCTAAATTATTTTTAATAAAGATATAAAAAGCATGGGTAGATATGATCTGAGCTTTCAAAAAATTCATTGTTGATGATCACAGATTTCATTAACTGTCAACGTTCTGGAAGTGTTCTGTCATTAAAACCAACTTTCCATCATTATTATCTCAAACAGACTTTAGAAATCACAACATGTATTGTATTCAGAGTATTTACATAAATTATTCGTTGTTACTTTTAATCAACAGACACTTTCAGTACCTAGGATTTAGTCCACATGGAGATTGTTCCATATCCTTACATAACAATGTTAGTTTTATTAGTTAAATTGTAGTTATTGAATGTAGAAATTAAAACCTTACTAATGAAAAGCAAGTGTTCCTCATTGGTGCTGTAGGAATGATCTTATTTTTACTCATAAAAGTTACTATGCCTATACTTCATTTTTCTGTCATATCTATAGCAGGAGGGCTCTTGGGGCTTATCGAGTTACTCTATCGGAATGTCATTTATTTTGATATTTTCACATCTTCATTCTTACAGTATGTAACTATTTTTTGATATATATTATAAATGCATTTGGTCTAGTCTGTCAATGTAAAATCCATCTGTTAGCATAGTTATTGTGATCCAAATGAAATAGATAGCATGCATTTTCGAACTAAAAATTATTTTGATTGATCAGTTTAAATGCTATGATTGTGGTACCAATACATCATTCCTCAATGATATTGTTTTATCAATTGAATAGCTTGGATGGTTAGACTCTTAACATGCTTAACCTAGCATGAATGATATATGTCCCATGTTTGAAATGGCCATCCCAGCTATTGTCAATTTTACGCTAGTAAATATTACTGCTAATATGCTCTGTCTCAGTTAAGTATATTTTTAGCTCTGCCATGATATTCCCACCAGAATAATGGTGATTGATCAGATCTGTGAATACATTTTACTTCCTGTCATGTTATGTAATGGAACTGGAAATTATCATACAATAGATGAAAAAGCTAATATAATTTCAACACTAGTTATTTCCTATGGTCTTATTTTGTGGTTACTTATGGCTACTCATAAAAATAATAGGACCACTTATTAATATTGTAGATTGTATTTGATGATAAAAGAGTTAGTCGTCTGTTTGATGCTGTTTTCCAACCTTACATGCTTACAGACATTCATGTCCAAAATAGTGGGTTTTTTATGTTATGTCCCAGTGCAGTACTTCCGAACCAAGGGTACATGGAAGAATCCCACCCAGTATATAATTTTTGCATGCATGATATGAAAACAGGATAGCAAAATTAAGCTACTCCTCATTGGTCTAACTTGCATCAAGTTGGACATTTGGTCCTGTTTGTTCTCTTTAATGTGAGAAATTCAAGGCAGTTTCTGTAAGCATTAGAAGCATTGTGTCTGGTTTAAGTTCACAAGTTCCTGACACTAAAAAGGTTGTAAACCACTTCCAATCATATATATGCTCATTTTAAAAAGTTCAGTGAAAATGGTACAAAGCTGGCTGCCTTGTGGCATTTCACTGTACTATTACTGTCATGTTTTATTAAATAAGTTTGGAAAGAGTGAATTAAAACGGAATGCATAGGAATGGATTTTGCTTCAATTATTTGTTAAATCATAACACATAATATTTTCATTTCAGGAATGCTGCAAAAGTAACAGAACTCCCAGGAGGTCAAGTTCAGGTTGATGGTGATAGGAGTATTTATGTAAGTACAATTATTTCTTTTCAATATCTCACAAAAACTCCACTTATTTTGCCATGGAAAAAAGGTCGATCTTTAATGAGTATATGACTATGAGACCACACATGTCAAAAGTCCATTGAAATTTTCCGGATTTGTGTGCATTGACCATTAGAAGCTTGATCACTTTTACACCCAATGCATGAAATGATATGCAGCTGTGTATTGGAATGCCGATACTTCATTTCCACAGCGACTGAGATTTTTCATGATAATGAAAAGATCGTGTTACACTATGAAATGGAATCAGTTTTTAATCAAAATTTTGAATGCTTGATCATTTAAACACATAAATTATCAATTATTGAAAAATGAAACATGTTTATTAAGAAGAGGAATTCTAATTCGGTGTCAGACATTCATATTAGGTAAAAAAAAACTTGCCATTCGACAATTCGAATGATTTAAAAAATTCACTATTCCAATGCAGCCAACTTCTACAGTCGTAAAATTGTGACTGTGGATGTAACAATGTAGAATATTTCCCTAATCATATATTTTGTCTGTTTCACATGCATGGTTGTTGATTTGACTTTTCCAATATACTTGATGCATGATACAAATCATACACACTGGAATACACATAGACTGCTGTCAAAGACACCCAGCAAAGAATATCCAAATATAATAGAAGTGCAAAACCATTTGGTGCGCCGGCAACAACTGCAACAGAATGTGAAGTAGAGAAGCCCGCGGAGACAAAATCAGGATTTAAACCTGTTTCATTTAAACCAAAAACGCAATCTGCCGATGAAACCACGCTTCCTACTTCTGCTAGAGGGGAGCCAGATGGCATAAACTCAGCTACAGAAGGTATTGCGAAGGTAACCATAGAAAACCCTGACGATGCAAATGCGAATGGCTCAGCTAAGTCTACTTATGATGTAGGCAAATATAATCGCAGACCAGCGCCATTCAAACCCGGAAATGCATCTAATAATTCTAATGTTGCAACTCTACCAGAACCAGACGACTTTCCTCCACCACCGGATTTTGTGCTAGACTCCCAGGAGCAACCTCCATATATGGTAACGTCAAATGCAGGTTCTGGCAATCCAACCAACAAGACAGTAACCAAAAAGATAATTGTTGGTGGTAACTCTCCACTAGGTCTTTACTCAGGTGCAAATGCAGCCGAGACATACAAGGCTCAGGTTGGAGATTTATAAATCCTCATACTGTACTTAATTTGTATACAGTTTTATCATTTGCAGCAGTACCTTGTTAACCATAACCATAATCAATCATTGTCAATATTCCTTCCATTACCACTTTGATATTGCAAAAACATCGCCTACCATGAGCTGATGGATTTGTAATTTTTCTATGCACAGATACAGTGGCGTTTGCTAGTATAAATAACCATGTCAGTAATATAACATTTTATTAAAATGGCTTCGTCGCAATTGCAGACTCTTTTCTGGCTCTATTAATGCCTTTCACTCTATTAGGTGTCAGGAGTCACCATATATATATCGTTTGCATATTCGTTCGTTTTAAGAACATGCGGTGTGATTTTCCAAAACATATCAATATTTCCACTTTTTCATGAGGCCCAAACACAATCCGTTTCTACATTCGTCTTAGTTGCCAAATTAAGTTGATTAAGATATGTAAGAAATTTATTCTAATTGTGGACCTTTGACAAATGACTGTATTTTGTGAAAAAAATGGAAGGCACTTATAGACGTTTTTACTACTATTAATCATTTTTGCTAGATACATACATACACTTATTTGCACATGCATGATTTTTTAAAGTCGTAAGTACTGATTTTATTATTAAGCATGTATTTGTTTATTGCACTGCTTCGCTTACCGTGCCAGAAACATTTTCTTGAGAAATGCTTGACGAAACAGGCCCGTATTTGTTCAGCATCTGCACAATGACATGTTTCTGGCACTGGATTGTATAAAAAATTAATGGAAAGCTTCCGAATCAAGTGTTTAGCATGATTGTGATTGTAATGAAATAAAAAAGTATATTCTTCACCAATCAGCATTCAGTGTGTGTTTGAATTATGGCGTTTCCTAGTGTTATGTAAGTTCAAAAGTTTGTATTCAAAATATGGTAATTGCCACTGCAAACCACGCCTGGTTGATCAATTGTATGTTTGCATATTGATGGGAATGTTAATTTTCATTGGTTATTACCCAGTGTTTCCAGGGCTTTATCCCGCAGGAAGACGTACCAAATTGACTGCGCCAAACAAGATGGTACAGCCGGGATTCAAACATTTTAGCCAAGTCATTCGAAACTATCCAATTTTACAATTTTAATATGTTAAGGCAGGGGTGTGCAAACTGCGGCCCGCAAAGAAAAATCGTGCGGCCCGCGAAGAAGTGCCGGTTTTGAAAGATGTGCTCGCGAAACGAGCTATTACTTTAATCAATATGGAATGTGCGAGCAATTTCAAGCCTATAACAGTACCCGGAGTGCCACTACCATATCAGTGAAACTAGCTAGTAAGAACTTGAAAATACACAATGTTATAAATGCATGTTTCTCACTGAGTTCGTTTAAAGTCGATGTGACAACAATTTTATATATCAGTTTCCTTTAGAAATTTGTTGCGTCTTTAACTAAACATTTCTGCCAAGACCCCGAACATTACACCGTGAAATCAATAAAAAAAAAATAAACAAAGCTTTATGCTCACATCTACTGTACAGTAGAAATCATACTTACATGAAGCTCTGGAAAAATCCAACTTACGAAAATTCTTTTCGTAAAAATATTGTTTCGACTAACGTAAGATTTTCTACATACGAAAGGCCGACAATCGAAAACAAAAAACGCGTGTAGTGACATTTGTTTATTTTAGGTTAATGCAATGCTTGAAGGTGTCCAATTCGAATTTAATATTCGAATATCGCGAACTTCGAATATCGTTCTTGGCGTTTGTAAGAATACCGAATATGGCACACATATCCTAGCGCCGGCCCGCCGTCAACGTTTTGATCCAAAACATTTTACAATTATTTCATTTTTTAACGTAATCAAAGGCAGTCGGTAGTAAGTTACAGTCGGCATGAAAGGATTTCAATTAGCTCTGACTTGAAGTGCTTATTTCACGTCACGGATGTTTGTGATTGAAAATATTTTACAATTATTATAGTATATTTCAATTTTGTCGAGATAGTTTGTGCGACCTCGGCAATTAATCTAAAAGCTAATTGTGTTGTTTTCATTCTTTCATTTCGATAGTGACCCAACATGAGGGCAAATTGATTCCATTTCTTGCAATTTAGAGCGTATAAAATGGCTCTTAAATATTATTTAGTATCTATCGCGGCGTCGTTGATGACGATATAGTTTAGTTTAAGTTAACGGTATCAATATATAGTCAAAAATAAAATCATAACAGCCGACATGAAATATTTAAATCAGCGTCGACTCGCAAAATAAAAGAAGATTTTCGGTTTTAATTCTTGAAACTGCAAAATAAAAAGAGTAAATTCTCAAATTTTGAATTTCATGCGCGTGTGCTCATTTTCGTGCATTACGTTTTCTCTTATATTTCAATTTTAATGCCTCCTCCGACCGCCGTCCTCCCACTCTCACGGTCTTCGCTTAGCTCAGTCAAATATTATAACAAATTTTGTGGGGGCTTGGAACGGATTATATCATTTTCCAGGTAAAGAGCGTCCGTACTTAGGGAATTTTCTACTTACGAAAGGGCTTGGAACAAATTAATTTCATTCCAATTACAAAATCCCTTTCGCAAGTAGAAAATTCTGCAAGGTACGCATGGTGAGAAGAAAGAACAGAGAAATATCGAATAAAAACTACAAATTTGTATTGTAATATTGTATCCAGAGATTTTCGTAGGTAGAGTTCCTAGGTTCGGCCCGCGGCTTCACCCAATTACTTGTATTTGGCCCGCCTATAAAAAAGGTTGCACTCCCCTGTGTTAAGACATTAAACTAAGTGTTAGGAGCAGGGTTAACATAGAACCACTTGCAACTCTGCGAGAGCTGGCAGGTTTGAATACATGGGCAAAATATATACGTGCAAGAGGGTTGCCGTACGCCTATCTCCCGCGAGTCATTACGGCTTTTTCTTTCATTCAAGACCGTGCATTCGGATCAATTACGCAATTATTATATCGTCAATATTGCGATTAGGGCTTCTTGAATACATGAAGTTCTACCAACTCTATGCTTGAACAAATCTGGTTTTAACCAGTCTAAAGTCGTTTTCAAATAATTACTAGGCTGGAATTCAATGTCATTGTTGAGGAAAAATCTATTTATATGAAATGGGGCGATTAGGACTTTGTTTGTAATTTCGCGTTTAATCTGTCACCAAACAGGTGTTTGATCGCCACGACAACCTGGTGCTATAAATAAAGAGCCTAAATCATGAGCGTGAGGTAGTCAAAATTAATTCGTCAAACTTTTGCTGGACACAAATGAAACATATATATATATATTGAGCTGAAAAACTTAATGATGAGACAGAGATTTGAGACCAGTGAAACAAGGACGCCCAAGCTTCAAATGAGCTACTAGTTTAGCGTCTGCGCTTTGTTTTTCATTGAAAATATATTCTTCCGCTAGTTCATGATGTAGTAGGTGGGAGGAGACGCATAGCCATAAAGCCAAGTCAAGTCTTCAGGCATTTTCAAAAATTTCTAGGAAATTTGAAACGTCGGCATTATGCGCAAAATTTGCCAGCATATTATCCTAGATGTTAATCCATGATCTCCTGCTGTTCCATTTACTCTTCGTATAGTAGGTATTAAACTCAATCATGATCACGACGTAACTGTATTCATATCTTGACGTGTAATATGATATGCAGTTTTGTTTTTCAGTGGTTAAGTTAACTTCCACATCTCGACATTGAGTCTGGTTAAAAATGACTTTAAATTGATATATTGCGTTTGTGTCAACAGGGGTATCGGTGGTATCGATGTTTTCTCTTCGACTACTTCGGTCAAGCGTAATCATTACAACAAACCCCCCATTCGGTGCAAATGTCTTTGAACGACTTCAAGTTGACCGATATTGCAATTGTGAATATTTGCGTTTCTTCACCTGGGGCGTATTTTGTTCACTTCGTATATATGACTCAGGTTGCATTACATTCTCACAGGACGTAGAAAGACAACTTTAGATGTCATACATTACTCACGCCACTTAACTCACTGTCACTGTTTCTTGTAACTTCAACACCCAATAAGCTTACTCTGACTAAGGAGCTTGTAGCTACATGTTGACTTAGATGAACTTGGGGGGATTTGGGACAAACTCGGTCAATGCTTGCAATTACCCTTTAGCGCAGATGGAGTGTCACGTTACATATGGAAGTTTTGGAAGCTTGTTGCGATATTGTATTTGCGCATAAACAATAAGTCCCAAACTGGAATAATCACGAGAAGATAACGAGGGTCGAAATAATTAATTCATTGTTGCGTACTTTAGAATTTTTAGTGAAGACCGCGAATTTGTGGTGAAATAGGGTGGATGCTCTGAATATTTATTTGGAGTAATGCAATCAATATTTTACTTTTATTGCAACTTTACTACAACGTTATCGTGTACAGTTTATTATCTTCCCAGCGACCTATATTTCAAACTCATCATATTGTATTACTCATACTGTTGTATTTCTAAAGGAGCCAAACCACGCTGGAACTGCACACAACAGAACAGCCAAAGGATTCCGCCCTGGACCCCCTGTTGCTCATAAGTAGGTTTCTAAATCTGAAACATTAGACTACAATACTTAAGCCAGGATGCAGCAATAACAGTGCAGTTTGCTTTCCCTTGAACTTGTTATAATTTATATTCACTTCAATATTCCTGATGTTCGACTTCCTTTAAAAAGCGACGTTTGGGAATTTAAAAGATATGTAAACTAAATTGGTTTCTCAAGCCCCATCAAGTAGCAAACCTCGATAAGTTTGAATGAAGTCCGAATGTTGGCTCATATACGCTACCGCTTTTTACTTTCAAAATAAGCTTGTTATGTTATTTTTAGGCCTGGCGGATACGTACCTCCATCAATGTCAGACCCATCACAATCCCCAGTTTTTGACCCAAATGCTCTCAAGCAAGCTGCAACTATCAAACAAGGATTGATGGTGGTAAGGCATTACATTTTTATATATTTATATAGCTTCGAATGTGTGATTTTGTAAGCGTAATGCGCTAAAGAGTCCGTACATTGAACATTTCGTTAAGACGAACGTGAATTACCTATTTAAATTTGCATGAATCACTTTTACATGAGTTGTCACGGTTAGAGCATAAGCCATAAAGAAAGAGCGTTTGTAACCCATAAAGTTTACTGGAACAACCTTACTTATAAGAGTTTATAATGGTCAGGCCTTCGTGATTAAGGTTTTTCGTTGAAACAAAATTAACCGAATTACTAATTGACATTAATAGATGCAAGGTCCGGGAAAGTCGAAAGTGGTACATGCGCAATATAACACACCCATGGGAATTTATTCCAATGACAACATCATCGATACTGTTCAAGCACAAGCGAAATCCGTTGGTGTCTCATTGCCTGGGTGAGTTTAAAATATGCGAAAGCATTAATTAATTGATCGGGTAGTTTAAGCTTCTGGACCTATGCCTTTATAAATCTGTATATAATTGAATCAACATGAAATTGTTGGACTCTTTAGATGTCTCCAAGAATGCGGAACTAGAAGGTTGATATAAGACGTTCAGCATAGAATTACCGAAGGTTGAGGCGACTACAAAATGGATCCTGTTAATAATGCCCGTCAGCAATATTTGTGCTTGCAAAGTACTCATTTTTTTCAAAATGAGTTTCAACCTTCGCTTTTAAAGTTATTCATAGTTAGCACTACATTGGTAAAATATGCAACATATAAATTCTGTACAACGAGGATACGCTGTGTACGAGGACAAAGAATTGTTGGGAAAACATTGGTACTTTACGTGCCTGCTTTAATAAAGTTATTTTGAAAATAGTGAGAGACATATACTTGCTTTAATGAGAATAAAGTGGGGTACCTCTCTTCTTCTTACGCAGCTACATTTTTATTAACAATATTTCAGAGCACAAGACGAATCTGCTTACCAACCAGACGTCAACTCGGCTGTTTATAAAGCGGTGCACAGAGCAGACATCAGACCACAGCGTCAGCATCAATCCCGCAGTTTCAAGATTCTTTCAGAGATTGTACAAGATGAATAGAACAAACAAAAAACTCAATAGAGTCACTCATTTGATAATTGCTGGTACAGTTTTACAACCTCTAAACTTCAAATCACGAGAGCTTCAACTGAATCTATTCTACAAAAAAGAAGTTTTTTTCATACAACTGCTTGTGTCGGTTGAAATTAATCAAATTCTTGATGCCATTTTTCTATACTATAAGACTTGGTTAATTTATCCACGTTTCTGCAACATAAATTTAGACATTGGGAGCTTCTCTTGCACAGCCACTGGTGATATACGGTCACTGCATCAAATCATCTACAGCTAATGGCAACTCAACCCGCTTCTGACCGGGCATGAATAATGTACTATTTTTTCATACATCTGCACTTTCTTCACCTATCTTTTTATTTAAAAAATTTGATTCAAAATTTCGGTGCCTATAAATAGTACACACCGCTTGAACGGGTGAATCTATTTGTGTTAGTTCTAGTAATTGTGCTTGCCCTAGTTCTATGCTGCATATATTTTACAATAAAACTCATGGTTACCTAAATCTTTCGTAAATTTACGGCTGGGCATACAAAGTAAAGTACAAAAGAGCAACTGGTTCGCCAAGGCTTAACAATACGGGGACTGAGTATCTATCTCGGGTAAAAAGCTGCTGTTCTCTTAACGCAAACAAATACCTCCGTATCATACTAAATCACTGCGGGACTGAAGAGGCAGAAAATTCTGGGATGACTTGACGACTTGCGCATCACCCTAGCTTGTTCTTAGTTTGGCCATGGCCAAGCGCAGGTTATGGAGCTGTGTGGGTCACCTATTCAAACCGTGCAAAGATAATACTAACAAAAAGGTTTAGTGAACATGACCGCTGGCATGAACAATTAAGTGCCCGAGTATTCCAATGTATGAACTAATGAGCCTTCCCGTGAAGCAATCACCTTTGGTGAGATATAATCACCAGTTTTACTCCAAGAGTGTCAATGGGCAATATCCATAACAAGTTTTTGAATAACATACAATCAATTTCATACAAAAAAGATTCTGCTGTGGAGGCAGTGTATTTAAGTAACAAATATTACTTATAATGAATCGTTGTAAACCAGTCTGGTTTCATTAAACTAGCAGCAGTGATGGCAGTCCAGAGACGGTGGCAGGCATTCTGCGGAATTGAATCCTAATCCCTACGGAGAATGTCGGAGTTATTCTCTCATGACTAGTTATGAAAACAATCGTATTGTGTTGTCAGCAGCAGATGAAAAAATCCACGGTTGAGATGGATGGAAACAACAATCCAAAACACCTAAATTCCTTTCTACTCTGTGACCTTTCAATACCTTCACAGGAACAATAAGTGGATTCTGCAGAAGATCACTAAAAATGGAAACAAATATAAAATTAAAAAGCAGAGAATTCTGTGTAGTTCGGGAGATATGAAGAGACAAATTTTATAACAAAGTCTGTCAAAAAGAAATCAAATCCATATAAACTTATATAAACCAACATAGAATTCCTATTAATATGACACTGGAATTGATGAAAAAATCAAGTTTTTACAAATCACACATTTTATTATTTTTCCACATTAAAAAGACTAAATTGAATTATTATAATACCTTTCAAATTTTTCAAGGATTTTCCTATTTAAAGTAAAAATTCATCAAACACTCGTACTCACCTATATACCATACCATGACTGACAATAACAGATCCATCATCAGAACACGAGGCAAATAATGGATAACGTTTATGATAACAACATGATCTAATCGCTCGCTTGTGATACCGTAATGTTTGATATGGTTTCATTGATAAATCCATATCAAACCACATCAATCGTCCATCATAACTTCCAACCAAAATATCATCACCTAAAAAATGATCATTGTTATAACGGGTATCGCCAAACAGATTTTCGATTTCAAGATTTGTATTTGAGACAAAATAACAAAATTTTATATATGTATGAAGTTTCTAAACGAGAATATCGGTTCAGAGACCAAAGACTTATCGATCGAAAGTTAGGGGATCCCCATAAACAGCGCTCTTACTCCATAGTGACACCTTGTGTCCCGTCACTAATTAATCAATAACTCACTAATTATATGACATAATTCGTCCAAAATTGATAGGCTTCTGGTCCGAGATATGATAAACGGACATGCAAAATTTGGAGCAGATTCAATCTCGCTTTCGTGAGATATCGCGTGCATCTAACAGACAGACAGACATACAAATTCTTAAAATCTATAAATAATAACCAGTATTTGAAAAGAAGACGTATATACTAATATCCATCATTGCCTCAAATAGAAGGCATTTATTATATTGGAACATATTTGAATCACATATACCCACTTGATTCAAACTGCTTATTTTCATTAATTTTTGGTTTAATATATGGTTTAAATTATACAGTTTGATGTTCTAAATTCTATCATTTTTTAGTTTCGAAAAGTGCAGTAATTGGGTATAATGGACTGAATGATACAAAAATCTACTATGTTTAATACTAACCTTTTGGATGAACAGAAATACTAGAAATCCATTTTGCATTTGCAATTAATTTTTTACTTAACGTCTGTTTGATCAGGTTGTAAACACGAATGATAGTTTGTGACTGTAAAAGAAAAATTAAATTTGAATAATTGTGACAGTGAGCATGGTTTCAATATGTGAATCAGCTGGTAGTGGTAGCCATTCATTTTTGAACAAACTGGCTTTTTAATATCAGCGCAGAGTAGAAATCTTGCGATTTTAAAATTACTATACCAAAGTTCCTATCACTCTTTCTACTCTAGTTGAAAATATTAAAAGCAACAAAGGAAAAATCTTGGCATATCTTTCAAAAAGACACAAAATGGGTCTCTTCAGAAATTTCAAAAGATCTTTAAAATATATTTTCTTCAAAAAACTCCTTAAGAATTAACATTGGAAAGAAAAGCAGATGATCAGAATGTCTTGCAGTAAATGCAAATTTTACTTGGTGTTACCCTGGGTAATTATTTTTCACAACATTCTAAAAAAAAATCAAGCAGAAATCCAACTCACCGCTACAAATAAGAAAGGTCTGTTTGGATGAAATAGAACACATTGTACTAATCCTTTGCATTTACTGAATGGATTTTGCGACCTTCGTTTGGTTAGCTGATGCAGAAGTACTTGCATATGTCCATTACCTGGCAATACTGTGGCAAAATAATCACCTTTACCATGCCAGGTAACTTTGGAAACAGCCTGCAAAATAAGAAAATAAAATCCAATTGAAATAAAAAAAAGTATAAGTATGATTAATTACAATATTCAAAATTAATTCATCTTATGAAATAACTTTTGTTTTTAAAAAAGAAAATCAGACTAAATTTATGATCTGCAAAATTCATGCAAAAAAGTGTGAAAAATAAATGTGATACAGAAAATTATTTGGTAATTTTTCACTAAATCAATCTAAAAACAACATTTGAATATATAATTTTACTGGCAATAAATGCTTCTAACTACTAAACAACATTGATTTATGATTTATTGATATAGTCAAGACAAGTACTGTATCAAAGTGTACCGAAAAGTATCAAACTGTACCTAATTTTACAAAAAAAAAGATATAACACCAAAACAATTTTTTTTTTACTAAGTCCATATAAATAAATATAATTTATAATTTTGCTTTCAATGAGACAATTTCAACTAATTATTAGTAAATTTTCAATATTCGTGTATCTGTTTTCACACAAATGTACCAATTTTGACACTAAAATTATCTCTGACTCTACTACCTTTCCATGATCTAATACAATTCTGAAACCATTTTTGAATTCTTCTCCTGGTTCGACAATACGCCATGGTATTAATTGACTAGAGGCTGCATTTTCATTTCCAATTTCGGTATCTTCTTGAGATGGTTCTTCGTAAGAATTTATCAATTGATCAGATGCTTGACATATCAATCTATCTCCAACATAAGGATTGATGATCACCACTGAATTAGCACTGAAAGTAAATGTAAATGTAAAAGGTATATAACAGTCTAATTCAGTTTTTCTACTAATAAAATAGATTAATAGTATAAAAATAGAGCAATGTTCAAATGGACACAAAGGCCAAAACAAAGTAGTATCAAATTTTCTACAGTACGGGTAATACCCCAGCTCGTTGAAATAAGTCAACTAATAAAAATTTCAAAGTAATTGATCCAGTATTTGAAAAGGAGGGTTTTTATACAACAACAATAACAACATGAATAGTAAACAATCCATAGGTCCACTCTGTGTCGAAAACGAAGATCAAAGCTGATCAAATCATTCAAAGTATACACTCCATTGAGCATTGGTTCCAAACCCCTACAATATCTTGCATATAAATAACATCTGTGAAATGTTAAAAAATGTAAAATGTTATCTGTAAAATCTTACATTACAGCAGCCAGCAGACAGACACTTGCATTGGGACACCATACCACACATTTGACAACATCATCAGTATGAATGATTCGAACACATCTACCACTACTCACTTCCCAAACACGAATAGTTTTATCATCACTACCTGAAAGAAAAGATCAATTACAATCTAATTAGGTTTAATTGAAATTGAGTTTTTCCTATCATAGCGATTCTGGTTGGTGGACTCAAATATTAATAATAATATGTAAGGATATAAAAGATACAGATCAAGTTTGAGCTTGTTCTAACGAACATCGATATATTTGAAATTTATGCATTGAACTCGATTAGACAAAAGGTCCCGTGAAAATCTAATGCAATTCAACCCTAAATTTTTGACATTCAAGGCGCTCATAATTGGAATTATAATTATAGTTTTCTAATTTAGAATCCCATCAAACAAATTATCATAATTCTGAATACTCTGAAATCTGAATGGGTAAACACCAAAAATGAAAAAATAAAGCGGTAGCGTCACTTATCTGGATTCTAAAATATTAATAATATATTTGTATTTGGAATATCAAAAATCACGCAAATTATTGTAATGTAAAGCAATTAATTACCTGAAGCGATCCATTGTCCAGATTGATGAACAGAAATGGACCTAATGATATTTTCATGTCCTCGATAACATAGAGCTTGTACTGTGGGAAATGGTTGCAAGTCACTCGGCTTTGGTAATTTTGGAATCAAATCTTCTGGATCAACATTAACCTGGAAAAATTGTTGGAAGATCATTTTATAGCAGAATAAATTGGTACTAAAATTCAGACATTGTTTGATTGGATAATTGATAATTCAGAACTTTTAATTTACTATATCCACTCTGGAGCAATGAATATGCAATTACCAATATATATTTATGCAGAAGAGCGTCTCACATTATCACAAGAACTTGACACAAAATGATCAAATTTTTTAGAGACAACTGGTAATATCAGATGACTTTTTGCACACAAAAGCAAACTCGTGCATCACATGATCAAATTTGCATATATTATGAACATTTATTAATTTAAATATTATAGTAAAATTTTCGGCGCTCCTGAAGGATGTGTACCAATACAGAGGTAACTAATTTTGTTCGCCTACTTTACATCAAGTTGTGTAAATGGACTGAAACCTATGGGCAGGGGGTATATCCACTTGGCTAATACAGACAGTCTCCGAACTCGTAATAGAACTAAAATAGGGAAAGTCGAAATAAAATTATTATCTTGCCCTAGCCTGGTACACGTACTATTGGAAGACCAAATTTTCCTTACGTTGCACCCTGATTTGTATCACGAACAGTAAATCAAGAATGACTTTAAAAGTTGGGAACCCTTTGCTCCAGTTTATCAAATTCTCATAAAATCCTGCCACCGTTGAACCAGAATACTAGAATGCAAACTCACTCTCATTTTTCGTTGTCTTGGACATAAATATAAATCGAGACATCTTGCAAAGGCATCTTGAATAAATTTAGGATACTGAGGAACTTTCCGTAAACAATCATATTTTTGAGGCACAAAATTTGTTTTCCTATCCTCTGGATCCTCTTGTTCCCATGCCAGTCTCTAGATAGAGAATTTTTTGATTGAAATAGGATAATTTGAGTAAATTGCTATTACAAATAGAGTGTCTTTATCAGCGTAGCAAGTTTAATAATAGAGGAAAAACCTGATGGGTATTATATTAAAACAATATACATATAAACATTCTAGAATTTGAATGAAAACTTGTAGAACCCCATGACTGCCCTGATGAAACCCTGGTAGAGAACAACTGGGTTAAAAAAATTGACGTTGGGTGCGAATACAGGTCTGATACAATTTTAATATACCACAATTCCCGAAAAAATCATAAAATGTACTAAACTCCCAACTTCAAATTTCGTTGAAATAATGAAAAAAACAGTACTTTCCATGATGAGTAATCTTCTATTAAACTTTTACTGGATGATTTATAAGCTAAAAGAAAAAATTAAAGTCACCTCTTCTTCGGACATTAGATATTCAGGTGGAGGATTATAAGAAGCCTCATGTCCTGGCAATTTGACTTTTGGAGCAGGAATATGCATCTTACGACGAGCAATTTGACTGTGTGACTGGAATTTAATACAAGAAAAAATATAAAATATTTTACTATTCAATGAATATTGCAATGACAAAGGGAGAGAGAGAGACATAATCATATGACATACAAGGCCTTCTGATATGGTTACAAGTTACCAGTTTTAGGAATAGCCAAGAAGTTGGATGTTTCATGTTTATGGATTTAATTAGTAAACAGGCATACGATCTATGCAGACTATAATATGTACAGAATAGCCTACATAGTAATTTTTTCAAAATATTTGAAAGCAATAATTAAGCAAAAATTTCATATTTTCTTTATGCTCACCAAGTTTTCATCTTTGCTATCTGCCCACAAATCAAAAAATACAGGTTGTTCATCTTCTTTTTTCTCTTTTCTAGGTTTTAACCAACCCATCTTGATGGCATGCACAAGTTTCCCAACCTAAAAATGTATTCAACAAATACAGTTAAATCTGTAGTTTTACATGTTCACATTAATATCAGAGTCGAGGCCAGATTTGTGTTTCAACATTCCCAGATATGGGTTTGTATTTTTAATTCGTTTGAAATTTTGGTCTTCTAATACTGGTGAGCAAGGTCAAAATTTGAATGGAAACTGAAAAGCCTAACCCATTCCCATTTGATCATTTTGAAAGATGAATATTTAATGATTTTAAAACAAAAACAATTTGTTGAAATAGAGTTCTAGCCATCAAACATATACCTGTTGGTCACAATTCAAATAGCAAACTGTTTCGTTTGACAACTCAAAATCCTTACTACTGTACTACTGACCTTAAGTTTTTCATGATGTGATGGTGTAAAACTTCTCTTGTGTGCTGGTGCATTGTTGATAGGATGAATCATTTTTTCATGTGTGAAGAAATCGACATAAGGCTGAATAGGAAAAGACAAAATCTTATAATCCAGATCTTTGGAATGAAAAGCAAAAACTTCCTTCATTCAATAGAAACAAGCCTGGGAGGCTAATCATACTGAGATGCATAGCTCCTATTCCTGAGCTTCTATACTCTTTTATTTCATACCTATAACGACGCTCCAGAAGTGTGTGTACCAAAATGGAGGTGACTAATTTTGTTCGCTTACTTTACATCAAGTTGTATAAAGGGACTGAAACCTATGGGCAGGGGGTATATTCACTTGGCTAACACAGACAGTCCACGAACTCGTAATAGAACTAAAATGAGAAAAATCGGAATAAGATTATGGCCCAACCCTGACCTGGTACACAAAATACAGGAGTACACCTGAGTCTATACCTGCTTTACCAACAAAATCCACTAAAGGTATGTCTCACAAAATCTAGGGGAAAATAATTTATGTATCTATTCCCTCATTAAGTCTTCAAGTTTGACGCTTATTTTTAAAACAAATTGATATGTTACCTCATAGGGATCGATTGTTGAATTATAAAATTTTCCGGTCTTAAGTCTTGACACAAGTTGCAATTCATCTTCAGTCAATTTATGATCACGAGCTGTGTTTTCATCATAAACAGTTTTCCTGAGAAAATGAAATCATAAATAGAATTAGCACCAATACTATAGACAGCAGTAGGTGGTTCAGATATTACCCATATTATATTTTCAAAGCCCAGATCATTAAAGTAAAGAGTTTAGAGACTCTTATTTAACCAAGAATTGTAGAAAACACAAGGTACAGCTGTAATATAGAAACACCAGACAATAAATTATTAAAATTCCTTAAATAAAAAAATAAATCCTTGATTCCAATATCTTACCAATAATCAGGATTGTCCATTTTGTCTAAAAATTTATCCAGTTCATCCATATTTCTGATGGGTTTTGATATTTGTTTCCCATCCAAGTCATAACCGATATGTGGGAAATTCTCATACCATTTCATAGGTATATTTCCTACTGTATTCCTAATATCCTGTAAATGAAGAAAATATACATATTACATAAACACCATTGGAAACATGGAAGGAAAAATGGTGCTACGCCAGGTGATTCAAATTGAGATATTCACATTTAGCAATAGGCAGTAATTTTAAAACTGTTGGCTATCTCTGAGAAATTTTCTTTTCCATATGACGCTTACTCATATGACGCTTTTGATGTCGTTTTTTTAGACAAGTTCACTCAAAGATTTTTTGTTGTTGGATATTCGCAACAACAGACATTGTTGAAGTGCACATTCAACAGATCTATGATATTCTTATATTATATACAATGTTACCTCTTCATCAGATGTGTCATTATCATCATTATTGGCATCTGTAACGTCAGAGGATGGTGTTACTCGCTTTATGATTGATGAAGATTCTGTTTTCTCTTGATCCTGATTTCTTTCATCACTCAATTTTAAATAATCTTCATCAACACCAGAATCTTCACTTGATAAATCAAAATCTGGGAAAATAATGAATGGAATAAAGCAAAAAATTGAGTTGGCGTACAATAGCGTAAACATTGACAAAATGAATCCATTCAGCAGTGCGGATAAGATAGATAGTTAATCTTGAAAAATTCATACATTAATAAACACTAATAGAAAGAGAAAATTCTGGAGAGCGAGCAAAACCTCGCAAAATAAATATAGACATAATGTTGGAATTTTAGTCCGATGTTTCTGTTCGTGCTTTAATTGGAATGGCGTCATGTTTGAATCTTCATAAAGTAAATGTTTTCGACTCCCAGGGTTTGAAATTTCAAGCATGATTATTTGAGCAGGTAGGATTGAAAAATAAAATTTTCTAGAAAAAATTTTGTTACCAAGAGTGACAGATTTAGTCAAAATTTTAAGAAATGAATTGATGAAAATGTTATCGGGAATTTAACAAGATCAATAAATTTCATAAACACAATGTTAATTACCTGACTCATTTTCACTCAGTTCATCTTCAGAGGACTCCTCTATCTTTATATTAGTGTCAAGAATCTGAATAAATAGAATAATAATATGACCGTCAAAAAATATTTCAGTATTTATATTGTCTCATATCTGCATATGTGATTACAGGATTAGTGCATAGAGGAGTACTGGAGTAGGTTAGGTCAGGTAATTTAGTAACTGCTGGTCCCAATGCTGTTTATGTCAGTAGTAATAACTTATGACGTTACCAATATTTGAAAGTTTGTGGAATTTTAAATATTTTAAAATTTTGAAATAAAATCTTCAGTTTTACAGAATTGTCACTTACTTTATTACTATCGTCATCCAGCTTCCGCTTTTCAATTGACTTCCTCATTCTAATCCAAGTGTGAGATCTTTTTAATTACTACAAATCAAGTTGTTTATGCAATACTGCAATACCGGTACCCTGACCTGACAGCAGGAAAGTATGTCGGTATGGTACGTACAGACAGACGTACGGTAGGCTACTCTGGACAGAAAAATAAATCAATCAATTACAAACTTGCTGACAAAAAACTCTTCAATAATCAGGCACTATCAGTCAGTCAGTAGGTCAGCATGGGAAAATATGGCAAAAGCATCGCATGGTGACATGCTTGTGCTTTTCTTCAAAAACGTGAAAACAAACACCCCGTTAGTCGTAAAAAACAGGACTCCAACCACCGTCGTTACACCGATGCAATTCTGATACAGGAGACATTGCATGGCAAAAATATCTAATGGTCATTTCTGAAGCATTATATGGAAAAAAGCAATTATCAAGTTGACAAAGCACAAAAATCAAAAACTGAAATGTATTAGAGAATGCGAAAATAAGCAGATTTATATTGGTATCCGTAGTTATAAATGATATCTTACTGGATAAGATAAAGTGTGTGACTTTTAATTACATTCTTCTACTGATTTGACTGTTGCATTCTCATCTACCGTAGGGTAGCTCTCTACGGTCTATACTGAAAACAAAAATATCAAAAAATAAAAGAAGTGAATATATGAAAAATCAGGGAAGCTTAGAAGCACTGAAATCAAAACTAGACAACGGGGAAAAAGTATTAAAGAAGTTTAAAGAATTTAAAAGGAAAACAACAAAAAGAATCAAGTCAAAATTAGGGATACAAAATAAAGCTAATGATTTTGATTATTGAGAAAAGTGTACAAATTGTTTTTCAAAAATTTGAAGGAAAAACATAAAAAATGCACTATAGAAAGAATAAAAGATAAGAATGGCAATTACTTCCATAATTTGAAAGAAAAGTTGAATATAGAGAAGCAATATTGAACAAGTTTATATAAAAAAAGTGAGACAAACAAAAAAGAGCAATCTCTTTTTTAAACGCCTTGGAAATAAGATTTGCGATGAAGATGCAATTGCTATTAACTCCAAAATAATTATGGATGAAATAGAAAGAACCATGAAAAACAACAAGAAATATAAAACCCCTGGACCAGATGAATTAAGCAAGGAGTTCTATGAATATTGTTGGATAATTGGAAGATAATAAAATAAAAGTTCACGGAAGTAATGCAGGAGATATATGATGAAGAGTACATACCAACAGACATGAAATTAGGATATATGACATTAATACATAAAAAAGGAGAAGAAGATATACTGTAATAGCAAATTACACACCAATAAGCTTGCTGAATTATGGTTACAAACTGATGTCAAAAATTTTAACGAATCGGATTAAAATGGGGATGCCGACAATAATAAGTCAATATCAATCTGCAATACCTGGGGGGAAAATCACAGATTCATTAGTTTTGGTACGAGGTATATTTCCTGAAGTGGAACGAGGCAATAGTAAATCATTTTTGGTATCCTCGGATTTTGAAATGGCATTTGATTCTGTCGATCTGGAGTATATGTATGTATTAGAAAAAAATTGGTTTTAAAAATAAAATAATTAGTGTAATAAAGGCAATGCAAAATAACATAAAAAAAAATGTATTATCATCAATGATGGAACAAGAGAGCTATGCTCAAATATACGGACACGTAGCGCCACCCAATGGCAATAATTTTGATGACGTCATAGCAACAACAAAAAAGTAATAGCCTTCTGGAGAAAAATTTTATCTTTAACCACTGAAAAAAGCAATTGGTCCAGTATTCGAAGAGAAAAGCAATTTTTTATTAATAATGACGAAAGAAAATAACAATAACAAAATTTTGAAACGATCGTTATGGCCACTAAATGTGTCTAATAAATGAAAGTTTTAGTATTGAAAGATGGGTCAGACAAGGTGATCCAGTAAATCCTATCCTATCCTAAGTTTATGTTTAGAAATGAAGCTGTATTTCAAAACGTAAGGCCATTTGTGGACAGAGTTTTCAAAAACGTTAAAATGTCGATTGTTGGTCGTAAAAATATAGAGACTCAAAGGAATGACTCTAAGTACAAAATCGTAAAGTTCACGATTCAGAAAGATCGTGAACTAATTCAGTGGAAGCCATTATTTCTACAGTACATACCATATGATCGAATTTGACGCAAGTGTGCCAAACTCTTTCAAATTTTTTTGAAATACCCAAGACAATTGATTTAAATTAACCACTTCAATGCGCTGTATATTTTTTCAGTTATGGTGGTGGGATTCAAATTTTTTGTCAGCCGTTTCCATCATACAAATGTCATATTTTCAGGCGGTTCTGTTACAAAAAGTCATGTAATGCTAACCGGTTCGCTGATCTCATAAAATTCTGTGAGACGGTTCTATAGAACCAGTGCGAACCGGCTGGTTATAACTATTAACATATCGGTGGTAGAAATGGGATGTATTCCACTATCAAGCATTTAATTCGTATAGAACCAGTTACATATTACACAATATCCAATCCGATAACCGGAGTTTTTAAAAGCAGGAACAATGGCTGCCTATTTTCGCAAATAAACTTTTTCTAAATAATTTTGATCGGAGAAATTTCAGGAGATCATTCTTCAGAACCAAGGCAGATTCTAATGACTGACCCAGAAGCAGTCGAAGAGCTGAGCTCGGCAAGTCGGCGGGGAAGCCATGCCACGTGTTATCGAAACTTCATTTGAACTAATGTTGGTACGTTTTGAAAATCGGAAGTTTATTATGATTTAGGATAGGATAGGATTTACATATTTATCCCAGGGGAGAGGAAAGCCGATAAGACGGCTTATCCATATGGCGAACCACGGCCTCTCGTCCGGTTACCATTCCAAGTCGGGTATGGGATTAGTTATATTGTTTATTTTCGGAAGCATGGACTTGGTGGTGGAGGAAGCCGTAACCGACCAGCGGTTACGTGAACCACCCAACGACGGCGAGGAGTCCAGCAATCCTCTCGCACATAACCATCCCTGCATGGGATTCGAACCTGCGAATTACATCAAGCCTACATAATTTAAACATAAGTTGAACATAATTTGTCAAACAATTCCGCCTTTTTCCCAGGATTAGTGTATAATTTCGATACCATTAATAAGAGGAGGAATGGCAGAACACTATTGATCATTTTCCAAAAATTTCATGTGTAGTAGTACCGGGTTTTATTGAATTTACATATTTTTATATTGTTCTAGACTACAGAAAATATTGTTTTTGGTAGATCCATTACGCCGATGGCTGTGGTAAGATCTATTTCCTTTCGCTGTCGTCATAACACATTCCGAGAGATGCCGTAATGCAATGCGGTTTCGATTGTTACCGTCTATGGGAGATGAACTCTGCAATACCAATTCGAACCCAATATGCGAATAAGTTCTCTCAATCACCCCCAGTCACCTTTTTTGGGGAATCATGGCATGATATTGTTGGATTTTGTTTTTGAATGAAGCTGCAACAAAACACGGTCAAAGATTCCGAGAAGAGGTTGAGCCTAGATTGATTAGATAAAGGCAGAATCAGACACGAGATTCAGATTGAGATTTGAAGGGTTATCCGGATATGGAGTTAAAAATAGATTTGACAATGTAATAAAGGGATTGGGAAACGGTGTAGTTACGTACTAGAGTGCCGAAAGGGCCCATTTCTTTTGTTTATTGTATTTTACCCATTACTACGTCTACAAGTGAATTAATTAGTTAAAATTTAAAATAATTTTTTTTCGCATCTTGTTTTTTTAAAATGAAATAAAACGGTGATTTTAAATCGGTATTCCGCGATCACTGATGTTCCTGTTCCATGAACGACATTTGGTTGTTCCGCGACAAATTGTTGTTTCTTGATTTGTTTAATTAACACATTTATGATAACAAATTGAACAATAGAAACCAAAATTCACCAGTACTTACTTAGTTTATGACGAGTCTGGTTTTGATAATAGGAATTTTCAGCGCGAATTATATATATAACATCTCTGAATCTCGTTTTCAGGTTCTGTGACATCATAACTTAAATTTGTTTAGCTATTAGAATCAGTGATGGAGGTTTGTCAACATTATTCACACCGTATACCACACGTTATATTAATCACTCTTGCCATAGCGCAGGGGTGTGCAACCTTTTTACAGGCGGGGCAAATACAAGTAACTGGATGAAACCGCGGGCCGCAATCAGAAACTCTACCAACGAAAGTCTCTGGATACAAAAATATTGTAGTTTTTATTCGGTATTTCTCTGTTCTTTCTTCTTACCATGTGTACCTTAAAAGAATTTTCTACTTGCGAACGGGTTTCTGTTATTGGAACGAAATTAATATGTTTCAAGCCCCTTCGTAAGTAGAAAATTCCGTAAGTATGAACGCTCTTTACCTGAAAATCTATTAACCCGTTCTAAGCCCCCACAAAACTCGGACATAATATTTCACTGGGCTAGGCGAAGGCCATTAAGAGTGGGAGGAAGGCGGAGCAGGCGTTAAAGATTTTAATTCTTAGAGAGAACGTAATGTAAGAAAATGAGCACACGCACATGAAATTCAAAATTAGAATTAACTCTTCTTATTTTGCAGTTTAATTTACTTTTTTATATCATTTTCTCTAGTTTTAACTGTTACGCATATCATCACAATATGCGTATAGATTTTGTGCCGAGGCCGCACAAAATATCTCCACAAAATTGAAATATACGTTAATAATAATAAAATATTTTTAATCAAAAACATCCGTTACGTGTAATAAGCACTTCAAGTCAGAGCTAATTCAATTCTTTCCATGTCAACTGTAATTTACTGCCGTGCCGCACACACGACCGCCTTCGATTACGATAAAAATGACATAATTGTAAAATGTTTTAAATCGAAACGCTGTCGGTGGCGCTGTGATATGTGCGCCATATTCGGTATTCTCACAAACACGAAAAACGATATTGGAAATTCGCGATATTAGAAAAATAAATACGAATTGGACCTCTGTGCGTCACGAACTGCATTAAATCAACCTAAAATTAACAAATGTCACCACACGCGTTTTTTTGTTTTCGGCCTTTCGCACGTTAAAAATCTGAAGTTAGCTGAAGCAATATTTTTACGAGAAGAATTTTTGTAGTTAGATTTTTCGTATCCAAAGCCTTTCGTAGGTAAAGTTTCTAGTGTAGTTGCAAGCACAATTTATTTTTATTTTTTCATTACACATTATCCCATCCGAGGGTGACGTGATGACGTGAAAAATACAAACATAAGAACCGTGATGTCGTGAAAAATACGATAAAATCATAAGCTGTTGGTATGATTGATAATTTCGTATTGGGCGTGGGAAAATTGTGAGTATGAATCATCAAGTTTTCCCGCGAAAACCAAAACGATGTGTGAAATTGATTAGTGATCCATATCGATGATAACAATTTCATATTACATAGAAAGTCTACCAAATGCTTTCTGAGCAGTGCTATGGATATTGAAATAAATGAAGACCAACACAATGAAAATAGAAAAAATTGAAGATGGCTTCGCAGTTTGTTTAAAAACATGCATATTATTGAAAACACGACGTCAGACGTTGTGGTCACGGTCACGTACACGTCACGTCACGAGTTTTAAATGCCTTGGGCTAATATTGGCAATGAATAACACGATTATGTGGCAGAGTACGAAAATTACATAATGTGAAATTTTGTGATTCATTCACCGCAGAAATATGTTTAATCACATATCGTAGTGAAAGCATTAATTTGATGACGTATAATTTTTGTATGCGCGAATAAGTCAAAAATGTCTATTTTCAAGTGGTGTCGTAATCTGGAAAAATTTCATTCGTCTTATTCCGCAATGGGTTACTTACTTTCAAGTAAACTACACCACCAGTATGGTATAGGCATGCGGTACAGCAAATCTACCCTCGTCGTGTGTTTGCACTTTCGTCACAGTCTGACGATATGCGTATGCAAAATGAAGTCCCTGGGGCTTTTCCATTTACGAAACTACAAAAATATGCATCAGCTACTTAGGTCAATAATTCTTACTGGAAAACCAATCGGGGACATTTTACAACAAGTTGAAATAGAGCAAGTGAAATACTGCAAAAACAGTGACGTATTTCGGTGTATTCTCAATATTTACCAATCGTCATCGCGACTATAAATTTGGATTCTTTGTTTAATGTAGAGTAAGAAGATTAAGACATCAATTTAACTCCTTACAACGGGTCGTACGTATTTGTACTTATGTGAGATCGGAAACTCATTTGCAATGTTGTTTGCTTGGTGACGTTATACTAACAAAATAAAAATAACGATTATTACAATGAACTTGAAACATAAATAACAAATATGTGTACACAAGTATAATATTATATACTGAAAACGCACCGATTATTCATCCGAATAATATATATAAGTAGAGCGACTAACAAAACAATATTAAACATAAGAACACACGAATTCAGCTAACTTTATTAGTTCATTTTGAGAAATTCCTTTCACATGAGTCAAAAGTTCGAGATAAGGCCGCGCATGCGGTGCTTTATTTGTGAATGCCATTCGAATGAATCATATTCGGAAATAATTCATAAGTACCTTTAATCGCCATAGACAATCCCCTTGTTCAACAAATTCAACTTTTACAATCTTGTGGGATAAATCCCGAAAAAAAAAAACGCACAGTCCTAGAACGCCAATTGTTGTAGCCACAAACCACCATCGCCGAATCAGCATACACAATTATTATTATTTAAAATTGAGAAGTTTGTTTAATTATTCTGGTTATTTTTAGCGTCCTTTTTAATTTCGTGTTGTCATTTTCGAAACTTTTGTTAGTTTTAAGGGTGAAACAAAATACACATAGGCCTACTTTGTAAGAAATAAAAACACACATGTAAACACGGCAGGATGTCGAACCAAGTTTCATAATTATGTCCGGAAGCAAGACTGAACTTAAAATTCAAAAAACGGGTGGAACGAATTATTATGTAAGGCAAAGTGAACGCGCTACGTGTTTGCGGTGTCGGGTATTTACAATTTGACATTAATATATTATTCACGCCGTTCATCTGAGTAGAAATAATAAGCATCGTAAGCGAGTTGGGTTAAAGAAATACGCAGTCAAGTTCTAGTTAAGGGATTTTAGTAATTCATGAAATTCTCAATATGTTGAAATATGCAATTTAAAATCCATTTTTTCCAAATATAAAATATTTGTACAATATTTAGATACATTTTGGCGAGCAGTTTGAGAAAGGGCTACAGAATACAGTGTAGGCTATATATGTAAGTCAGCATAATATGCATTAACTAATAAAATATAAAAGTATGATGTTATTGTATTTTGTGTATTACCCAGTTAGAGTAAAACGTTTTACAAGTACAGTATTAAGGTGCCAAGCACAATGAAAATACATTCTGTGGTCGCTTGTGACGATAACTGGGGGATTGCCAAAAACGGAACCTTGCCGTGGAAATTACCGTGAGTTCCTTGAAATATATTTTATTTTTCAATTAGATAAAGCGAAGACTTTCGCATTCTTAATATCTCTATAACTCTTCAACGGCCCTGCAGCTATGCGACGGAGTTAGGTGCACAAGCGACGACCACCTGATCAATTATTATATGCTAAGGGCAAAGACGCGAATAACGACGTATTTCTTTATTTTGGGCAAACAATCACGAAGTAAATGCACGTACTGTTTTAAGTTTAAAAATATCCACTAGATCGATATTTTTAGCCAGAGAAGACGCGGTCGGTGCGGAATCACGATCGCTATTTTTGTTCTGAGTGACGGCATTAACCAATATAGCATCGGTAGACTTCTACGGTTTGGTGTTTAAATGTCCCAGAAGAAACACCAGTGATAGAAATTACTGCTCTAAGAGATTTACTTCCTGTCGCACAAAATAAGCACCCACCGTTAAGCCTGACTTACGATGTCAAAAGGAGACAAATGATACGTGAGCGAAAAAATAGGGTTTCCGCCATTGAACCGGGTTGAAGTGGATCGCACCACGGCCACACGAGACCTTCTTTACATATGATCTTCGTTGGGCAACTTGAAAAATTGTTTGTATCGTAATTTTGAAAGCATGAACCACACATAGAACACGCATTATTGGTGCCAAAATATTTGCCAAGAGCGAGAACTTCAAGCGTATCTATGAAACACCGTTTAAAGCCAGTGCAGTCGTAGTATGAGTAATGCTGAGACAGATGCGCCGCAAATTGCCAAGCGATAAACCACAAGTGACATCACAACCGAAGAAGTCACGTGACGAAATATCTCATCGCCAGCAGCTTGTGAATTCTGAGGCCAATCTCTGATTGAAAGCATTTATCTATGCGGGATGGGCGTTCGACGTTGCCTGGGGGTAGTTTCATAGTCTGTTGTGATTTTTGTAGTAAACTAATCATATAACGCACATCATAGTATTGGCTGACGTGACAGCGACTGCACTGACGTTTCTTCGACTGCACTAAAGGCGTAGAAACAAAGAAAGGCTCGCGAGAGACGTCGACGACGCCCAATGCGCGAAGAACGGAGAAAATCCCACGCGTAGCTCGTCTCTCTTTTATGCTCTCCCACTATTTTGATCTGTGTAGCGTAAGAAGAAATACAACGAGTCACGTAGGAAACGATATCAGCGTTGCCGGGTTTTAACAGCGAGGTCGGTTGTTACAAACCACAAGTTATGAGTTTTGTCAAATCGCGTGATAGTCATTTTCTTAGGTTTTGATTTAGAATATTTTTGAACATGGACGGAATAGGACCTGAGACAGTAAATTCTACGTTGTCACCGGCTGAGATTAACGAACTTTCTAAAATCGACAGCTGTCTTTTCGGTGACCGTGTTTTGGAGAAGGAGGATGAAGCGGCGAGACTGAAGGCACTGTTGAAAAAGGGGGTCGAGCATTACACCAAACTGGCCACTGAGACAAAAGACAATAAAGTATTGTCAGGTCATCTCTGTAAATTGGGGCACTTTCATTTACTACTTGAAGACTACCACAAAGCCTTATCTGCTTACAACAGATACTACACTCTGCACCCAGATCATTGGAGAAATTCTGCTTTCTTGTATGGGGTTGGCATAGTTTATTATCACTTCAGCGCCTTTTCGTGGGCCACAAAGTTTTTCCAGCAATTGATTTACAATGATCCATGCTTTCGAAAAGCAGGGGAAGTATTTTGCAGGTTGGGTCTAATCTTCAAGATAAGTGGCAGCCACGAAGCTGCTATCAAGCATTTTAAACTTGCCCTCAGTGACCACCGTAGCAGTGGAATAAGTAGATGTGAAATAAAATTCCATCTGGGCCATTTATATGAAATTCAACAGAGATTTAATGAAGCTAAAACAGAATATGAAGACATATTGAAGCTTCCCCCAGCTCAACTTACAACTGCTGTGCAGGCAAATACGTTAAGGCAGTTAGGATGGCTGTATCATACAGTAGAAGAATTTGATCCTGCAACGAGGTCACAGAAAGCACTGGAATTACTGCAGAGATCTATTGAAATTGATTCAAACAATGGTCAAACATGGTACTTGTTGGGAAGGTATCATTCCAGCATGGGAAAAGTACATGATGCCTTTGTTTCTTATCGGCAGTCTATCGATAAGTCTGAAGCAAATGCTGATACATGGTGTTCGATCGGGGTTTTATATCAAGAGCAGAACCAACCGATGGATGCTTTACAAGCTTACATATGTGCTGTGCAGCTTGATAGAGGTCACGAGGCAGCATGGCGTGACCTCGCTATATTGTACGAAGCATGTCAGCAACCTAAAGATGCTTTAGTTTGCTATATCAATGCACAAAGGTGCAAAGAAAATAAAAATGACGGTATTCAAAATCCTGAAGTTGCGGAGCGCGTAAAAGCGATAGAGCAAATAATTAAAGCACAAGACATGAATGGTCAACAAAATCATGGGAAAATACTGCCTTCCATTGAAGAAGCATGGACTTTACCAATTCCTGCTGAACTGACGCAGAGGCAAAGCGCATTTAAATGTTCTCCATCAGTAAAGCAAGATTCAAAGTCTTTTTTGACCTCCAACCCGTCAACCTTATCTTCAACCCCAGGTCACATAGTGAATCAAAACACTGATGAGGCAAAGTCTCCAATTCTAGAGCAGTCTTGCAGCTGGTATCTAACACCACAACAACTGCAAGTAATGCATAACCTTCAATTGAATAAACCTCTTTTGACGCCAACTCAAACAATGGAACTCGAGAGACTCCAACACACTCACTTGCTGATGCTGGAACATCAGAAAAAACTGACAAAATCAACTGATGGTAATAATGTTTCGAAAACTGAAAATAAAACTGATGATACAGACTCCAAAAAGAACACTCTATTGCCTTCAATTACACAGCTTCAATCAGGCTCTAGCGACACAAATATCGATGTTGTCATAAGTTCGCCGAAAGAAATTGAGGAAACTTCTTTACAAGATTCTGAGATTCCAAATAGACCATTTCCACCGTTATTGACACCTTGTGGAATTTCAGAAACCATGCTGGCTCGTGAAGTCATCACGACATGTCGAAAAATCGTATCAAATCATACTGTTCCAACTGAACATTTATATTTAGATAAATGTCCTCCTCCAAATCGTACATCAACTCCACAACCATCTTTGTCAAAAGATAAGTTGTGTCCTCCCACACCAACAATTTATTTGGAAAATAAAAGAGATGCAATGTCTAAAGCTTTAGCTAATTTTTGCACACATCCTGGAAATCCTGTAACAGTTATCCGTGGGCTTGCTGCCGCACTAAAATTAGATCTGGGACTTTTTTCAACTAAAACTTTAGTAGAATGTAATGGTGATTGCCAGGTTGAAGTCAGAACCCAATTTCGGCAACCATCTGATGAAAACTGGGATGTAACTGGCCAGAAACGTGTATGGAAATGTGAAAGCAGTAGATCTTTTACAAGCATTGCAAAGTATGCGGAATATCAGGCAGCTACGTTTCAAGAGTCATTGAGGGAAGACACAAAAAAGCACCAGTCGTCAAGTACTGGTGGTGATGGGCACTCTCACAAGGACCAGTCTATTGAAACTGACAAGTCAACAGATGCTCAAGGCATTAAGAAAAAGAATTTCAAAATAATTAAGTTTGGCACTAACATCGATTTATCAAATGAGAAAAAGTGGAGAGATCAGCTCCAAGAGCTGGCAAAATTGCCCTGGCTTTTTCGATTGGTGTCTGCTGGTAATATGTTAAGCCATGTTGGTCAAACTATTCTTGGCATGAACACAATACAGTTATATATGAAGGTTCCTGGCTCTCGAACACCAGGCCATCAAGAAAATAATAACTTTTGTGCTTTGAACATCAATATTGGCCCGGGTGATTGCGAGTGGTTTGCTACACCAGAGGAATATTGGGGAGTTATAGCCGAGTTGTGTGAACAAAATAATGTGGATTATCTATCTGGTTCGTGGTGGCCTATATTGGAGGATTTGTATAATAGAAACGTGCCAGTATACAGGTATATACAAAAACCTGGTGACCTTGTGTGGTTGAATGCCGGTACTGTACATTGGGTACAAGCGATTGGTTGGTGCAACAACATAGCTTGGAATGTTGGACTGATATCCGCATATCAATACCAAATGGCCGTTGAAAGATATGAATACAATAAGCTGACAAAATACAAATCAATTGTACCTCTCATCCACTTAACATGGTACTTAGCACAACACATTCGTATTACCGATTTCAAGTTGTTTAGAATGTTGAAAACTTGTATGATGCGAACATTATGGCAAAGTCAAAAGACATTGGATACATTGAAGCAAAGTGGTATCAGTGCTGTTTGGCATGGCAAAGGAGAAAATGAACCAGCACACTACTGTGAAATATGTGACGTGGAAGTATTCAATCTCCTCTTTGTGAGACAGATTCAAGGTAGCAATAGCCATCTGGTGTACTGTGAAGATTGTGCCAGAAAGGAAAGCACAAACTTGTCTGGCTTTGTTGTATTAACTCAATATCACATGGATGAGTTAATGACAATATATGACCAATTTACCTTAGCTACTAAACGAGTAAAAAAGACATAGTTGATGTGTTTAATGCCATGATTTTTATGAACACGATTGGGATTATAAACACCTTTGTTTGTGCATATAGGCATATTTACCAAACATACCTTCATTTTTTGTGTAAATTGCATATTCAGGGAGAGGGATATATTTTCATGGGGTTTAAAGTTTTCTTTATTTTTTTTTTGTAAGAATTTTAGAATGGTGATATATTGATCATGCATTGACAATTAGTCTATAAAATTTATCTATGTTCAAAAGTTGTTCGATTTTCAAACTGTATCCCAAAATGATAGTATATAACTTTACAGTGTAAAATCGTTATACATAGATAATTTGACAGAAAAAATTGCTTGACTGTCTTGTCATCTACGTGTCATTCAAATAAATTGACTGCTTGAGTTTAAACATTCCCATTGGCAGTTCATGAAGTGGTGTCTAACAGCTCAAGTTGTTTAAAAAAGCCTCGTTGATTGAGTCTATGATTCCTATGTATTGCTTAGTATTTATAAAACACAATAGTTAATACTCTAGGAAAATGAGTCTTGTTTTGTGAAATTATTAGTTAATATGAATATTTATTATTAACTGACCTGAATTCGTGACTAGTATTTTGTAAAAAATGTTCCTTTAACTAATTTATTCCATAAATTACCGTTTTAATGATGTAGGAAATTTGTAGAAATACAGTGATTCAATAAATCCTTGTACAGTAAAATACCTTTTTGTAATTTTTTGATAATGTTCTGGTTTTTTGAATTACTCAGCATAATGTACAATGATATTTTTGTACTTTTTAAATACTATTTAAATTGGCCTAATTTATACTACTTCTCGTGCTTGGGAGTGGACCGCTTGTATTAATAATTGAAAATTGCTATTTGTATCTTAATTTTTCTTATCTGTGACATGTATTCATCAATAATAACGCCTTCCATATGCCCTTGTGGCTTGTGAATGTCTATAAATAATGTTTATAAGTCATGATGGTATCATTATGTTGTTGATTATCTAGATTTTTGGTACTGTATTATACTTGTAGGCTTTGAATTTGACCTTAGGCGAATTGTGAATGTTGTGCGTTTTTCGTCATAGGCATAGTTTCGTTATCAAATCCCCAGGGTCAAAAGCTGCAGAATCGCGGCACACAATTACCTCGTTAGAGAGCAACTAACAGCCATCATCTTCTACCTGATTTGTGTATTTTATAATTTTGCATAATATGCAATTATTCCATTCTTTCAGGAATTTGGCACTTGCATAGAATGTATACAAAACATACTGAATGACTGTAGTATTGTGTATCGCGGGTTTGCATGAATTGATGTCCCTATCGATAAGCTTGTATTGATTACGTTTTGACAGTTGATAATTTAACTGACAGCGTAGTAGTGCCGATGTGTAGGTCTCTGCACGATTTTATACTTATATGTAAGCTACGTCCTATCATATTGATTATGAGGTTGTGTACTATTTTGATAATCGCATTTAAACTGAGTTCTGAAACAAGCCATAATCAGATATAGCTTGGCTGGCCTCTGCTATTTTTAATGCTGTTTGTATATTGTTTCCCTTAAGTTTATGGTAAATTAATCTTTCATCCGGCTCTTTTCTCAAATCACACATTAGAATTAAAATACTTGGTAACAACTAATAAATTATAGAGATCTGCTTATTTTATTCTGGCATGGTCCTCATGGGCTTGATTAGCCTATGTATTATTATTCGTAAAAAATTGTATCATATTTTGTCAATGTCTCATAGTTTTCAAAAAACTAGTTCAAAATTTTCCGCTGTACTTCTCTCATCTTGCTTTTTTTATCAGTTATATCATATATAGTCATGGTTTTTGCTTAGATGGTTTCAAAAATTCCATTGGAAATTTTTTCCAACTATTTGTTGTAGCATTGTTTTAAAAAATTCCTAAGAGTTTGGATCATTCAAAAAAATTTTAATAATAACTCGAATGATAGTCAATATAATATTGAATATCCAAAAAACGTAACTATGTGTCATACGGCTTTATTGTGTATTCAGAATTTGAAATGTATGGCATGAATTGCAAGACAATCTAGAATATAACAGAAATGATTTCAGAACACTTTTTTTGTTAGTCGGACTTATATGCAGAACTCGTCATTTACCAGGTTACTTACATGGTGATGTCCGAACACTAGAAATACATGCCACAATTCAGTAAGGATTTTACTGATTTTCCCATTCTGTTACAATATTTTTGCGCTCTCACCCTCTAACATATTTGGATTTGTAAAGTGGATTTTTCCAACTATTATGCGTCTCAGGCACGCAACAATCCGTGGTTCAGAGGTGTCTCCATAATTTAAAACATAATTTTTTACTCTTTTCTATTTCGCTGACTTGAAGTTGGTTTCGTTACCGGTATATCATTAACACTTTGGTTCATTCTAATATTTTGTTCAGTACCATAAAAGTAATTGTTTGTCACTAGTTGTCGAATAAAAGATTATTTGGAAAATTCGATGAACGTTTGTGGGGTGAAATCTACTTTTTACCGAATCGCTAAGAGTCTGGCTTCTTGTTGCAAGTTTTTTCGGATAAATTCAGTAATAAAATCGATTTGATCGCAACAACCAAAAGTAACAGCATTGGTTACAAATCAATCTGTCATTCCTCACTGCCTGTTTGCGTATTATAAAGTTGGCCAATTCAATTTTCTGCTTCAAATCAAGCTTGATTGGTATTCATGTGTGCGAATTGCATACACTAGGTATGTATAGCTGACTATTTTTGTTATGTGTGACTATATCATCTGTTTCCTGTTTTTCATCTGGCTATTACTACTATTATGTTCTCTTTACTGTGTAAATGTTTTTTTACTTTTCATTTGAAACCTGTTTTTGGTAGGAAAATATATTTATTTGACAGGAAGTTGTACATGTTGTATTTAATGTCCTGCAGGACAATAATGATAATTTTCAACATGTTAACATGTTATAGAGGCCGCTAGGTTGTTAAAGATTGCGAAAATCATTCATTTTAGGCCAGAGCTGCCAATTCGCGACTGTTTACGTAAGCTTATTGGAGAAATTATGAGAAGGAAACAAACCCAAAACACGCCCTCTAGGAATGTTCGTTTCCGTCTATTTATAAACCAGACAAAATAATGTTTGCTGAATTATTATATTAAACGGAGCATGGTATATCATGGCACGCGGTTAACAAGCAGACTGTCCGACAATGCGATGTTTCGGAGTGGAAACAACCGTTGGTAAACACCATGTTTCACTTAATAAAACAGTATTATTGCTGTGTGACACCGGCTTGTTGGCTTAGAAGTCTATTTCTCCCTTGGCGGCTAGTATTCAGCCGGCGTTACTCATTGCTGCGTCGTCGCGAACTGCATAGTCAATCATTTACTATGATGAATCATATCAGGAATGATAGTAATGCAAATAATGTTTGATGTGGCGTGGCATTTGCATTCAATTGCGGAACGTTACATAACTTTGTCACGTTTACAGACCTCGCTAAACTCGTATGTTGTTTGTCAGCGGTAGCCGGCATTGTCTTCTTTAACCTCCAGTCTAGGGGGAAAAAATTCACATTTAATTGTAACCCATACCTTGTTGATGCCTGTCCTTAGTTTTACTGCTATGAAACTGTCGGCACGAATTCTAGTCCCAAAGGGGATACGCTGCCCAAACGACGTACCTGTTTGGCTGTTTATGGAGTGGAAGTGGTGATCCCTCTACGGCCCATCAAATTGGGCCTAGGTCCATCAGACTATGGGTCGCGGCCCATCAAGTTGTGTAAAGGGACTGACTATTCACTTGGCTAACACGGACAGTCCCCGAACTCATATAATAGAACTATATTATGAAAATTCTGAACAAAATTTTGTCCTGACCCTAACATGGTACACATACTACAGGAGTATTCTTTTCTGTCGCCTGGTATTCTGCTTTTTTTTTATGAAGACTTGTCGTAAGAAAAACGTTTGGTGACATCACGCGTTTTTTTTTTCTAGTTCGAATATTGACAATTTTGTAAAAATTGAAAATTTGGTAAAATAATTGAATTATTTCTGTTGGGGCCGCGGCCCATAGCTTGATGGCCCACAGTGCGTGGGGCCCGATTAGATTTTGTGATCGTTGATGTGTACTTTATGCCTTTTGAAGTTTGTAAACATGTGGGCCTGAGGAATAAGAGCGAAAGCTCAACTCTCTTTGTTATCACTGTCTGATTTTCTTTTGAAATGCTAAAAAAGTACTTTAAACTCGGTTCAGAAGATAAAAAAAACTGCAGCTCACAAAATTGCAGCAAGTAGTGTTTACCTCCATTATTACGTAACAGTTACGTAGAACATATGACGTAACATATAAAGGTAAAATAAATTTATTGTTCATATGCACAGCATTTAAAATAAGAAATAATAAAACACTAATAAAAAATACAATATGTAAAGTTTTCAATCCTATATTAGTTATGGGCAACACATTTCTGTTAATTTTCGGGGCGTACTTAGCAAATCGCCGCGGCGCACCCTTTGGGAACGGTAGCCGTAAATTATTGAGCGGCTGGGTCCAAGCGGGCCTGTCTATTATTGATACCAATGTGTAGTGTGCAACGATATTTCTCTCGTTAGACATCGTATTGCATTCATATTCAAAACAAACAAGCAGTTATCTATCCGCATGTGAAAATCATTTGAATTTTCAGACCGTCCTAAAATTCGAATCCTGAATGACTAAAATTACTGAACATTTCCCCCGGTCAAATTTCACAGCCACCGCTGCTGTAAAATTTACAATCGACTCCGAGTAGAAAGACATTATGACTCCGACTTTAGGTTGATGGAAATTTCCATTCTAGCTCCGGTGAAATCTTATTTCGATAATAAAAAAATGTTGGCCCACGCAAGCCCTATAACTGTTAGAAACGATTAGTCATCTTAATTTTCTCGGGTTCCCTTAGAAAATGTTTGCTTCGATTATTATCACGGTATCGAAAATACAGCTTCGACTCCAATTAAAACAAGCCGACTCCAAGGCGCTCTTTACAGATATTGTTCGAAATATGAGATCGATGCTACCACCTAATGGCTGAATTGATAAACAGTATTTCACTGAGTAGAGTTGTATCTTTTTGCAGACGGGAATACAAGCATTTCAATGACTTCACTTCAGCATGTTCCGAAAAAACAAAGAAAAATGCTGTAGTTACGGGGAGATCAAATTGGAAATCAAGAGCACCAGATGGCTCGACTCTTCCTTTGGCTAATAGACACAACTTTATTTTAAGCACTTCTATGAAGACTACACCCGAGGGATCGGTAATGTTGATTTTCCCAATTAGTGGAATGTGCCCAATATAATAAGCTTAGCGAAAAATATAACCATATTCTTGAACCCTTGGATAAATATATGTAATTGAACCCCGGGAAATTGTATAACCGGAGCCTGTTTATTTCAACTAGATTGCTTGATTGGATATACACACTGTCCTATTTAATATTCCACTATTCATGAAAGGAAATAAATACGACTTATACTTCCAAGCTTGTAGACTCTGTATCCGGCTATGATTGTCACTGATAAGCATGGATTTCAGAAGTTACATGCAATCGATTTTATACAACGAATTTTCAAATTATTACCTACCCCAATATGCAACCTATAAGATATTTTACTAAGCTTATAAAGTATTAAGTTGCCTAGTATTGTTGTGCATTTGAATATTCTGTAAGATGAAGATGCTCGGATAAATTCAGAATAGAAAGGAGCAAAAATTCACCAATGTCGAAGTATAATCTCTGCTGGTAATAAATAATCCCAAACCAGCATATAAATCTGACGACATTTCATCAAATTGTGACATCATAATTAGAACGGTTATCTTCAACATTACTACAGTGAGAAGACCGACATACCTTAAAATCGTTACACTATTTGCCCTTATTTCTCCAGGATGGCGTTGCTGGTTCGTTGAAAGAGTTTATTGATCTAGTGGAAAGTGATGAATGGTCACAAAAAATTCACAGAGTATTCAACATTGGCGGATCACAAATTTATAAGGTGTAATGTTTAGTAGATTTGATCTTTATCATCTTCTGGTGACCTCACTTATTGAGCTTGACTAATGTATTTTAATGTACATTTTCAGTGCATTCAAGATTCCGATTATTGTGGGAGATGTTATGTTACTAAGATAAAAGCAAATTTTGACTGTGACTTGTTCATCTGCAACCTGGATGAAGATGAAAACTTTCGTCGCGTTGAGAGGTTAACACTTACGTAACAAACCTAAACTTTTTTGCTAGATCATCGTTAGTGTAACAATTTTTTATTAATTTTCAAGAGGTCATCGCACAAAATTAAAATATACGAACAACAACATAATAACGAAACGATCCATAGGTTCTTTTCGTGTCCAATAATAGCATTTTACATTTTATTTGCCCAAAATAATGATTCTCTCCAGTTCAGAAATACTTTTTCTTCACGCAGCGTTTTTCACTTTTCTCATTAAACGCCCTTACTTTTATAGCTACTACCAAATTATGGCAATCTTTTGATTCAAATTTTCCCTTGGATCTGTATAACATTAATTAATTTCAAATAAAATTCTGCTCAGATACTATATTTTCCACTTCGAATTTGATACTATTTTATAATACAGATTGTTTTTATAATTCAGATCGGAGGAATGGGAGAAAATTATCCCCGTTGGAATTCAATATGAAAATGGCTTCGAGTGGGAAGTGTTAATATACGAGAAAATCCAGAAATCACGTCAATAAAAACAGCTTAATTTTTAGGGGTTATTGTTTTTATTGGAGTACCTTTCTTGCCGACTTGACAATTAAATAGACTGACAGATAAATTGCATCGCAAATTTAATGTGGCACTAAATAAAAATATCTAATATTCAGATCATGACTTTATTCTAGTATTAAATATTAAACTACTTATTTTACAAGTTGGTCATTGACTATCAAAGTGAGTAAAATATCTTTTTTCACATCTACTAAGAAAAGTAGATAATAAGGCACAGCTTTATCATATGGTACCATCTCATAGCCTGTTCCAACCATGGTAGCTTAATGGTCGATACGGTGTCTTACCGCTATGAGAATAGACATGTGTTGTCCCATCAGTATCTGCGACACGTTACAATGGCTCCAGATCAGAAACGAATTATACCTATACAGTAATTCCAAAGCTCAAGACGTAGGTTATGGCCTAATACCGTATCTACCGGACAGTATAAATTCAATTCTTCAACTCCTGCACATATAAGTTCTGTCTTATCAGTGAAATATTTAGGGAGAAACCAACAATAGCGTGAAAATACACTACATGCAGAACGAAGTATATTCATCAATTATCTTATATGCAATTATACTCATACGGACCTACTAGAGCAAAAGCTTTGAGGAAGGATTGGGAGTTAGTCTCGCGTAATCTCTACTGATAAGCAAACTATCTTATATATTGCAAAATTTATGGCGTGAATTGAGGGTTTATTTCATTTGTGAGACCCCTTTTCAAAAATACTATCACAAAACTCCATAGAAACAATTATATACGCCATAATATGTCGTTAAAAAAGTATGTTAAATGCGTTATGACGTCATAAACGATTTTTTTAAAAAAAATTATTTTATTGTGATTCTTGAACCAATAATAATTGTCAATTTTCATTTCAAATTCGTATCTTGTACGCTATACGACCCTAATATACTGAAGACGGTACATTTTTGTAACATTTTCCTTACTTTTTGAAGACGCGCATGCGTACGTAATGCCATGAACGGAGTTTTACGTGATCGTATTTGCGTCTGCTACCTGTTTCCTGTATTGATCCAAGCTTCAAATCCTATATATTCTACAGAATAACTGTGCTGAAATTGCAGCAGAATTATACAGATTTCAGTGAATATGAATACAGACTGAAGTATCAGCGCGAAAATCTGACAAAGGCGCATGGCAAATAGAGGTAACCTTTCTCAAAATGACACACCAGGATAAGATTTGTAGTTTGAGATGGCTTGTGTTGGTGTATCTAATATATACCACATTCGCATGTGGAGCTACTTGGACGATATTTTTGTCATTCAAAATATTCTTAGCAAATTATTTTAACATGACAACGATGGAACTTGATGGCATGTTATTAGTGGGAATAGCAGGTATGATGACTGCCTCGTTTCCTCTTGGAATATATGCTGCTATGCACCCAAGGAATGTCAAAATATGGATTCATGGAACTTTGTTAACGTTAAGTTTTGTTTTTCTGGTACTGGGTGTTATATTTCAAAAGCGAAAATTCAGTTCAGTGCTTGCGCTAGGGCTTTTCATTGTTGGGGTTGCATCCGCAATGTTACTATTGCTTATCCTAGTTACTGTGACGATATGGTTTAAAGAGAGCGAATCGGCTACAGTGTTTGGTACAAGCGGATTCTCCTTCGCTGCTGGCGTGGTATTTTCATCATCAATATTTACTAATTTGAATTCGTCTAAAGACGACGGAGAGTTGCTTCCTTATTTATTTGCATTTGGTTCAATAGCGTCCATGACGTTACTTGGAATTGCTTGGTATTTTTTGCCTGATTTTCCGATCATGGCGTCGCATGTTGAAGCAGATAGAATAGCCACAAGTCGGCACACGAGCAATTCAACTGTGATAAGTGTTATTAGGCAGCTTGTCGATGAATTTAAAACCGTCATACGGAGCAGAACAGGTATTACGCTTGTAACTGCAAGCGTCACGTCCCTTACATTGTTTTTACTACAAATATCGCAGATGCCGGTAATTCAAGTTGAAGATTCCACAAACCATTCGAACTCGGGTAACGCTACTGGAATGATTGATAACTTTCTATCTTATTCACATAGAAAAATATCACTGCTAATAAATCTATCAGTTGGAGCGTCACTAGGGAGCCTTGTTTCCGGAATACTACTGGATAAGTTAAAACGATATCACCCGATGGCTGGAATCATTACTGTAGGATCATTCATCTCCAGCGTCGCCATGCTCACAACTTACTTATTACAGAAACAATCATTGATGTGTATTGCTTGTTTCTTTTCTGGATGTTTCACGTTATCGGGAGCACCGTTTTACATTGAGGTTACTAAGCAGCATTTTCATCTTGGAATAAGCGAATGGATTCAGGCGGTAATTTTTGCTGTTACTCTTGGGATATTTTGTTTAGTTTTTGGACCAGTAACACAATTATTAATCACGCAACTTGATCCTATGTACTTTTTTGGACTGAATTGTGTTCTTTGCTTGATTATGTGTATTGTTGTAGTCAATATATCTCCAGTTTTTCAAAGGTACGAAGAAGAGAGTAACAGGAATGGAGAAAACGACTGTCTTATTTTCAGAAATTAAATATTTTCAAAGTAATTTTGTTCTCGAACAATAGTTTAATAAAACTAGCATTGTTTCTAACGTGTTTTACTTAAAAACACTCACACCTATCAGTAGATACTGCCTTTTGGCGATCACGGACATTTTGAAATAAAATCGTGAGCAATAGATTTTTAACGGAAACTGATTCATCATTGTCAAATTTTCATAATTAGCAATCTTAGTACTTCAAATAATTTTTACATTTTTTGGGTCACTAGCAATACAGTTAGTGGTATTATTTTGAATTAAACGCCACATGAGATAAATTTTCGATAACGTAATCATTTTTGAAGAAATTGTACATTATAAAGATTTGTACCTGGATATCAGTTAACGGTTAAAATGAATCGTAACCGTTAAACAACATACGGTAGGCAAACTATGATGTCACAATGCTCACAAAAAGTGGTTGCTTACCTTATAACACGAAGAATGTACTGTTGACAACAACGAAATTGGAGTCTTACAGAGGTGAAGGGTATATATATAGGGAAATTGTCATTTAGTTAAAATGATTGATTAGGGAGTCGTTGAAAACGATACGTATTCGATATCTAATTCCAGCCATAAAATGCGTGGATTCAGATCGAATCTCGGCCCTCTTTATGATTTAGTAATTACTAATATCGCGACTACTGTATGCTACGGAAGAGATTATGGTCTTTCCCTGAAAAAAAAAATAAAATGCCTTTTCTTGTGAAAGTAAACATCGGCACAGCATATCTCCTTACCTTTCTAATTGTACCATTGGATAATCGCAATATTAGGTTACTTTTTCTCTCCTCACTTTAGAATATTTACTGAGTTAATCATAAAACTTTTTATCCAAGTCGAATTGTCTGTTTCTCTCTTGCTGGCTACTTTTTAGTGTGGAATAGATTGGAAAAAAATATATATTATAAATTTCACCATTCCCTAAGTCTGGAAAAAAAATCAAAGATTCATAGTCCAAATATAGGTGGAGATATAACTGCTTCAGTCATTCGATATTGCAGAAAAATTACTACACTAATTGCTATGATTGTTCACTACGGTCTTTACCTTGCACAACTATAAAATCAATTTTACTTCTGCAAAATAAATTATCAGCTTTTATGTGGAATTAGTCACCTCAAAACGCTAGCTATCCATCTATCGACATTATGTCGTGAATTTAATTTATGTCAAACATTCCAAGTGCTCCTTTTTTATGTCTGCACTATAGCATACGAAATAAAATAGTATTTAATTCATGTGATAAGTTTATTTACTATATGAACAATTTTTATATAATATTAATTAGTATATTCGTCATGACACCGAGTGGGATTGACGCGATAAATTTGCTTTAATATTCAAAATAAGAGTGCGCATGTTCAAGTTTTTGTCGTGCATAAAAGTTATCCAGCTTGCAGCATACTGACTGTAGATTATTCCTCACTCCAGTATTGCGCAAGGCTAAAATTTGATAGTTACTTAAAATAGAAATAGCCAGCTACGGAAAGAAGACCGACAAAAAGAGTGAGGATTATTTTCATTTCTTTTTTCATTTGCAAAAATACCGGATTCTCCTTCAAATAATCATCCAATAAGCTGGCTCCCTTATTTCTGTGAGGAAACTCAACTTCAGGTATAGGCTTTCCGAGAAATTTGCAAAGAGGATCCCATCCTTCGCTTAGTGTGAACTCGATAACTTGATCTTTTGGTGCTCTCTATAGGAAAAAATGAAACACAGGTGTAAGGTTTGTATATTTCGAAAATGGTAGAATTAATTAGGATAAAAGTAGTTTTTGTGAATGAATTCGCACTTGAATCCAATAAAACGTTCAAGTAGAAAAATATAAGTGCTGGTAGATTTTCTGATTGCGTATGTCGTTTTAAAACATACTATTGACGCAAAAGTCATAAACATCGCGGGGTGTGGCGTTTGCAGAGCGGCTAGAAGCACGTCTGAGATCCTACAAATTCCAACATGATTATTCTTAAATTTCAGGACAAAGTTGGCATTCACATTTTTAAGCATAGCACTTCGCTTTACTTGGTATATTTTGTGCAATGTATAATATCAAGTGTTTAAATTGAGCATATGGAGCGGTGATATAAACATATTTTTGCTTTATTATCCTCACAAAAAAAAAGGTTTAAATTTAAATTACACCAATAAGAAACCAATATACAAATACCGTCAAAACTGAAGTATTATGATCACGATATCTCTTTTTCGCCACAGTTGGACTTATTCCTTGGTATGCTTCATACCATCTGTGAGGGCGAGCGCCGAATGCAATTCGACCTAAAATAGGACAATGCAGTCATGGCGTTACATCAATTTGCTTTCTTTCCAAAAAAATAAAAATATTCGATGCAACAAATAAAATTGTGAAACATGCTGTTCTAGTGTGGTTTTTAGGGATGGGATGAGTCCGGTATTACAGGGATCCGACGAATCCGAGTAATAGGCCATGGACTCGAATCCTCTGAATCCGTGACGTCACATGGAAACAACGAAAAACACGTTTTCGACTGTGTTAACTTCGTATTTTCTTGCCTAAGCGCCGTCAGTACCTAATGAACTATTTTAGAAGTATATTTTTCTTCTTCGGCCGCAATACCAAAGCCGAATTCAGGACAATGTTTGTCTTGGATGTGAACTTGCTTCAAGGTCCACCGGCTTTCGTTATCCCTAGCGGCGATTCAGCACAGATGATGTTCTAATGCCGTCGTTACGTGACCGTCTGAACCCAGGATACGTCGGAATGCTCTTGTGTCAATAAAAAACACGAGATTTCGACTACGACTCGTCCCCGTAATTGCAGTAAGTTTTAGCTGTAGTCTTACCATATCGGATCCGCAATTGGTAGAGAGATGTCACTCGTTACTTACTTACTTACTTACTAATGTTTCATTTTTACGTGGATCGAAAACTCAAACACACTGCACCAATTTATACGGTACTTCTCCATATATACGTACACCAATGAGGATAGGCTATATATATGATTTACTAGGGAATTTGGGGGTAAATATTTCAGTTTGGGTGGCGTCAACATTCCTAAAAATAGCTTTTACCTTGCGTCATTTTATTGGGATATCTGTCGTCGTTTTCTATTATATTTCATAGATTTATAAAGCTAAAAAAACATAACGAAGGCGTCAATAAATAAAAACAAAATGGACTGAGGACTCGGTAAAAATGACGTGGACTCGAAATCGAATCCGAGTCTGAAAAATGCGTGGATTCGAATCCGAGTCCGGATCCGAATCTCGGCCCATCCCTAGTGGTTATGTAGGGATGGGACGAGTCCGGTATTACAGGGATTCGACGAATCCGTGGAACAGGTCATGGACTCGAATCGAATCCTCCTAATCCGTGACGTCATAAACTGAAAAAAAAATCACAACAATGTGCGCTCACTAACATGAGTCGATCTCGTAATTTTTTTTGCCAAATAGTGCCGTAGGTAGCTGCTGAACTATTTTAGAAAGATATTATTCTTCGAAATTTGGGGTGCAATACAAAAGCGAACCTATGACAATGGCTGTCTTGGTTTTAAACTGACTTTCATCGCCTCCGTTAATTCTAAGCGGCTATTTAGCACAGATGCTGTTCTAATGTCGCTATACGTGACCGTCTGAACCGGAAATAGGTCAAAAATTTCGAAATTGTTCTATGTCAATACGAAAAACACGATTTTAACTAGGATGCGTCTCCATAATTACAGATAGTTTTAGCCGTAGACTTACTATGTCGGTCCCGAAATTGGTAGAGAGATGTACAAACATACATGTACATGAGATGCCACTCGTCAATACAATGTGATACATTTAATAGGACTTCAGTAGCTGTGAAGATCACTCGTTTTATGATTTGACTGCTTGGAGTTGTTGATTAACTTCGCTCTGATCGGAGTTTTGTAGCTTTTAGCAAAAATCTCAAATACATTGCGCCGACACATACTTGTTCATATATACGCCAGTATGGTTAGGTTATATGATTTTTCGTAAACGGCGGCAACATTGTGTTACATGTAACCAATAGTTTTTGACTTGCGTCATTTTATCTGGATATCTGTGGTAGTATGAAATTTTATAGTAGCCTATATAGTATATACTATGTACATACCTATGTATGTTTTCAAGCATCGAATCTTGGGTTCAACTATATATAGTTTGTACTGAGATTTATCGAGGTAATTTACATAACGATGACGTTAATTAAAGAAACAAAAATGATTAAGGATTCAGTAAAAAAAATGACGTGGACTCGGAAGTCGAATCCGAGTCCAAAAAATGCGTGGCTTCGATTCGAATCTAAATCTCGGGCCATCCCTCTTATTTTGCGCTGGTGGGGATGAATTTTGATTACATGTTAATCCTTTCTTACCAACGTGATGACTGTACTGCATGATAGAATAAGCAGTCGGAGAAAAGCAAGAAAGTAACTTCATCAAATAATTGTCTGCTACGCTTTTTGCCTGTTTTTCCCAACTCTTTATCCAATCTTCCTCATCTTTCCGTCGCATGAAAATTAGCTGAAAAAAGATATATGCTTCGTAACCTTGCCAAAACCAGGACGATTTCATAATATAAATAGATTACGGAAATTGAGAAGTTCCCGAACTTTGACCGCGACGAATACGCTATGATACGTGACTTCGTTCACATGGGGGATTACATCAGCATTTAGAATTCCGGGAAATAGGCGTCACGTATCAAGTATTTCGACCCTGATGAAATATCGTCTGACATATACTTTTTTGAATGAGCATATGTTTACCGTCACCGATATAATATCATGCGACTCCATGCAAGCTAATCATAAAGGATATTCGTCCTATTTACATGGAGATATTTAATTTTCGCCTTCTTATTATATAGCACCTGAAATCAGCTACTTCAACAAATTTGAATAGAATGAACATTTGCAATCAAAAAACAAACTCGATTCGGATAATAGCATGAAATGTTGTCGTTCCTTAATATTCTATATGTTATAAACTGACCCTCGATGTACGTCCGTTGGGATTCATAATGAATGTTGCATAAGGTAATATCGAATATGGTGATATAATAAGGCTATAGCCTGTGGAGTTAATTTCCATGTATTAGATGCCTCATCGTTTTCGATTTAGTCTACAGCGTGAATAATTTAAAACATAAATAAGTGAAATTGAGGAAGCGTTCTTAAGCAACTGGGGTGGCACAATTTAGATCAGGGGTCGGCAAACTACGGCCCGCGGGCCAGATCCGTCCCGCGGAACAATATAATCCGGCCCGCAACGCTTCACTAAATTATATTAACAAAACAACTGTATTGACGATCATATTCTTTACGTAACAGAATTTGTTTTAAGACACTAAATTATATTATAACATAACAAGTATATAATTCACAATCACTCGTTTAATGAGCCTATAAATTGATTATAATTGGACAAATGGCAACAGAGCGTAAAAAAGGTGATGCTGAGTGCAAACGGTTTAATGCCGCAGGAAATATACAAATGATCAGTCTTTGCGCGTTGCTTGAAATTTAACTGAAATCTGTTGGAAAAAATGTGATTCATTGGCCATTCCCTCGGTTTTTAACTTTCTAAAAATATGTGCGGCCCACCAATGGCTTGCAACCTTTTATTTTAGCCCGCGAAAGACAAAAGTTTGCCGATCTCTGATTTAGATCATTCATTTGTCTTCTAAACATGAATGTAATCAAAAGATTAAAAAATTCTCGCAGAATTAGTTTCTGCCAGGAACAGGATTGTGGATAAGCAAATGCAACGCTTGCATAAAAACTGCGGAAATAAGAGGTAATGTCGACAGTCGTTCTTTTGAACTATTTTTTTCTTTCAATTTTTAGCTTTAATTTGAAAACATTTGTCGCCAATATCAAAACAATAGCCGTATAGAGTAATATATAATTGTTCATACTTTACAATCCGGAAAAGCCTCCAAAATTTCTTCCCAAAAAATGACGACCGGAATATCCATGGAGGCATCAACATTTTTATACATTCGATAAAAGTCTTCTTTTGTTCCTCCTTTTGTGAGAATCTTTATCCAATCGTTTCGCAGATAGTAAAAATTATCTTCATAATCATAAATGCTGTATCCAAGGATGCGAAGAGCAGAATTCATTGTTTTTGTTCCCGTTTTGGAAAACCCGACAACTAAGACCTTCATTTTTTATTCGGATTTTGCTTACTAGAATTTACTATATAATATATTTGAAAGACACCATATTTGTAAAAAAAGTACAATCAATACTAAGATACCGAGAGCTTTGCTCCAACCCATTTGGGACCTCCAGAATGATGTGCACCGAGATGGCGCACAACCTGAACATAGTAGTTGTACCAGGTTAGGGTTTTCAGGTTGTGCGCCATCTTGGTGCCCATACTTCGGGAGCGCCCCTATTTGAAGCCGTAACTATGAACTATTAATGAAACAGCATGAAGTTGGATCTATTTTCCTCGTCCATATAATATATACATCTGAAAATTAGAACTCACTTTATGATGTCTCGTTATACATATGTATTTAAACATATCAATTTAGGCAAATTAACGCTGCTGAGGAATCGTCAATCAATCCGACCGGTCTCTTTCTGATATTTAAATAAAAAGAAAACCACCTACATTCAACACTAATGGAAGGCAGACACATTGCGAAATATATTACTATTTAAACCATTAAATTGCAACAGTCGTAAAGTGCCTCCTCCCTCCATGTAAACATACATGCAGTGGTAATTGTTTGCCTACGCTCTCTGCACGTAACTGTCATTAATTTATATACGTATTTCAGCAAGCAAGCGCGTCTCTCTTTCATGTTTGCTAATCGACATTTTATCAGAATTGTAAGCTTCCAAATGACCGTTTACTTTGATCATACAAAGTTTATCTGCAGAGACAAGTTACAGTAAGGATGGTACCGTTGTGAGGTTAAATATCTTAGGTTAGGAACATCCGAATACTAATTTCAACAACGTTGTGAAACATCAATACAACTAGACGATGTCCAAACATGTAAGCCCACAGCTTGGTCAGTCATACTTTGACTGAGTTTGTGGCTGTGCATATGACTATTAAAGTGTATGTTCGGGAATTATTTTACAATGTTGACTTTTCAAAGATATGACAGTTGTAAAACATTTTTGCGGTGTGCAATGATCCATGCAGTGGTGTATTTGCTTTTTACTTGGTTACCCTTATTTACTATTGAAATCTAGCCACAAGAGCACGGATATGTTACCGCTGAATTATATTACAAACCATCTTATATATTAATTTAGGCCAACAGCTGTGTAATACTTCAGGTAGTAACACGTTAATTTAACTATACTTCAACAATGTCAGTACTACACCTAAAGTAAATAACACAAGTTATTTGAAAGCCACGCCCTAAAAACGTCAATCATATTGGGAAACTTTCTGGTGCCTCATAATACAGGAATGAGTAAAGCACAATATCTAGTTGTTTTAATAGAAAAAATTATACACTGCGCCGCTAGCTGCGGCTACAAAACTGTTTACTTTTTGATATATTCATAAAACCTGACAAACCAACTTTCAAATAAAAAAAAATTTATTAACTGTAAAAGTATTCTTTAGTTTAGAAAACATAAAACTTCATTTTCCTTCATCCCTTCACTACTATTCTCTCCCGGACTTCTTTTTTTTAATAGGCTTATTTCAACACATATTTATGATTGGCTACACAATATTATTGGTTTATCATCTTCAAATACCTCAAGGCGGTGTGTAGAAATGAAGAGGACTCGCTGATGAACGATTACGCAAAAGCAAACTCACTTGACCTTGATAGAGTATTTATTATAATTTAGTATGTGAACGCTCGCGTGATCACAAACATGACGGTGAATTACAGTGTTGTGCAACGGAAGTTCAATGACTCGTCGAACATTGCATAAATATATTCCCCGTAGCTTCTAATTTCTTCGAAACGCTAACTTATTATAATTTTGATGGGCAAACAAGATTGGTGGAAATACATTTCCTGACGGCTGACATTTTAGTAAAGTAAATTCAAATGAGTATGTTTTTGAGTAAGTTCCACTTCCGAGTGACTGACTACTCGCTCGTCGCTTGATATAAACATATCGGTATGATTTGGAGCGAGCATTTTAGGGCTTTCATCTGATTAAAACTTACGAACCAGACGTTAAAACGATGCTTTAAGCTTCTATTATTTTGTCCCACATTATAGAGTATATGGGCCATGAGTTTGTATTTTAGATCGACAAAATGAGAAAACAAGTTTTTAGTAATTCTACGCAATACTTGTGATGCAAACAACTGCTGAAGTTCCAAAAACATTCAAATAAATATTCCTTGATTATTGATATTCTATTGAATATATATCAATCTTCAAACATTCCATCAGAAATGTTGGATACCACAGCCGTCTGTCTACAACAGGGGTCACCAAACTTTTTTGACCGAGGGTCAGGTATGAATGACTCAAACTATTTTTGTCAATGCAATACAATAAATTCACAAAAGTTGGTAAAAACCATTCAATTTATTCAACAATATAAATTCTAACATTTCTGAAATCTTTAATATTAAATTCTATATCGCAGAATATAGATCAAGTACATCATAGCAAAACATATATATATAAAAGATTTCGCCATTTTTTCGTGTTATTACGGGTCAGATGATAGGACGCCAGGGCCGGATCTGGCCCGCGGACCGTAATTTGGTGAACAATAGTCTACAACAGTGATTTCCAATCGTCGTTCCGCGGAATACTGACATTTAGTGAACAACATTTTTTACTTGTTCCCGTCAAATTGTTTTTCTCATAATTGGTGATAAAAATTGAACCAAGTAGAAACCAAAATTCACCAAACCCGTATTTGGCTTATGATGAGTTTGTTATTTGATGATAAAATCCACAGCGCTAATTCAAAAAAATCTACGAATCTTGTCCTGATGTTTTATAACATCATTCATAACATAAATATATTTAGCCATTACTATTTGTCAGTAGTGATGGTTTGCCGAAGTTATTCATACCGCATAACGAGCGTTATATCAATCACTCTTACCACAATGAATAAATATTTGAAAATAAATAAACTAAAGAACGACAGATATTAAAAACTCATGTAGAAGAACTGTGTGTTTGTCCCTTTTCATTCCCTGTAAGAATAAAAAGTTTGTACACACCGAGACATGCCCAGATATAACATTGAAATGTGATTGCTATTTCTATTTACTTGCAGCATGTTCTATTGATATTTTAGTATTCTGTACCCTAAGTTATCAAAGTTTTATTCATACTTGAGCTCTATGTAGCCACGAATTAGAATTAGTTAGGTCTTTATGCTATTCCATATCTATACAAAAATTGAACGAGACTGTAATCAAGATAATTGGATCTTTCTTTTGCAAATAATCTGAATTTTTATTCGATGTTCCACAATAAATTTATGATATCAAAAGTGTTCCGTGGACCATACAAGGTTGAAACCCACTTATCTACAACACTCCACAAGACTGAAGTGCGCGAGATATAAACCGTCAGCTGCCATCGAAGGGTTGCTATATTGAACTGCAATTTTTAGTTATGGCGGCGGTTACTCCATGGTTCAATTGAGATATTCCGCGAGAGACATTACGCTGTGTCCTTGTAGGATTCTTCGTGTATATTCTAAAAAATTAAAAAAAAAAGATCCAATATGTACAGGGTGACAGAACCCACAAATTTACCAATTACGTATACAAAAAAAACTATATATATATTTATTTTGTTTTCGCTTTAACTTCTGTTTGTGTATGATTAAACCCAAAAGTTTCAGTAATCTCGGTTTTGCACAAAAGTTATGTTATCTCTATAATATGTCCGAAATTACTTTCTTGGCATTGGAGACAGATTTTCACCCGGTGCGCCAGATTGTCAATCACTCACTTGGTTTTGTGCTGAAGTACATCTTTCACCAGGAAATGTCAATAACAAGTATATAAATTGTATACAGGGAAACAGTACCTCCGAAAGAATTCTTTCATGGACCGTTAGACTCAGTAAATTGCACGGCGTTGGAAGACTTTTCCGAACATGGAATAAGCAATCGGTTCCTATTGGTTCGAAGTCGAAAATGAAAAAGCTCAAACGGTGAATACAGAACTGGCGGTGTTAAGGAAGTTCTGGACATCATGTGACCGGTGTTTCCAGCAAGACGAGGCGACCCCCACGCATCAAATCACACCCTTGACTGGTTGGAAGAGCAATTTCAGGAAACGAGAATAAGCAGTCAGTCTGTCGGTCACGTGAAGTGGGCGGCACCTCAATTACAATGTGTATCAAAATGATTGAAAACTTTTGTCGCCAATATCAAAACAATAGCCGTATAAAATAATATATATTTGTCTCATACTTTACAATAAGAAAAAGCCTCGAACATTTCTTCCCAAAAAATGACGAACTAGAGGCTGCCATTGCAGCAGAAATCATGCGTGTATATGAGAAGAATGTCCCTATTTGCGTGTCCTCACTCCTGTATTATTATTATACATATATGTTAGCGGAGTAAGTCCCAATCTGAACTCCTCAAGAGAAGTCAATAAGCACAAAATATAATGTAATGCCAAATGTTCGTATATTGTAAAGTTGCACGATCGAATTGAATCAAAACAGATATATTGAAATATACATTTTTACCACAATACCAGCTATACGGGTGAATTCCAAGTCAGTAAGAATGCACAAAACGGGAAACACACTATATTCTCAACTACCGAATGTAGGCCACTTGTCAGAGATCAGTCGATACAAAAAAAGCTCGACATAAAGAGTAAAAGCCTTTGCTACGAAAATCACCATCAGGGAAATCGCTAAAATGACACATTCTCGTTAAATTCACATACTATTAATACAAAGGGGTTGAATAGCATTAAAATCCATAGCGCATTATTGCCACCGCGTAATTTTATATCGATGATAAATAAAGCCCAACCGGTGTTAGCAAAACGATTTAATTTGCCGACGTTTCGAACGACGTTTTTTCTTTTCCCTATCATGCCCTGATGAAGTTTTTCTGAATAGAAATTCTATACGTCGGCAAGTTAAATCGTTTTGCTAACACTGGTTGTGCTTTGTTTATCATCGATATTAAAATCCATAGTTATGTTCCACATTCCTTACACGCGCGAGTGATCGACAACTTTGCGCAACGAATGCAAGTCTGTCTCCAATGCCGGGGAAGTCATTTGCAACATATTCTAGACATAATATAACTCTTGTGCAAAGCACCCTAGATTTTTGAAACTTTTGGGTACAATCATACACAAACAGAAGTTCAACTGTAAACAAAATTAAATAAGTTTACTCAATTTCATAAGAGTAATTAATAAATTCATGGGTTTTGTACAATAGATCACCCCTACATTTTTTATTCCTAAAGAAATTATCGTTGCAGTTTTGATGCTTTGCACATGAGTTATAATGATAATTTACACAACTGTACTAAATACTGGCAACCATGAAACGCCCCTTAAAAGCCGTAGCTAATTGAACAATATATTTCTCACTTTGTTGCTGAATCGGATTTGAGCAAACCCACTAGTGGAACTTGTTCACTTTCAGCGCACGTGCGAGTGAGACAGAGAACAATCAAATAATTCCCATATATGTTGTATTATTCCATGACATCAAGGGGAACCACCGCTATGGGTAACCAAGACTTCCGAAAAGACGTCAAACGTTAATTTAGAACATATGTATGTGTTTCATAGATAAAACAAATGTTGGGAAAAGAGGAAACTTATATCGTCTGCAATACTAAACTATTTTTACTCATATTATGACATCATGAAGATATTATCGAAGTTATGAGAATTGCATTTGTTGCACTTCGAGGTAAGTATAGCGAGCATCCATTAATTTTTTGGAAGAATTTGCAGGAATTAAAATTACAAAAAAATAGTTTGCTTGTAGTTCAGTCATCCAACTTATTATCGTTTTGACAAATCAAATGCAATCTCAGACACTGAATAATTAAACAAAGTGAGATCCATTGTTAATAGAACGCAATTTACCAAGCGTTTTAACTCATTTCATTTTTAAAAATCATCGCTCAAACAACAAGAGAGTGATGCTCGAATATATGGCCACAAAACGAAGTTGCACGGGTATGCAATCTATCACAGTAGACTACAGGTAACACAGACTTCACCTGATCACCAACGAGAACAAGAAACCACCACAATGTGCGAAATTTTTAATTTTAAAACGAATCCCATAGAGCCCACAGTATTTTTTGAAATAAATGGCATTGAAAGTAATGGCATTCTAGCAAAATATAGAAACTGTAACCGCTGAAGATGTCAAAGCCATTGATCTAGTAGTTGATTAGAAAAGCGTTTTTTTCACAACAGGAAGAAGAAGAAAAATACTTACAAGATCAACAACAACATAATAACGAGAATGTCGGTCAGAGACCGAAGACTTATCGATCGAAGTTAGGGGATCCCCAAAACAAAAGCTGCGGTTTCGACTCGAAAAATTCTGCAAACCCGAACCGGATTGTTTTGAATAGTTTTCAGCCAATATCAAAAATGTAGGAAACAATAGCCAACTCCCCATGTCGTCGTCGAAATACTACTCGAGGAAATACTTTTATGAAGAATTCTGCAAATCCGAACTGGATTGTTTGATTAGTTTCCAGCCAATAGCCTATTTACCAATCCTATATTTCGTGTCAAATACAACGGCGCTAACCCGGGTTGCGACGGCTATTCAAACACAGCCTAGCGATATTTTGGTGAGGAATTCTGCAACCCCGAACCTGATAGAGGGATATGGACATTGCTTAAACTTTAAAGAGTAATTATAAGTAACGAGGTACGATCTCGCGGCGTGTATCCTTCGCTCTGACTCAATAGCGTGGAAAATTTCTCGAAGGAAACTTGCGCATCGCGACGACGTCAAAGTTACAAGAGAGATATGGACAATGCTTAAAGATTAATCACGAGATACGATCTAGCGGTGTGTATCCTTCGCTCTGACTCACTAGCGTGAAAACTTGCGCATCGGACACGCACACACACATTTAGCGCGTCTCGAAAATCTCTCGCTTTGTAAAAATCCATATCTCTTCTTCACTAATTAATTAATAACTCGCTAATTATACGACACAATTCATCCAAAATCAATAGGCTCCTGATCCGAGATATGATGAATGCACATGCAAAATTTGAAGCAGATTCAACCTCGCTTTCGTGAGATATCGTGTGTATCTAACAGACAAACAAACAAACAGACAAATACCTATCAACATACTTACCAATCTTAAGATCGATAAGTAATAACACGAGAATATCGGTCAGAGACCGAAGACTTATCGATCGAAAGTTAGGGGATCCCCCAAAACAGAAACTGCGGTCTGCAAACCCGCACTGGATTGTTTTGAATAGTTTTCAGCCAATATCAAAAATGTAGGAAACAATAGCCAACTCCCCATGTCGTCGTCGAAATACTACTCGAGGATATACTTTTATGAAGAATTCTGCAAATCCGAACTGGATTGTTTCGATTAGTTTCCAGCCAATAGCCTATTTACCATCCTATATTTTGTGTCAAATACAAAGGGGCTAACCCGGGTTGCGACGGCTATTCAAACTCAGCCTAGCGATATTTTGGTGAGGAATTCTGCAACCCCGAACCTGATAAAGGGATATGGACATTGCTTAAACTTTAAAGAGTAATTATAAGTAACGAGATACGATCTCGCGGCGTGTATCCTTCGCTCTGACTCAATAGCGTGGAAAATTTCTCGAAGGAAACTTGCGCATCGCGACGACGTCAAAGTTACAAGAGAGATATGGACAATGCTTAAAAATTAATTACGAGATACGATCTAGCGGTGTGTATCCTTCGCTCTGACTCACTAGCGTGAAAACTTGCGCATCACACACGCACACACACATTCAGCGCGTCTCGAAAATCTCTCGCTTTGTAAAATTCCAGATCTCTTCATCACTAATTAATTAATAACTCGCTAATTATACGACATAATTCATCCAAAAAAAATAGGCTACTGGTCCGAGGTATGATGAATGCACATGCAAAATTTGGAGCAGATTCAACCACGCCTTCCTGAGATATCGCGTGCATCTAACAGACAGACATACATACAGACAAATACCTATCAACATACTTACCGATCTTAAGATCGATAAGTAACAAGAGAGTGATGCTCAAATATACATATGGACACGAAATGATACTGGTATGCAATCTGCCACAGTAGCCTACTGGTACCGTATTGCAGCTTGGCAGCACAATTGAACTTACGCGAAAGTGGAACCACCACACGGAGCACAATTTTTAATTTTAATAACGTCACCGCACACAAAAAAACGAATTCCATAGAGGCCACAGAAAATTTTTGAAATAAATGAAAGAAATAGCTTTCTAGCAAAACATACGAATTTTCGAACAGTGAACATTTCAAGGCAATTGGTCCAGTTGTTAATGAGGAAGAAAAAATACTGACCAGGACATCAACAACAACAAAATAACAAAACGATTCATGGGTCCATTCATGTACAAAAACGATCCATATGTACACTTGGTGTCCAATAAGTTTTTGATATTCTTGATAGCCACAAGTCGCCATGTTAAAGCGACTCCAAAGTATATTTAATAAATGTCTTGATTAAACAGAAATAAATGTCCAAAGCAATAACCAAAGTAACACATACAGACATAAGCAACACCAACTGAGCTGGGCTCCAGACTACTGAGTGCACATGGCCACATCACCTTCACAGGTGGTTGGTCATGATCAGTCACCTGCAACTGATGACATCAAAGGTCTTGAACTTACGCGAAAGTGGAACCACCACACAGAGCACAATTTTTAATTTTAATAACGTCACCGCACACAAAAAAACGAATTCCATAGAGGCCACAGAAAATATTTGAAATAAATAGCTTTCTAGCAAAACATACGAATTTTCGAACAGTGAAAATTTCAAGGCAATTGGTCCAGTTGTTAATGAGGAAGAAAAAATACAACAAAATAACAAAACGATTCATGGGTCCATTCATGTACAAAAACGATCCATATGTACACTTGGTGTCCAATAAGTTTTTGATATTCTTGATAGCCACAAGTCGCCATGTTAAAGCGACTCCAAAGTATATTTAATAAATGTCTTGATTAAACAGAAATAAATGTCGAAAGCAATAACCAAAGTAACACATACAGACATAAGCAACACCAACTGAGCTGTGCTCCAGACTACTGAGTGCACATGGCCACATCACCTTCACAGGTGGTTGGTCATGATCAGTCACCTGCAACTGATGACATCAAAGGTCATGCTCAACCATCTGGGAAAATGCTAGTTGCCAGAAATACAGCTAACAATCTCCCCAATTTTCAATTTCAAATAAAAGTTTAACATAATGCATTTAACAGTTCGTTTGAAGATGCTCCTTTCTTAGTCAAACAATCTGCTAATTGTTGATCACTCGGAAGTTTCTTTATGCAGGAGATTCGATGGGATGAAACCATTTCTTTTAAACCATAAATGTCAATTGTGAGACGTTTCTCTGATACAGCTTTTGTCGACTTGATTGCATCACAAAGGCTTTGACTATCAGTACAACATTCAATGCCAAATTTTTCTGGTTGAACTCTTCCAGTCGTTAGTTCAGAGTACAACGCTGCTAATAACACCGCCGTATCAACACCATCTGACATAGAGAGAGTTTCAGCAGAAAGTGTGCTTTTCACGACTCTTTTGATTCGCTTGGATTGCCAACATAAGGGTATTTTCCCGTTTCCACCAATCATGAATACAATATGGCCAACTTGCGTGCCCCCGTCACTCAAATTGCCGCATGATGCATCACTATAAACAAGAAACCTAACTTCATTGTCATGGATAGCAGGAAATTTCAAAGTGACCTTTTGTGCTTTCAGTTGTCTGACAATTTTGTTAACTTCTATCACAGTTTTAACACTGCAATTCTTTAAAGCAGATGTGAGTGTAGATGATGCAAATGATACATCTGGCCGAGTTTGATTTGAGACCCACAGTATCTGGCCAAGTAAAGATCGAACTTTCAAGACATCAGCTTCGATTAAAAGCTCACTTCCACTCTTAGTTTTCAATGAACGAATATCAATCGGAAGCAGTGACCCTAATGTATTTGTGCTGGCTAAGTGTGATATCTTCCTTATCAGTCTTCAATTCAAGTCCTAAATATTTGAAACTTTCAGTATATTCCACTCCAACTTTGAACTGCTCTCTCAAACTCTTGATGAATTTGCGTTCGAATTCTTCCGAACCGCCCCACAGAAAGTCATCCACATGCAAAGCGATCACCCCTTTTAAATCATGATCGAAATAATAGAATAAAGCAGGATCCACTACAGAGATACGAGCACCTAATTTTAGAAGCGTTTCCTTAACACTTTCGTACCAATACATTGAAGCATCAGTAAGACCATATACGCATTTCTTCAATGGCCACACAACATTTCGCTTCAGTATTTTCTGATCAGGTGGTTTGATAAAAATATCACGCTCAAGAGATTTTCCTTGTAAGAAGGCAGTTTTGATATCCATAGTTTTTGGCGACCAGTTCTTTTGTGCAAGCAGTGCTAAAACAAGTCTGAGACTTTCTTTAGAACATGTTGGGGAATCTGTCTTCAATTCACTGAGACAATCTTTTTCAAAACCTCTAACTACTAGTCTAGCTTTTGGTTTTGGTCCATTGTCAGTCTTTTTTGTTGAACATACCCATCTTGTACTTAACAACTTTTGGCCTTTATTTTCTTACTCTGTGTAGACATCATTTTGCTTCCAGTTGTCCAGTTCCTTCATCTTTGCTTCAAGAAAGAGGTTTTTCGTTAATCAACATCACTTGATCAACAATTGGTATTTCTTGAGCTGGTAAATCATCCATAACATTCTCAACAGTGTCAAGATCAATGAATGTCTTTGTGCCTTTTTCAGATGAAGGTTGCAAATACTCAATATTATACCATCTACTTACTGTACTTTCCTGTTGCTTTACCAGCCCGCCCAAGTACTTTTGCAACTTTTTTATTGCCAGTTACATCCTCTTTGAATTCTACTATTTGACCACGTTGAGGATCTCTCTTCACAACAGGTGAAGCCGAGAGTCCATCATTATATTCTGAAGATTCATTTCCTTGATCAGTCTGTTTTAATATCTTCCTCGTCATCATCATCATAAAGCATCTCTTCTACTTTTGGTCGTGCTTCATTACTTGATATCTGCTCTTCATTCTGTTCAACTTTAACTTCTCTTTGTTTATCATGCATCAGCCTGCATTTATGTGCACGTATACCCAGTCCGCCGTGCCTAAGGAATACTACACATCCATCAGCACCAATAACTTTTGCCGGCACTCTCCATTTTTCTGAATTCTCTCGCTTGTAATAAACAGTGTCTCCAGTCTCATAAATTTCATCGCCATGAGACCTGATTTGTTTTTGCAATGCTCTCCGAACACTCTGATTCAAGGAAAGCATACAGGGCATTGAGATGAGAAGCAACTACATCACTCATGGAAGTGCCATCCAACGAAGGAGGTTTGTTTGTTAGCAAAGAAGGAAGATTGGGGTTCCTTCCAAATACCAGATGATAAGGGCTGTAACCATGAACATTATGCAATGAATTCTTTGCATTTAGAGACCAGGAAAATGCTGTTTTCCAGTCTAATGATTCAGATTCTCTAATTTCCAGCAAAATTTCAGTTAGAATAGAATTATGCCTCTCGACTAAACCATTGCTCCATGGACTTTCTGCTGCACTCGTCTTGAGTTCTATGTTGAAATTTTCAGCCATGTCACAAAAAACTGCATTGTTGAATTCTCCTCCATTGTCTGTGAATACTTGTCTTGGAGGTCCGTATATGCTTATCCAATGTGACAAAAACTAATTTGCTATGACCAATGAAGACTTGGAACTAATAATCAAACCAGAACTAAACCTGGTGAACATGTCGATAGTATGCATGTACCATAAATTTGGGCCAAGCTGATGGAGGTCTATGGCTATAACTTCGTTGAAATCAGTTGCACGAATCAACCCAACACCCGGTTTTGGAGAAGGTTTCTTGTAAATTTTGCGAACTTGACAATTGTCTATAACTTTCTTCAACATATTTGAAGATAACTTGTTGAGTTTTCCTGAATTATTGATAAGTTTTGATAATCGCTCATAGGAAGCGTGACCAAATTGTCCATGCAACTTCAAGAGATCTTTTTCAAAAAAAAGCTTCATTGCTTTCTTTTGCAGTGATAAAAATCCTAGGAGTAGGTGATTTATTGTTATCGGGAAAAAAGCTGACACAGTAATACTTCTTATTCTCCAGAGTCCTAACTGGTTTATAAAACATTTCCACTCTGTTTTCTGCAAAGTCAATCACAGTATTTGATCTTCTCATGGAATCTTTACTCAATAATAATGGTATATTTTCATCAACCACATCACAAGAAATGTTGACTTTCGTGTCCCCAATATATCCCGGGATTTGTATGGAATACAATGAACTGACTTTTCGACCATCACCAAACATGAAAACTCCTCCACTATCTCCAGTGTGAATCTTTTCTATTTCAGATTCCTTGATTCTTTGCAAATAATCAAGAAGCCAAATTTTCCCACATACAGTGCGAGTACACCCAGAATCTAATATTGCATATCCACATAGATCTTTGGTGAACGCATCCATGTCATTAACAACTGACATCACATTGCTATCTTCTGAAAATGATTTACTTTTCGCTCCTGATGTGGACAGGAATTTTCAGAATGCATCCTTGAATCGCAAATCTGACATCTTGCTCTGTAATATTTTGAATTTCTAGGACAATTTCTTACCCAATGATAAGTAGATCCACAAATAGCACATTAACTGATAGAATCATAGTTTCTTATTGGATTTGTACCTGCTCGCCTGCCATGATCTTGTCGAAATTTACCAATTTTTTTAAAAAAATATGCAGTCTCTTGTTTCACTTCTACAGAAGACGATGAAGCTCCTTCACCAAATATTCTTTTCAGTTCAGGACTTATATTCTAACTTGTCCACTGCTGCAAGAACCAATTGTCTTTCTTTTAAAGCAAGATTTGTTCCTTTGAGAAGTTTACACGCCAGTACAGTGTCCGGTAACTCCATGCCAAATTTTCTCATTTTGGTGTTCACTATGTCAAATCTTGATAAGTAATCTCTGATGTTTTCATTTTCCAGTCTTACTAAATTCTCAAATTCGGTGTATGTTTCATACGTTCTATCAGAAATCTCTCTTTCAAAAACACTATCTAATTTTACAAGTAATGTTTGCATTCCATCATCTCTGTTCAATTCCTCAGAGCTTATTTCTAGAGCAACTTCTCTAGCTTTTCCACATAAGCTCAATGTCACTGCTAAAGCTTGCTTTTTCTTGTCAAGGTCTGTAATTAATCTCCACATAGAGATCTCATTCTTCCATTGATCGTATGACTTCTCTCCCGTCAACAAAGGAGGATTCTTGTATCCTTGAGAAGTCATTGCACATCCTCTGCTACCATTTGTTAAAGCGACTCCAAAGTATATTTAATAAATGTCTTGATCAAACAGCAATAAATGTCCAAAGCAATAACCAAAGTAACACACACAGACACAAGCAACACCAACTGAGCTGTGCTCCAGACTACTGAATGCACATGGCCACATCACCTTCACAGGTGGTTGGTCATGATCAGTCACCTGCAACTGATGACATCAAAGGTCATGCTCAACCATCTTGGAAAATGCTAGTTGCCAGAAATACAGCTAACAGCCAAACCTTCGCTGCTCTCGTCAAAGATAAATAAAGCACAACCGGTGTATAGCAAAACGATATAATTTGCCGACATTTCGAATTTCTATTCAGAAAAACTTCATCAGGGCATGATATGAAGAGTAACTACACTATCATATATATATAGAGTAGAAAAATAAAACTAAAAAAGATAGTAAAAATTAAACGGCGTGAAAAACTGAAAAAAGGGACAATATGATAATAGATCCGGGTGAATAAGCGCAAGTTCAAACAATTACGCGACTATCTGAACAATGATTTATATACATGCGGGAACAATGTAGTATCTTTATTGTTCATTGAATTTTTCTCTTTGTTGATATGATAAGATTCGAGAAATAGTCTTTTTCTGTAGTGAATTTCATGTTCCAATATCCTGCTGTTATCCCAATCAATGCTGTGATCAGTAGAAAGGGCATGTTTCGAAAGGGCCGATTTTTCAAATTTCTTTTGTTTTACATCACGCTGATGTTCTTTTCTTCTAGTTTCTAGACTTCGTTTCGTTTCTCCAATGTAAATAGAGCAACATTCAACGCATGGGATTGCATATACCACGCCGTTTTTCTTGTTGGGGCATGGGCGTTCTTTGACATTAGAAAGTAGTTGGCCAATTGTGTTTTGGGGTTTAAAACTAACTTTAATCCTTACATCTTCTAAAATTCTTCGAATTTTCTCGCTGAGTCCTTTAACATATGGAATGGTAGTTGACGTGATCGGTTTCAGTTCTTCTTTCGTATCTTGACGGTTGCTCTGATTACTAAACATTTTCTTTGGGTATCCATTTTGTCTTAGGGTCTTTTTAATGAAGTTTATTTCCAGCTTTTGTTTTCTTTCATCGGATATTAGAGATTTGGCGCGATTAATAAGGCTACTAATAACGGAACGTTTATGTCCTATCGGGTGATTAGAATTAAAATTCAGATAACGATTTGTATGTGTCTTTTTCCTAAATATATCGGTCGTTAATTTTCCATATTCCTCTTTATGTATTTGTACATCTAAGAAGGCGATAGTCCTATTTAGTTCTTTTTCTATAGTAAATTGTATACTGGGTTCAATCGTGTTTAGGTGGTCATGAAACGCATCGCAGAATTCTTCTTTGATAATGTTGAAGGTATTGTCAACATACCGTTCCCAAATTCTGGGGCTATTAGGGAAGGACGTTAAGGCTCTTTCCTCAACGTCCTCCATAACCATATTGGCTACCACAACCGAAACAGGCGATCCCATGGCTGTTCCGAAAATTTGTTGATAGTGTTCCCCTCTAAAACTTAAATTGGCTGCGCTTAAACAAATTGTTAGTGCTTCGCAAATTTGGTCGATAGAAAGTTTAGTTCTCTCCTTAAGTGTGATGTCATTTTCTAAACGTTTCCGGGTTACTTTTAGCGCCAGGTCTATCGGGACATTGGTGAAAAGTGAAACGACGTCGAAGGATACCATAATTTCATCTGGGGCAGTCGTTGTTTGGAGAATTATGTCAACAAACCCTTTAGAGTTCTTGACATGTCTTACTGAATTACCTACCAATAGGCTGATTAATACGCTGACAAATTTTGAAAGTTCGTACGTTGGTGATCCTATAAACGATACTATGGGTCTAAAGGGGATGCCTGCCTTATGAATTTTGGGTAGTCCGTATAGGGATGGGGCTGAAGAATCCGTTATTCTTAATCGGTAACCTGTAGCTTCATTTATCTTGTCCTCCTGCGATAGTTTCCAAATGAATTTTGCCACTTTTCTTTCTGTTGCTTTTGTCGGGTCCCGTTTTAATTTCGTATAAACCGTATTATCCGACAACAAGTTTAGCATTTTGGCATTGTATTCCGTAGTGTCCATAATTACCGTACAATTTCCTTTATCAGCCTTAAGGATGGTCAAGTTCCTGTTTTCTTTTAGTTCTTTGAGAGCTCTTCCTTGGTCCTGCGTAAGATTAGGCGTTAGTTTAGGCTGATTATTTATGGCAAGAACTATTTTACTGCGGGTCAAATTTGCTGTATCTTCTGGAATTCGTCGAAGAGCATTTTCTGCAGCGGACAAAATAGCTTGAGTTGCGGGCTTTCTTGATGTGGTAGCAGGGAAGATACTACATTGTTCCCGCATGTATATAAATCATTGTTTAGATAGTCGCGTAATTGTTTGAACTTGCGCTTATTCACCCGGATCTATTATCATATTGTCCCTTTTTTCAGTTTTTCACGCCGTTTAATTTTTACTATCTTTTTTAGTTTTATTTTTCTACTCTATATATATATGATAGTGTAGTTACTCTTCATATCATGCCCTGATGAAGTTTTTCTGAATAGAAATTCGAAATGTCGGCAAATTATATCGTTTTGCTATACACCGGTTGTGCTTTATTTATCTTTGACATGAATATACCTGGTGGCAATCATGCGCTTCGCTGCTCTCATCAAGCAGAATACGGCTGATAAAACGGGGTAAGCAATGAATTGCGTGCGTATTTTTCTTGTAGGAGAAATTTGATGTGAACCGCCAGTTGTATCGATTGTCAGCGTAATATTGAACCCAAACTAACAAGAAGAACTTATAGTCATACCTGTACTCATTGACTGCACAATTTCAAGTTAAGGCATACATTTCCTTTTTTTAGATTTTGACTCTTCGGACCAAATTAACATGTAATGCAAATGTCTTTGATTTTTTGACACTGAAGTGACCGTATGGGTCGTTTTACTTTAATTTATGGAAATACTATCTTTATTCTGTCAGACCTGACGGCCACGACTGTCCTCCGTTTTGACTTTACGGATTCAGAGCTACGCCGCGATTGATTGTTGGAACCGGTACAGCGGTTGGTTGTTGGAACTTCGCATCCATGTAACGATATTTGGACATTGCTCTCTTGTATTTTTATTACATTCACTCAACGCTATCTTATTTAGTATTCTGTTATATCTTAATTAAAATACGCCACAAATACATTTTATTATGTATTCAAACACCATCAAACATATTTTTCACTTTTAGATGTTATATTTGTTCCATTGATTTTTATTTTATTTATGACATAAAAATGTTTGCAAACAGATTATTCTACAAAAATTTATACCAAAAAAAAAAGTTCAAATTAATATTTAGCAAAGTATTTCGAGAAAACAATAATTAAATTCAATCCCACGTAATAGCTATTTTTGAAAGCTTATCTGCGAGCGCTTCTATACATTTAATTTTGAATTTTGGGAAATTACATTAGATGTTATCATAATAACGCTATCATAACTTTACTTGTTTTATTCCTGTCCTGTTCCTGTTATTGCTGTCAGTTTAAATCAAGCAGCTACTGATGCAAAATTTCTGGCTTATCGAATTTAAAAGTTTTGAAAATTTTTCCCAGTGACTTTTATGCAGTTTCGACGTTACTTTAGTTTTAAAATAAAGAAACGATAGCCCGGGAATTTTGCACCAGTAGCTACTTAATTTGAACTGACAGAAGATAGGAATAAAACAAGTAAAGTTATGATAACGTCAATATAATTGTTTCCAAACTCGGTGGATGATGTAGTATGCACATAAAACGTCACAAATAGTTTCGGGTGTTTTTTGAATACCCCAACGCCAATGCAGAAGGTGCTAAAATTTCTTCTGTTTGAATAAGGATACTTCTTCATTGCAAGCAATTAAAGTGTTTGCTTAGTCCATTACAATACAGAGCTCTTAATTATCGTCGTTAGTTGCCAAAACAAGCACAATGCACAGAAGCGCATAATTCATGCCGTAAATATCCAAACATTTGTGACGTAATAAATGTTCTGTTGTGTAATCAGTGACGACGTTATCTTCGTGTTGCATTTCTAAAAATAAAGTTTACACTCCAAGCTTATTTACTTATCATTTGATATATTAGAGTAGGGAGTTTTACTTCAAAACCCTAAACAAACACGCGATAATAAGCTATCTGAATAAAATACAGCTATATTCCGAGTTTCGTGCAAACAACAAACTTTAGCATGATTATGAATAGAGATGACATCCGCAATTAACAGGGCACAAAAAAGATTCTGGATGGAAATACCCAGTGCCAAATTTTTCCGTCAAATGGGGTATATATATACAATCGAAGTGCAATGGATATCCACACACCTCACAGATCAAGAAATATATTTGACAACAAAAACAGTATCACTTGATATCAAGATCCTGAAACAAAGATGAATCCTAAGCAATGCCAAAAGGTAAGATTAGATAATTTTGATGTGTCGAATTATATTGATAATTTGTTTTTTTGCTTGATTTGATGCATTACTGTGTAGCAAATTTATTTTCCAAACATTCAACTACTGTTTTTGGTTAATCTTTCGCTGATTTAGCTAAATTACCTGCAAAATTATCGAATTCTGGGCCCCAAATTTATCCATTTTTACATCAAACGAATCTAGTTTCCAACAACTACTGAAGCGTGCCATTAGACTATATGGAAAAGCAAAAAAGACCTGCGAGTGAATGAAAATGGGAGTTTTTTTTCCACATGAAAAGGGAGACGATTGCAACTTTTATAGTACTTATATTTTTCATACTTGTGATTTGATAACGACGTCGCATTGCTGTACGAAATCATATTGAAGAAGGGGCCATGTCCAAATTTGGAAGAGCAACGTAAATTAAACTATAAACTCGAGAAACGTGTTTAAAATTCTCTTATCAATAAATAATTCAATTGAAGAATCATTAATTACTGTATAGTTATGCGGATGAATATCCATGAAAAGTATTTTTTTTAAACTTCGAATTTTGCAAAACATTTCAAATATCTGATAAAGTCGTATATTTTCAGATCATGTTTGCTCTCATAATTGCAATGTTATTCATTGACAATGCCAGAGGAAAACCCAAGATGTGAGTAAACTTATATGCTTTAGTTCAAACAACTTTTTGTACACATTGGGTGTCTATACAATAAAAGCGTAACGATACTGTGTTTTTCCGTAAAGCAACTAGCGACGTAGTTGATGCGCTGTTGTGGTGTGTAAATCCCGAGTTTTTACTTTCGATTTCGGCCCTTTACATTACAGTTGGTAATCTTTATAAGATTTGATACCATTTCACTAGTTTTTGAAATAAAAAATGTTTATATATGAATAAGCTCACGAGTCAGATTGCTGAATGATTCTCTTTTCAAAATAGTAACACTTAACTTTAAATGGAAGTTACAGATTGTTCGAAATATTTAATGATTTGACTTCTAGCCTACTGTTTTGTAACTTGTAATACTTTATTATAGTCACCTCCCTGTTTATGAGTGTCTAGTATTAATTTAATATACGATTTTGTAAAGTTTCAAAGGAAAAAATTGGGAGGCAAAATATGAATGTGAAAAAAATGTAAGAATACGAAGAGATGGATTTGCAGCATACAATGAAACTACGTGAGTGAATGTCTATCAGTTTGAAATTATTTAGAAATGAATATACTATCAGTTTGGAATATAAACTCATTTTCATACCAAGAAAAATTTTTGAATTTATAAAATTGATATGCTTTACAATAGACTCAAATGCGCAGGAAGCAAGATATCGCCTAACATGATCACCTATGTTGACAAATGTAAATTTTGTTGGAATCCACTGAAAAATAGAGTGATGAATGATGATCGATACAAACCGGTTCCTATTACAACAGTGATTGAATTTATTCCAACTGATGCTGGAACTAGGAATAAGCAGTATACAGTTATCAAAGCTTGCACGTAAGTTGATTATTATGAAATTGATTGAGAGGATATAAAACATCTGAATTATTAATCAAGATTATAAGTCGTGGCAGCAGCATATCTTTTTTTTGTAGGTTGTTACAGTCACTGTACTTGCACTTTATAAATATATGTTAAAAATTGGCAAACTTTCAAGGAGCCTATGTATTTAAAATGTAATAGTTTAAAGATGGACTCCATGGAATATATTTTTAGAATCCGGATGTTATGAGTCTTGAAGTTTACTTCCTTTTAAAATCGTTAAGGTATCCTAATTTAACATTAGAGGTGTTCTACTTCATCGCCATTACAAAGCTTGGAGGTCATTAACACTTGCTCATATTACTGTAAAACTTAATATACAGATGCTCAAGGAAGCAGAAAAGCATTGGAATGAGAAAGAAAAAAAGAGATGGCGGGATGAGGGATTAAGTATAACTTATGACGAAAAAATCAGTCTTGAACACGGTCGAAAAAGAATTCGTATATACGGATCTACTGTATGCTCTATGCTATATATAAATCTAGTTTTATTTGTAACTGGAAATTTATCTAATTTTATCCTGACAAAATTAAAACTGAATGTGAAATACTATTATGTAACAAAATATTCATATCAGAGTAGACTATTACAGATTCTTTGAGGTTTCTTTCATTATTTTTTTCATTGCTACATGTATATATTGAAATACAACGTGTCAACTTTATATCTGGAGTTATTATATAAACTTGTTGAGGATGGAGCCTTTGAGAAATTACTCGGTAATAAAACATAACAACTCGAAAGATAGGTTGGAGAAATAGTTAATGTTGAGAGTATTATAAGTCGCCACTGCAAACCGATATTGCCCAAAGCGATACCTTTACAGTGTGGATCTAATGTTTCGCAATTGAGAAGCTAGAAACAGATGCACGGGAGAATTCTAGCGATATATAAAATTGGCTATTTGTGACGAAAACAGTATGCTCAAAAAAGTCTCGCATTCAATAAGAAAAGAGAAAATTGTTGATCGTTTTCATTCATCAGCGAAACACTATATAAGATAATACTATTAAATTTGTAAGATTTGTCTGTGATTGTCATTTCTTACTATTGCAGCTATATTACTAGGTCACTCTTAACAATATCTATGAAATATATGTTATGATTATATCTATTCTAAATTAAATTTCGAAAAATAAAACTGCTAAAACACTGAGTCATATAATATATTGGCTGATGCCATAAAGCAGGGGTGACCAACCTACTTTCGGCCACAATCGACTAAAATCTTTGAAATAGCTCGCGATCGACTGATCGGTAATACGGTCCAAAAACGAATTAGTACTGAATATGCAGATAACTGCACACATGCATACAAAAGATTTCACCGCTGTCAATAAGAAGACTTCGTGGGCGCACTTTTAATAAAATTGACGCCAAATTTGTATTTTTATACTTCATTTGAGCGTTTGATTTTATTATTTAATTGTACCCGGAGTAAACGTTTCATCATTTATTTAAGATTTATTCAAATCATACGTTTCAGATATTCAGCATCTCTAATTTTTATTCGTAAGTGTTGAAAATTCGTCAAGAAACCTTGCCATTCATCTATTATCTAAATAGCGAAAATAAATATTTTCAAACCACGAATGTTACATGACTGCTCAAACTTCAGTATCTAATATACAATTTCCTCCAAGCGCGATTCTTCGCTCGCTTGAAATTTGAAAAAATGAGGCTTTTCGATGCCACTGCTTAGATTGCCAATGAATTAATCTATTCTTGGAGTGAGACAATAACTTTTGCATACGTCACAAGTTATTGTAGGATCGATCGTTCGTCAGTCCAGGCAGGCACTTCATTTTTAAACCTTGGCAGCGGCGAAACTTGCATTTGTTAAGTAATAATACGCTCTATCGGGCTTGCACAGACTCAAATACATTGTACTTGTATTTTGCCCATGTCCAGGAATGTATTCTCAATGTTCTAAAACACACAACTGGTTCAAGGCATTTTTCGGGGTATTTTTTCAAATTCATTCAGCATCGGATGCGATAGACTGCTCGTGACGTTGCGATCGACGTGTTGGCCACCCCTGCCATAAGGCGTAAGCTTAACCACTAGTAGTTTCCTGAGGTCGGTTGAGCCATTCGCTCACTGAAATAAGTCGACTTGTGGTAATTTATTCCTCTCCCCACCACTTGCCTCCACAAATTCACGCTCGGCAATGGTCTTGCAACACAACATATTATACTATATAGGGTTACCATATTTTTTTGACTTCAAAACGGGACGCCTCCAAAGACACGACCCCTCAGCTGTGATGCTGTAATTTTACAGTTTCCGATTTTACTACATAGGCCTACATTTGAAGCCATCCCGGAAAGTAACTTGCTCGTTGCAAAATCTAATAATTAACAAAAATAAAATATTCAAATGCCGTTTTTCTCTGCCGTCATTTTCATGATTAGTGTACCGAATGCAGTAAGAAATTATGTCTCCTGGTGTCTATCTATACGAAAATATGCAACCTCGTCCAAGTCGATGACGAAATCCAACAACCATATTTCACTTTCATAGACCTGAACAAAAGATAAGGAAAGAATTGAGGATATAATATATATCTACATCAATTATCAACAAATCAAAAGCCGTTTACATTTTTGTATTTTAGTATACCTTGTTTGTCTTCTGGTCAATCCATCTAATATTCGGACCTCCGGGCAAATAAATGTCTCTCTGCCTCGCATTATACTCTAGAATTGGAGCTACCAGTACTTCTTCTCCTATCAAAAATTCATCGTCGATAGACAGTGCTGTTCCATCAAGAGGGTCAATCCACCATAAAGGACGAATAATTGGCATTCCATCTTCTTTTGTTGATACATCTGCATATCTGGATTAAAGATGAAAAGTAAATGATTGAGCATACGTAAATTTGAACAGTAAATGACTAAAATATCTAATTTTCAATGAACAGTTAGCTTGATTAATACAGGCAAACAATAACTACTCTGATAGCAATTTAAAATTCTTTACTTCAGTACGATAGGTGTGACGTATTCCCTATGAAGGTCCACAAATTTCTTCGCGATTCTAGTGACTTCCTCATCATACTGCCAAGGTACAACAGAAAACTGCATAGCCGGCATGAACGCTGTGATTTCTAACCACCGGATATATAATTGTCTGTCCGGTATTGGATGTCCATAATACACATTTCCTCCAATCATATCCGGAAGAATAAAAGGATATCCGTTGATACCCAAAGTGAGGCATGTTGGAATTAGAGTCTTTAATCCATTTTCATACCTTAAATTAATAAAGCATTATACTGCTTGATGAGCCCATTGCCCTACTTAAGCAGTGTCGAGCATAAGATGGGTTCTTAGTTATATGAGTGAATTTCCGACCTACAATTCACTCCGCTCTGAATACGAAAAGAGCCAGGTCATTTCCGATTAACACTCAATTAGAAAAGGGGTAGTCTGCAGATATCCGTAATAATGAGTAATCTCAAACTAAACTAATATATGCAAACATTGAGGTTTAAGATAAGTTTCTAGTAATTACATTGAATATTGAAATTAAAAATTTAATGTCACATAGTAAGTAGTTTGTGGGATCGTTTTTTTTTTATTCATACATAAAATTTGAAATCACCATTTGAAAATTCACTTTACGTCAAGTCAAAAAATATCACACAAACCAACAATAGTTTTCAACATATGTCAGAAAACTCATCAGCTTACCCCCACTCTGAGTCCTTGTCCATCATTCGAACAAATATCGGAAGATGCTGCGTTTTGTAACCAGATCGAACTTCCACCATTCCACCTAACTGGGATATAGTTTGGACATAATGTGTGCTATAGAATACGGGACTGTCCATGTCAATCTAAAGACAAAAGAATATAAAAATTACACTACCTAATAAAATACCAGAATTTATAATATCAAGAATTGAATTTGCTAAGGATAGAAATAACGTTTAATATTAATAGTATCATATAGTTATAAGACTTCAATTATGTCTTTCAAATTATTCACTGTAAATATATTCAGTAACCATTAAACCAAGGCACACTATTTTACACAACTTGAAAATCCATTGTGGATAGTTGGCTGACTTTTTTGTCATCTATTATTCAAAATGTGAATAACAAAAATTTTAAGAATAGGGCAATTGGTCTCAATAAATTGAACGCCATGGTTAGGGCTAGGAATTAAAAAAAAAACTTAACCGGTTAACCGCAGCGTGCTGTTTGACGTAATAAGTTGGTGACCGTACATTTGAACCCATGTACACTTGAACCCATGCGTATATCCACGGGTTCAATCTATATGCGGGTGCTAAAACCCATGGGTTAGGGTTAGTATGGGTTTAACTATCCGTGAAACAAAAAAAATTCCATAGGTGCAATAGCATACAGGTGCAATTGTCATGGGTTCAAATGTACGTGGGTTCGAATGTAATGGAACCTAATAAGTTATAATATCTGCGTGTTACGTCACCATGGTTCCAAAGCAATTTCGCGTGATCTCATCCTGGTATCGCCCGAAAATATTCACGGATCGAGATAGTTTCAAGATCGCTCTACTTTTAAGAGAAATGCAGCGTACTTTAGACCAGGGATGTCCAACCCGCGCCCACAGGAAGAATTCGTGCGGCACAGTTGAAGTGTTTATATAAATACGAACATATAAACATATTTAACATAAAAATTTCCTGGTATGATACCAAATCCTAATAGAATTTAGGCTATAATTTCACGCGACTCCGCCATAAGAAAAGCGTTGTTGAGCGCCACAGAACATGATTTTACAGCGGGCTTAAGCGTGCAACATCTGTGTCGATAAAATGAGTTTTCTACCCATTGTGAAGTCACATATGGGTACTGTGTTCTATCGATGTTGTATCACAAAAACAAATCTACCATTATGTTTGGAACAAAATAGATGAAGCTTGAGGATGAAAATCGAAAATATCAAAAGGATTGGGAAGAGTTGTAAGCAACGATGTATGCCTAATATGCCATAAATCTGTTTCGAGCTTGAAGTCGTGTAATTTGAAAATTATGAAGTCGAAGCATAGGAGTAATCTGAAGAACAAATATTTGACAAGCCAGTTAGTTACATTGTGCGGTATAAAAACTACCCGTTGATATTAAACAGTTGAGCAATGACAATCAAAAGCAAGTTTGGAACTAGTTGAAGAGAAAAATTGCTGGCTTTATTTTTTTTTCTTTTCACACCAATGTATGTGCATTTTGCATAAAATTTGAGTTGAATTTCATGGTCTTTGTGTGCATCTTGTGTTTAAAAAACCGCAAATATGTTGTGCAATATTGGGCTTGATTTAGCGACGCTTAAATTCTAACGTAAATCGGCATTGGGTTGCTATTTAAGTTTGGTAAAAACGTTTGCGGCCCGCAATGAATTTTCCCATGTGAAAGTGGCCCGCGGCACTAAAAAGGTTGGACATGCCTGCTTTAGACATATATTTTAGTAAAACCCGATTCCGTTATTTATGCCATTATTTGTGACATTTCAATGTTTGTTGTGCAACTTTGAGATATCATAAAGATAGGAGTGTACCACCAGAGGAGTGTTTCCAACACGACCGGAAATACTATTAATTCAAAGCGTATTATATATACTATGATATTATCAATTTGTAAATGCAGATCACTTTACACCATATTCATTGGGAGTAGTCTATTTATTCAGATCTATGTTTGTGATTACGTGTCGTTTATGGAAACAGAATTTGACGTACTGGATGGTAAACTGATTGTACAAGGATATGCGATTTTGAAAAGTCGACATTCAAAACATAATTCCAAGTTATCCAACCTTTGTTTTTGAAGGCATAGGGAAATATTCAACTTCACCGGCATCAAATTTGAATGAATCAACTAGATAGCAATCTTGCATCTGAAATATGAATCACCGAACATTAGGTAACTTTATGTATTTCAAGTATGAATTGAATCGATTATTTGCAGATACATTTTTCATTCAAGCACGCAATAACCATATATAGAAGATAAAATTTTCCAACACTTTACCCAATTTCTTTATTTTTTGGTCCAAGCTCGTAATTTTAAAACTCAGTGAAATTGGAATATATTTTAGATTGAACTTGCCGACTCTTATCGACTTGCCATTGCCGGGTAAGCCGTTAAAATTCTTATGAACTTGAACAAGCTATATAGTTGCCATACTTTTCTATGTAGGTCAAGATACCATTCAGATGCAATCGAACTGGTAAAATCAACCAGAGCTCCGTAGCCGTCCCACCATTTTATTAATGCAGGTGTATCAGCATATTGGGTTTGAACAAACATTGATCTTAGTGTTGATGCCTTTAATATTTCTTCGTCACTTTCAAGCCAACAGAAGTTCATACTGCTTTGAAAAAGCTGAAATCAGATCAGACAGAGACAAAGTAAAACTAATTGAAGTTCTATGTTTATGGTTATAAAATTATGGCTGTATTTTACTATGTTGATTTTACAAATTAAAATTGGACTAATCTAACATGCAACATTGCTATATGTATCTCGCTATGAGACAAGTGCGTATAGCCAGATATAGTCTCCGCTTTGTATTTCGTATATTTAAACTGAGCGGATATTTCATGAAAACTGAAACTCAGCATTGCACACTGTGTAATGTGCAATTCGAAAATATGCTTTCAATTTTGTATCCATTCCTCGCTATGCATACGCATTTAATTAAATTGCCAAACAGACTTGATAGCGTTTTACTGTATATTGCTAAACCATATTACAGCGATTCAAAGGGCCAAAAATCGTCAATTCGTTTACCTTCGAATTCACATTGACAAATGGAGTTGTCCACAACGTTACACGGAAGCCTTTATTGTGTAAAGATTGAATCATTCCTTTTGGGTCAGAAAATTTGACAGGGTCAAAAGTCAAATCGCCATAAGCTGTTGACCATTTGTCGTCAATTTCCAGTTGAGAATTTGAAAATCCATTCTTCAAAATTTCGTCAGCAAATTGTAGTGTAGCGCTTTGGTTTATGTTTTGCTAGCAAAATAAAATATAGAATCGGTACATTTTTCGGTACTCCGGTAGTGTGTGTACCAGGTTAGAGTTAGGCCCTAATTTTATTCCGATTTTAGTTTTATTACAAGTTCTGGGACTGCCTGTGTTAGCCAAGTGAATATACCCCCTGCCCATAGGTTTCAGTTACTTTACATAACTTGGTGTAAAGTGGGCGAACAAAATTAGTTACCTCCAATGGTACACACGCCCAATTTTCAACAAAGAAATACGATTTCTCCTAATTTATTCATTGGCGTTCTTCTGGACTTTTTGCCCCTTTTCAAAGAAGGTTTTTTTTATTTCTCTGATTAGTTCTCATTCATACATTGTAAAAATTCTCGTTTGTGAACTATGCTAAAAGGGAGCCGCGGTTCTGAAGTACTCCTTCCGTCTATCGTTTCCCTGTCAGTTCTTCTCAACTTGTGCTATAGCCTATATTTCAACACTCGTTTTACGCCCAAGACCTCGCTTTGAGCTGAATATTCGAGCTATTCTTTTCGACGTTAGGCATAAGGCGGTGTCATTTGGAACTCATTTCAAATACATACTTGTGCAAAGTCATAACTGAATTTTGACACTTACAAAACGAAGTCAAGTGTAACAAAATTATAATGTCTTATTTTAAGAAATATTCAGAATTTTCTCCTCGTTTCCACAATTAATTAATTAGTCAATTAGCAAGAAGTTTTGCCTCAGGTCGGTATCTCACCTTGTATTTCGCCCAGGTAGACCACACTGGATCACGGAAACCATTCCTTGTTGTCTGGCAAATCCATCCGGCCTTGAAAAGAAGGTTTTCCATCGACATGCAGATGACTTCCTAAACCGTTTGTGCTTATACTGAAAACATTCAAATAAGTCTTCAACAAGGTAAATTTTTGTTTAAAATTGATGCTGTAATCAGATACACAGTAAACATCACGTGAGAATCGTTCAACGCCTCGACAGAATGTTTGTTATTTACCACTTTAACCAACTACAATTGCTAATATCTAAAAATCAACCAACCTTTAGATTACTCGCTGTGCAAATGTTGTATTTCAATATTGTCTTTTTATTATCATTTCTCGGATATTCAGGATCAAAATACTTCGCCATCAAACAGAGTCTATCGTCAAAATTATCGTTGATACCGATCCACAACGGTGTCAGATCATCAACTATGATGGCAATTCCTAAAGAACTGTGATCAAAATATAAAATAAAATTCTGTAATTTTCTGTAAGGTTCAATTTCAAAACTTTCTTTAGGTATTTCAAAAATAATGTCTGTGTGGTTCTAAAGTTATGTGTTGAATAGGGAGATTAATATTGTACTGTACTGTATTCATTTTTTAAAGCGGAAGCCAGAATCATCCATCTACTTATTCAGCCATTTGCATACTTACTTTAAAAAGTATCTTTCCACAAATGATCCATAGACATCTTCTTCTTTGTGCGCTATCACGTCTTTCGATGTATACATTTGCATAGGAATCGAAAGATTGTTGCTGAATGGCCAATGTGGTCGAAAAACCTCAGGTCCTCCGAACCACTGTCCTGTGGTCATCGGAAAACAATCTTTTGGAGAACCGGATTGCTTATCATTATAATTTGAAGTCCATGTCATTTCATAACAATTTGTTTCTTTATCTGTCCAAGTCGACTGGTTAATGCAAAGGGTTGATCCAACATCCCACGATATGCAATAGTGCGATTCAAAATCTTCATTTCGTATGATTTCTGTAGAAAGTTGTTTGTTTTATATTTCTAAAATATCTTTCAATTCAACTTATAATGCAATAATCTAGGGGTCAAAACTCAAAAGAGACGCACATCAAAGACGCGCCAGTTAGGTAATTCAAGCAGATAATAAAAAATACGTTATTTACTATTTTTCCATCGAGTACATGACAAATTTACATGAATGTAACCTGAATTTAAATCATTAAGATGCAATCCCAGATCAGCTCTCAAGCCGCCAACATCCGTTTGTATATAGAACGTTCTTTCGTTTGTGTCGAACTCCACATTCTTGAAACTTTTCACTTGTTTCTTGTCAATCTATATACATGTACAAATCTTAAAATTTCAATGATAGAGTCATTTAGCTTGTACTACTCTTACAACACGGTCAAGACAAGACAACATAGATAATAAAATACATACGTACGATAGTATAGTTTTATACTGAAAGCAAATACACTAGTTTGATTTCAATATTGTTATGTATTTTTGTATGTCATTCCTTTTCATAGTAGGCTATTACCAGTGGTGGGATTCAGGCGGTTCGCACCGGTTCTATAGAACCGTCTCACGGAATTTTGTGAGATCAGCGAACCGGTTAGCATTACTGGTTACTGTCAATGACTTTTGGGCAACAAAACCGGCTGAAACATATGACTTTTGTGATGGAACCGGCTAACAACTATTACCTACTAGCTCTCTTACGACTTATACGTCCACGCCCACAGACATTCGTCCTTATAAACGCCCCTGCATTTTCAGCAATTGCTTGCAGATTGCACTCGTGGATATCTGTACCAATGAACTTTGCATTCATAAATATGTGCACGTGACTTTGCACCCAACAAATGTCTGTCGTCACAAATTTCCATGGGTGCGAATATTCAAGTGTGAAAATGTACCATAAATGCAAAGGAAGGTGGGTGCAATTGATATATATGTGCAAAGCTGCGGGGAATAATATATGTACAAGGATATAGTTATCGTTTTCAAGGCCATGAGGGGAGTGGAATATACGCAAACACCATCAAAAATTATTCTGCGAGACGCGAGAATATGTTAAAACCTATACTCTATCTAATTTTCCTATACGCTCATGTGTCGCTGCATGCAGATCAGCTTTATATCATATATACTTTTAAATAGCAGGCTCCTCGCCAGCATAACAAATATATATACTACAAATACATATTACACAGCTTTATACGTACCTTTTGAATATGTAGTTATTAACATTCAAAACGTTACTCGACACGTTTCAGCACAAACTAAAGCCAGGAAAAATTTCAAAATCAAATTTGTCGCTTGGCACTTAACAAACGTTTATATTATATTTATATGTATGCTCAGTTCAACGTAACGTACCTAATGACATTCATGTTCACAGTACAATCACAAAGTTTTCGATCCTTAACAGTAAGAGTTGAACAAATGCTTTGATGCATAGAATCAAAATAATTACCTGCACTTCGTAGTAATCGAGATACACTGCAATGAATATGGTCACAAATTCGTAGATCAAAACGTTTTTCAGAGACAGAACGCTGTTCATTTTCAAGATTCAATGTCTTTGTGTTTACCAAACTATTCACCCATATCGCCGCTACGTTACAATATATACAACTAATATTTGCTGTTTCCATTGTACGGGTTTTGCGATAAGGTCACTCACTATTCGAGTTAACCAATTTGACTTGAACTCTGAAACGCAAATAAATAGACCGTGAGAACACATTGAGTTGTAATCAATGCAGAGGTTGCTTTCGTTCGCTGTATTTGTTGGTTTCCTCGCGAAGAAAAAGTGACAGCAACACCAATCAGTCACGCTGCTCATAACAACAAATTACGGGTCTAGTGTACTTTTAGTGGGCGTAGCAAAACAATTTTTGCATATGTCAATCCTAACCCCACACCTGACTGCGTCATCCAAATATCACGTCACTACGACACCACAGTGACGTAATAAGGCCCTTTAAAGTATACAAACTGTCATCCACGACGCGTAGGCGATCCTCCGAAATCTAGCAAGCTATTTCTCTGATCCCGATATGAAAGAGATCGCTGCCATTAGTGGGTTCTTTATCGTCGGCGTGATTGCCATTTCGGGCGATAGGTGTCATTCGATTTCGTGGTTATCGTCTAACATGCTGTTGGCAAATTTCCTTCACCAATTGAACACAAGGTGATCAATGGCTCGTATGCAAAGTTGTTGTTGCAAATCATTTTTTTGTTTTTATCATTATTGTTGAGGTGGCTGATGAAAATTGTTGTAGGGACAAAAATGAAAATATACTTTCTTCAACATATATAGACTACATAAAATTAATCACTTAAGAAAATTAGAGGAAATTAAAATGCTACAAATTAAGATTCATGTTTGCCATAAATGCACCTGCAACCAACGACAAATCCCGGATGAGTGGAAAACACGATTTCTCAAGTCAAATGTATGTTTTCAAGTTGTTAATAATTTAATACGTATACAAAGTGTGTAAGTACAACGTATTGTTATCTTTCGAGGTGCATCCCATATCATATCAAATGCCAGAAAAATGATTATGTCAGATTACAAGTAAATGTAGAAACAATCTTGGAATTTATTTATTAATTTATGAAGACAATATACAAGTTTGGGACTTCATGAGCGATGTTTATTGATTGGTTAATTTAAAGTTCAAAGTAAATTACCACGTTTCTGTATGCATGCTGTATTAATAATTTGCTCTATATTTCGTTTATGACATATTATGAAGCTACAAATCAGCAATATATATTTGTTCAGAACTCTGAATAATTTTTGAGCAAAGTAAAAGTAGAAATAATCGAGGTCAATGAAGCTTGTGCTTTCTGTTTCTCGTCCTTATTTTTCGACTTCGTAGAATCAACGTAATCTCTGACTTCCTGCATCTCTAATTTCATAAACTCGCATTGCTTTGTTGAAAAAGTTTTTCCTTTTTTTCTGTATGGTACTGCAGGTGCATTTTGAACTTCATCGTATATACGAACACTAAAATATATTTGAATATAATGTAAATCACATACGTTGTAAAAATATAAATTTCGTGCAATAACTGCCAAAACGCAGATCATGAATATGGATATTGCCGCGAATCATTATTTTATTAAATCATTATTTTATCAAATCACCCATTTAAAACTTTTCTTGGGATAGTTCATACATGGACGGACATACATACACTTCCCAACTCTTCTTTATTTGTTTCGCTAACTAACATCAAGCGATAGACAAAATCAATGTTTAGAAACAGGTTTGATCTGGAAAAGTGCGATGTATTCAGGAAGCCGTTTAATCGTGATTTCATAAAATTGGCATACAAGTGATACAAACGATCGAAATTTAATTTCTATAACAAACACCGAGCTGTTGGAGGTTAGAACAATTAATGATATTGGCATAATTTAACCCAAATGTTGGGTTTCAAATAGACAGGGGTGATAAGTTTTGCAATATTAGATATAAGTATGAAAAAATAAATTATTTCAATTACGGGTTGCTCACACAAACTGCAAATACTTTTATATGGAGGTAAGTAATAGTTGCATAGCAGATTCGCAACAACAATTTTGAAAACGTGCATATATGACATTGTTGCCTCATGAGAAATAGTACGCAGGTGTGGCTTTCGAATTTTTTCCGATTGAATTGTGACTCGAAGGTGATATTAGAAATCTCAAACTTCTTTAATAAAACTGTCAGAATTATATTCCATATGTCAACTGATAAAATTTGCTAGTTCAAAATGGGATCCCGCTCCTGACTGGTTTACTCTCTATTCCCTATCGAGTTTAAATGGCATATGTATGGGCGTGGTATGAATAAACCCGGAAATTGCTCTTTTATAGTAAACTAATTGGAAAATTCTTTTCATACAAACTTAAATGAACTTGAATGAAACTCCAAAGCCTGAATCAGATTGCTCATGGAGCTCTGCATAACCGAGTATTCCTATCAATATTCCTCTCATGCCTAGTCTTTTTTTATTATCTCAATCAAGAGATTTGTGTAATCGCAAGGTTCTAATAATACGTACAATATTCAATCACAAATTTGAAATGTGTTTACACAAGTCAATATAGAGTGCGTTTTTGATTTCAAGAGCTAAATTTCGAAGTAAGCTATTTTCCTTTACTTTCATGTCTTTGAAAGGCTGGCCCAGGATTATCCGTTCATTTCATATATCTTTCATTACATGTTCAATTCATTTCTTGTTTAGTATAAAACGTGTTTATGTTCATGAACACCGTTATTGCCCTCTGTGAGAAAGGGCAAAGTTGCTTGCGAATGTGCCTATTTGTTGACAATAAAGTGCAAAAGCGCCAATGCATTGCACAATAAAAATTCCAGATATATATCATTAATTGTACTTACTCATTATCATTGGTATCACTTTGATGAGGAAGTGATGATGTTGGTGACTGTGGTTTAGGAGGAAGAGATGGAGCATTGATTTGCACCACTGCTGACTCAACTTCTGTTATTCTAGTGTTGATAGCATTTATAGATGAGATCATCTGTGACGAATAAAATAAAAAGTATTTATCAGTGATGAATTGCTTCATCATTACTATAAACACTGTTTTTTGTATTCTTCTGCATCAACGTTGTTAAATTTCTTAATATAAATGGTCTTTGGTTGATAGGGATTGAGAGACTATATACCTGACATGAAAAAAATATGGCCCGCGGGACAAATCCGGCCCGTTGGGTAATTCGATCTGACCCGCCTGATATGCCACGACCAAACTAAAACTAAGTTTGATGTTTCAATTAAAAATATAGATCAAGAGATTTGTTGAGATAGCGATTCAATTTAGTTTTGGCTCGAGGCAATGTTTTCCAAATGCCCCCTGGTCCAAAAACCTCGTTCACCCCTGCATACCTTTCAACTTCAATCTTTTAGAACTAATTGTAGAATAGTACTTAAAAATATTACCAATTGTGTTTTACCATAACGATGAATCTACTCACCCTGTCAAGTTTTTCGTTCATTTCAATAAGAGTAGTTTGCATCAGTCGCACTGATTCTTGTTGTTGTGACATTTTGATTGTTATTATACATTTACCTGTGAAAAAAAAACTGTGATAATGTTTTGCTATCCTAATGTGAAGTTGAATTCGGCTAACAAATAGTTTTTGCCGAAAACCGTACATACTTGATCAGTTCAGGCTATTCTATCTCATCAAATTTTATATCTGATATCCCTTCTCTGATTGAATTCAAACTTCCTTTATTAACGCGATTTAAGGATTATACAAAACAACAGATGACCAGTGAAATTACAATCTATTAAAGCAAAGGTCCCTTTGACACACACAGAAGTTTTAATTTCGAATGTGAAACTACCTCAAATTCCACTGTGTGTATTCGAGGTGAAATCCAGTAAAGCGCTTCTCATATTTTATTGCTATGATATGTATATTTACACAAAATATGAACATCTCTCTCTTACCTAACTTTACAGTGTTTACATTGTCAAAGCGAAACGATAGACTTGCAATATAAGAATATATTACTAAGAATTTGTTATTTTTTCACATAAATTTTACAGCCCAACATTTAAACATTTTCTTTCATTTGCACCATTAATATTGAAAACTTCTGTTCATCAATTGATTTTTTTTTCAATAAAACCAACTTTAACTCATTCATTTCAGTTAGGCTACATCACAATAACAACATACACTGTGAAGACCATCAATTGGTTTTACGCAAGACTAACTAACTACTGTATATCCTTACGCGACTCCATAGAACAAACGGCACAATCAGAAAACAATATGAACGTGATGTCATCTATGCGTACAGAACTAATAGCATCTAGGTAGACGGATCTCTATACTACGATTTGGAGGGAATGTTCTGTGTGATTCTGCTTATTACATACTATAGAAATTGTGCGACAGAAAAGGCCATTATACACTAAAAAGGTCGGCATTATACACTAAAAAGGTCGGCTCTTTTAACGAGCGATTTGGATTTTTGGTAAAATTCTGTTGTGTTGGGTTTTATTGCTTCTTCACACAGAGTAGCCTACGGTTGCAAATATGCACCTTGAGTCCACAAAGATTTTCGCCGTCGAGAAAATAGTCCGCGACCAAAAAAGGTTGGGAAACGCTGCTATAGAAGAATGAAATAACGCACACTTTGTCACATATGTTTACCTAAATCCACGATGCAGCTTCCCAGGTCGACTTTAATCAGTTCTAATCTGAAAATTTGGATTCTCTGACGTTAGACGAATCCAATAAACTGATATTTATGAATATTTGGCAGGTCCGAATATAGTCCGCGCACATAAATTACGCATGTTCAAAAAAAGCAATCCAAATCATTAAAATTGACGTACTCATTAGTCTATTCTTTCGATATTCTGCATCATCAACATTCAATACGATGACTCATGAAGCATACACATGTATAGTAGACATAATAACATTGCGGACTTCTCGTTTTATATTTATGTTAACCGCCTTCACACTCGTTGAACATGGTTTGAAATGTTTGTGCTTGCATACACTGTGGTATCTATAGATTACAGGAATGGTTCTAATCTATGTATGTATATGTATACTCGTGCTGACCCGAAATTAAAAAGTAGCAAACCATTGACGCAATCTGCTCGCGCGCATACATATGTATGTATATCATTTAGAATTGGTTGGCCATCTCTTGTGTCATGAAATTCGAGCAGATTCTAATCTTATTCTACTTTTTTACTATACAACTATTAACCTATAGAATGTGCTACTTTCTTATGTATTGATTGATAGGAGGGTTGTTGGATCACGGACCATCAATATCAATGATCATCCGTCCTTTCTGTCTCATTCACATATTCGACCCATTTCCTTGCGACCCCCCCCCCCCCCCCCCTCCCCGAAAATGAACATGCCAAAACAGACCCGGTATATACAGCATTCGAATGTGCATATAGGCCTACCAGTCAATAACAAGGGTCTCTACGCGGGATCGATCATTTTCCTTTTTGGGGGTCGCGCCTAGAAGCCCTTCTGTTTAGCGTTGAAGTATCATGAGTCAAACTTGAGTAGCATTATTTAGACTGGACTTGACTCAGGTAATTTTCTCCATTTATCTCCTCGCTTCGTAATCGTGGCACCTCTGCTCAAATTCGATATTAGGTACTCCCGTAGTGTGTGTACCAGGTTAGGGTTAGGCCATAATTTTATTCCGATTTTCTTTATTGTTGTTGTTGTTGTTATATGTTTTATGGCGCTTATAACTTCAGTGGTCTTTTGCGCCATTGATCAATTCAAATTTAAAAATACTATACTAACATATAATACAATATTTACGAATATATAATTATACAATTGAATCAATTACAATAAGTAATTATTCCTAAACATTTCTGCCCGTAGACAAAATAAATTCGATAACAGTTTCAATAATGTCCATGTTACTAAGCACTTCTTCCAAAGTCATTTCCAGTTTAAGTTTTCTGGCTTTGCTAATGACTGGGCTCCTTTGATGATTATATCGTTGACAATGCAATAGGTAGAGGGCTACGGTCTCGGGTACGAAACACTGTTCACAAAATCCGTCAGAATGACAGCCAATTTTATGAAAATGTGCATTCAGGGCGCAATGATCACTTTGCAGTCGGAATAAAAGAACTTGATATTTACGTGACAAAGTTTCGTTTTCTAGTCGTGACATCGTGGTAGGATGAAATCTTTTATAATGGCTTGCTGATTTACTATTAACATATTCCGTATTCCATTTTTCCCGAGCCAATGTATCAAAATATGATTTTGCTTCTGAGACGGAAAGTGGCAGAATTGCATCAAGGGAATTTCTTTATTTTAGTTCTATTACGAGTTCGGGGACTGTCTGACTTAGCCTAGTGAATATACCCCCTGCCCATAGGTTTCAGTCTTTTTACACAACTTGATGTAAAGTAGGCGAACAAAATTAGTTACCTCCATATTGGTATACACACAATATTATATTGGCTGTGAACTCACATAAAACAAACTGTATGGAATACGCAAATACTAAGTTACAACAGGATACTACTCTACTCTCGGATCTAATATTTGTTTTCATTAAATTGCGTATTATTGTGTGGTAAGTGGGTTGTCAAAGAAAATATGGCTCTTAATAAACTACAGAACTATAAACGATGATTTGTGCTTTCTAATTCTACAAATTGACGTACAGTTGAACTAGTCCGTGAATTTCATATTCCCTTTGAGTTCCAAAATAAAGTATAATGTGACATCATGAAATTGATTCGATGACAAAGACAACTAAAATTATATATACCTTACGTTTAATAACGTATACGCTGACGCAAGTAGATTTTAAATCATAATCGACCTTTGCAGGAGCGTTGTAATAAAAATGCTTCTCACATAACAAATAATGTTTGTATGATATAATTAGGATATAGTATATATCTTTTAATTATTACCTACGTCAATATAAACGCAATCCAATAAAAACATGAGGCTAAAGGCTAAACGATCCTAATTCACATATTCCATTTAAATCTCTTGTTTCCGTCGAATCCTGACATATTCAGTTTTGATTTCTAAAAACATTCTGTCTCACACATAGCAATTTTTAGAACATCAGTTCCCTTAGAAACTCGCGTTTTGCGGCATCCGTCCAGACCACCTGTTACAGTCAAACTTGGCAATTACAAATTTCAGGGTACTCCCGGAGTATGTGTATCAAGATTAGAATTCAGGTTTGTGCGACATCTTGGTACACATACTCCGGAGCGCTGAATGCTTGGGACTAAGACACTTGGCACTTATGTGTTCGTATACAGGGGACAGAGAATATGGAGGTAAACTATTCATTGTGAAATTTCAGAACTACTGTATATGTATATGCATCCAAACTTTACATTTTCAAGTCCTATTCCTGTAATTCAAAGTTACATTTTATATGATAATAGGTACACATCTTCACATGAAATTAGGTACAAATCTTTAAACATTTTGCTGGAGTCTTGACAATGCGGTAGTTGATTGAAATTTGAGTCTATATATTTTCACTTTGCTCGCTTTTTTCATCCGAAGCTATTTATCTATCTCAATTTTTTTGTAAAACATGAATAAATAGTTGAGCTGTTCAAATAGTCAATAGGATAAGCTCTATTGGGGTTGCTACTTATTTGTACTGTATTTTACTGAAAGTTCTCATAACAATCTTCAAAGTCAGTACATATAAATATTATTCCGAGATTGAGTTTATTATTGAATTTTCTTATGTCAATATAAACGCAATACAATAAAAACATGAAGCCAAAACGATTCTGATTCTCCCTTTATATTACCAGAAACCCTTGACGACATTGGTTCGCATCAACGAACATTAATGCTAACCACATATAAATTTGAGTGGGTCGGATCACGAATACTCTTTACCACCATTGTATAATGATTTTTTACGTAAAGAAATTTATTTGTTTTCGTATGATTTCGCAACTTATACAAAGAATGCTTGTCGCAGGATGTTAACGCAGTTGAATTTCTAAACATGATGGGCAAATGTTTCAAAGTTGGGTAGAGCGAGGATTTTTTTTACGTGAATATGCTTCTTGGTTGGAATTTTTTAGTGCTATACAAATCGTTCGTTTTGATCGCTGGTCGTCTGGCTTTTTGTACCGAAATTGAAATCATGCACGAAGTTGTAACCATTTCGATGGATGGCTAAGAAGGATTATATAAATGTTTATCTTTTCTGTTTGCTTTTTTATAATTACTAAAATTAGTATCAGTAAAAATAATAAATCAGTCACTTCAATACAGTAACAGCTTATAGCGATATCTTATATCGATCTTTCCCAATTTGTCGAAATTTAAACGAGATCAGAAGATTAATAGTGTTCGTACTTCCGGATTCAGATATCATGCCGGAAGTCGTTACAAGTAATATGATACTGTAATTAGGGATTTGTTCATTTGCTTTCCGATTTTATTGCCCTCATGCTTTAATGCAGGGGTCACCAAACTTTTTTGACCGCGGGCCGGGTATGACTCAAATTGTGTTGAAACGGGCCGGATGAATATTTTTGTCAATGCAATACAATAAATTCACAAATGTTGGGAATATCGCAGAATATAGATCGAGAACATCCTATGAAAAAAATTAACAAGATTCCTATATCTAGACAACTATCCTGAGTTTAGCTGTTATCAAAACGTTGCTGTCATGAATTAGAAATGTTACAAAATCCGCGGCAAAAAATGTGGGCATCGCGTCTGCTGGGTACCGTTACGCCGTGTTGAAATACCGCTCATAAAAACGACTAACTGCTGTAGATTGGAATTCTATGAAATTTTGACATAATTTAGATAAAATAAACAACTATTATCTGGTATTTGATTTTTTTCATTTGCGCATAAATTTGCCAACATTCGACGCTTTTGAAAATTACGCTCCAGTTATACGTAGTTCAAATTAATGATATTGTCTATGGACACCAATAAAATTTATGTGGACGTGTGTATTTCTTTCCTAACTTAATACAATTTTTATGAAGTTCGTACAATCAGGACACCGTTAATTATTACCCACAATGAACCACTGTCAAACTATCATGCACAACTGCAGCGTTTATTTGCGACGATCTTTCGGCGGTGTCAATGATCGTTGTCAGAATAAAATCCTGAAATAGTCTCAATTTACCATAGATGTGACGCACATCGAAAGATTAGTGATTGATATGTGTTATTTTTCCATATTTAGTTCAGTTCTTATCAAAAAAGTAATACAATCATTATGGAAAAAATTGGCCTGTCGGGCGGTACTAAAATTCCGATATCTTCGTTATTTCTTGACCGTTTATTATAAACTTGGTATTGTTTTCTATTTTTACTCAGATCTTTCCACTGGAATAGTTTTTATTTAAATCGGATGAACTTCAATTTTTTTGTAACATATACCTACATGAATATCCGCATTAAAGCAGTACAAAAATTAGTGTGGCTTTTGAAATTGGAGCAGTACGCGAGGGATTACAGTACTGTTAGCACAAAATGCACATTCGACGTTTATTTTAGCACAAAAAAACATACAGTTTCGTCGAAAGCACGCGCCACGAGTGTACAAGTGTATCGCAGAAAACGTTACGTACTGGTAGCATTCAAAGTCGCAAAAACGAAGTTTTGTTTACAACCATGACTGAAAATCTGTCAGGGTGACAATAGTGTCTGAGCGGATGCGGAAAGGCCTATTATTACATCACTTTTTTGCATCTTGCCGATTGGGCAATGTTACGATATAAACAAAGACGACGATGCTCGTGAAAATCTTCCTTGGAAAAAAATTTAGCCATTTTTGTGTGTTATTGCGGACCGGCTAAAATGACGCCGCGGGCCGGATAAAATGACGTCGCGGGCCGGATCCGGCCCGCGGGCCGTAGTTTGGTGACCCCTGCTTTAATGCATATTTCAATTTACATTTTCTTTTTCTCTGCTGAATTAAGTATAGATGCGTGATTGCCTTTTCAGTTAAGACTTAATTTTGGATGGCCAATGCTGGCAGATTCTTGTTGTTGCAAACGCCAAATAAATCTGTTATTTCCTTCCTGCAACATAGCGGCAAGATCTTGTAACGGTTTTAGCGAGCATCTCGGAATTACGTTAAAGCATGCATCGCAAACGAAATCATACACATACTTTGTCAAATTAGCTACGGTTCGCACAGGCTTTGCTTGAAAGGAAAGTTTATTGAGACGTACTACAAAAGAGATTTAAAAGGTTTGTGGTAACTGCTGTTATCAAGCTACCTAAAATACAAGCTACAGTAGATGCAACATATTAGAAGTTTCTTTGAACAGTTATTAAAAGGAATGTTATTACTTATCGATCTTAAGATCGGTAAGTATGTCGATAGATATTTGTCTGTTTGTGTGTTTGTCTGTTAGACACTTTCGTATGTTACGCGCTATCTCAAGAAAGCGAAGTTGAATCTCCTCCAAATTTTGCATGTGCATTCATCATATCTCAGAAGTCTATTGATTTTGGATGAATTATGTCGTATAATTAGCGAGTTATTATATAATTAGTGATGGGACACACGATGTGAATCAAAACCGCAGTTTCTGTTTTGGGGGTTCCCTAACTTTCGATCGATAAGTCTTCGGTCTCTGACCGATATTTTCGTTTCTTTAGTTATTCTGGTTTGATCGATGGTTCATCCTTTATTGTCCTGTGATAAAATTTCAGCGCCAAAAGAATAGCGGGCCCGCAAAACGTATATATTTCGAGTATCATGAAAATTTTTTTTCTCATTTTCCACCTAATGCCGGAATTATTATATGCTGGAAGAATAAAAATCGCCGTTTTGTTTTATTGGTCGTAGAATACGAATTTTGACCTTTTTTTGCGATCAGAACCACTAAATAAGAGAAATACCTTTGTCACGAAATCGATACACTCGTCCGTGTTATGAATTTGTTTTTGTCAATACACACAATTATTGCGACAGAAACAAATGGAAAAGTTACGAATCAATTCAAAATAAACGAAACCGGACGAAAGAGAAAAGACACATACATACAGTATAAAGCATATTATCTCGTAACAAATGCAAGTTTTTCCGCTGCCAAGGTTTAAAAATGAAGTGCCTAATATCGCGTGTCTAGACTGACAAACGATCCTACAATAACGTCCACAGTATGCGGAAGTTATTGGCTCACTCCAAGAGTAGGATGATAATTTTATTCGCAATAGTAGCAGTGGCATAAAAATGCTCAATTTGTTCTAATTCTAAGCAAGCGAAGAATCCCGTTTGAAGGAAATTGTAAATTAGATACTGAAGTTTGAGCAGCCATGTAACATTCATGGTTTGAGAATATTTATTTTTCGCTATTTGATAATACTTGGCATAGCCGATCGCGATATATTTTGAGATTTTAGTCGATCGCGGTCGAAAGCAGGTTTGCCACCCCTGATATATAATGTACGCCAAAATCTATTCCCAAACGAACGTCACTAATCTGACATACATTCAAGCTTGTATTTTCTAATTATAATATTATAAACTTCTGCTGTAGAAACCATGCCAACAAAACGCAAGAACTCTTTCTCCAAAGAACCAACATCGTTTGTTTCCACTTATTCGCTATTTTATTTCATGTTCAGTGTTTTAACATAATGCTTTACATTTCACAGTAAGACGATTAGACAAAATGAACGGCTCGATTAATAAAAGAAGCGAAAAGCTCACTGAAACAATTTTTGACGATCTGAAACCTGGGAACGAGTGTAACATAGACTGCTATTCCAAGCATGCAAAATACTATGAAGAAGCATTGACTGGTATCGGATATGTTGTTCCCCGTTGGTGTGCTGAACATTCGCTGAAGCATGTTGCAACTTCATCAGAAAATCTGAAGGCGTTGGACATTTGTGTTGGTGGGTTACTCGCATAATTTTCACGAATTTTTGCACTGGCATGAATCTTTTCGGCGATGCTCACATATTGTTGGTAAACGCGTCCGACAGACAGACCCAAGTTAATTGTATCGTTCTATGAGGTCCCGAAAAATGAGTGAACCTTCTGTTGCAAGATGGGATTATATATACTTAAAAAAGTGCGACTCTCGCTCAAACACATTACGCTTAAATAGCACCAAATCATATTTCAAAAATATTGTATTTCACAGGCACTGGACTTGGAGCAAAATCGCTGTCCGATTTGGGATTTATTGGCGTTATCGACGCAGTAGATGGAAATGCAGCCATGTTGGAAGAAGCTAAAAAAAAGGGAATCTTTCGGTACGTGATTGTTTTCGACTTGCTCAAAACCCTTTTATGATCTATTCTACTGTTTCGTTATATTGATATTTTGTATAATTGCAGAGATTTGAAGCAATGCATCATAAAACCCGATGTGCCACTGCCGTTTGAAGATGAAACCTATGATATTGCAATCTGTATTGGAGCATTTAGTGCTGGTCACATTCGAGCAGAATGTATTGTGGTAAAATTTCGTTTTTTTTTCAAATAAAAACAAATTCACCGTTTTTATAATTAGTGTTTGAACTTTATTTATGTTTTGAGCAAGTATTACCAGGCTTGTTCATGGGAAACGTCCCATGGGATGGGATGGAACAGCACACATTTGTATTGCCCATGGGGCACGAAAACCGTATGATTTTCGGGGAAATGATGGTAAAACATTTCGGTATGAATTTCGTGTCCATATATTCGAGTAGCTCTCTTGTTATTTATAAAGAGCAAAATAGATTCAGCATTGACAATATATATACTTCGTGAAGGGCTGATTATAATGTTAACAAAGTCCGTAAATGTTGTTGTTTTGCATGTCTTTTCGTACATGTAGTCCTATTCAGTAGACGCTAAATCTAAATTTAACATTTTTTATTGAATTGTATTTCAATAGGTATTAAGGGTTGCTCGGGGTTTTGAAACTCGATTAAACTTTTTAACTCAGCTGTTACTAACCTTGCTTAATAAAGAAAGGAATGTTTCCCCTTTTGATTAAGGATTTCTTTCGAATTCTGAAAAAAGGAGGGACCTTTGCTTTCAACACTACGAACTTTCATTCCGATGATAATCAAGCGAATGATGATGACTTGAATAAAGCTGATCAAGTCATTGAAGGCCTTATAAAAGACGGTGTTTGTGAACTGATTAGTCTGGTAAGTTTTGTGGTGTGACTGCAATGCCTCGTCGATACAATAGCCTTCCCAATCAAGTCATTGATGGCCTTATAAAAGACGGTGTTTGTGAACTGATTAGTCTGGTAAGTTTTGTGGTGTGACTGCAATGCCTCGTCGATACAATAGCCTTCCCATATTTATCATGAGAAAGGAAAACTTATATATATACTACTAACCAGTCTATGTGGAGTAAGGCAATAGCTTACGATTCATCCGTAATTAGAGTTTCGTCCGCTGAGTCTGACGACTTCATCCCAATCCTTCAACTCTAATTACAATTATAGGAAACTGATTTTAGTAACTTTCAGTTTTAATTTGTCTCCTCATTTCAGAATATTTGCGAGAGCATGGACCGCGTATCACAAGATTTCAAATACATCAAAGGGAATATTGACAAGCTTCGTTGTCTGAGAAAAAAGTAGAATGCGCACATATATATATGGTTTAAAAGTCAACAAAGTTTAAAATGATATTACTTTTTAGAAGTGTAATACTGTAGAATGTTAATATTTTTGTCAAGGTACAATTTTGAACAACAGAAGATGAACTATATGTAGTATATATACTTCTGTGTTGTGTTTTTTCGAACTCTCCCGAGTGTCTGTTTCTCAACGTAAGAAGTATATAGTACATTAGCCTACTTTGTTTTCTATCTTTAATATAGCTGTTATCCAGTATATGTCAATGTCATTAACTACGAAATACAAGGTCATACAATCAGTTGATGCGCCATTTGTTCATCCAGCAAGTAGCCTAGTTGATCCGGTATCCGAGGGTTGGTAATTATCAACTGTGCAGTCAAGAACGCGCTGATAACGTTTAACTGCAAACTTCCTTCCCCAAAAGGAAGTGTAAACGGAGACGACTATATGGTCTCGAGGTTACAAGGATATTATCACTTGTTGCTCTCATCATGTCTAGCCAAATAAAATTCAATTCTACTTTGCAAAGGAACACTCCCATTCGCGCTTATTCACAATCACAAAACACATAAATACATATACAAGTCTTATTCGACACCCCTAATATGACTTTTTCTACCAACCGGATCTTGTCATTAGGGGCCCCTAAGCACTCGAGACTTTGGGTATTTTGGTGTCCTTTTAAAATAGATTAGATAGTGAGTTGAATTTAGGAACACTTTAACAAACTCAAGCTGTGATAAATCTTCATGGCACCAGAAATCCGATGTTATATTATATCCGTTTTACATGGCTCATAAATAAAACATAACTGAAAAATAAAATTATCTCAAGATTTTTTTTAAATAAACGGATCTAAGACGAAAAAGATCAGAAATAGTAGGAAATATAATAAATAATAGATTTGCTGTTGCTAAGATAAATTTAAATAAATTGCTATATGTCGATGTTTTTTTGTCAAAATATAAAAACTCTATTATTTTAAACACTGTTCAATTTAATATAAATAAGTTCATAAGGTTAGAGGGGTAGAGACAAATTCATTATTTATATATTCGGTCGCATTTATTTTTTTACCCATTTAAATGATAAACATATGAGATAAAAATTATCAACACTGATTAAAAATTTATCAAATATTAGTTTATGAAATTCTTGAACAAGCCTTTACAGTAGGAATTTTTTTTGAAATAATCGAAATTTTAAAATTCAATGACGCTGCTACAAGGCCTAATGGTAAATCCGACACCGCCAATCAGACATCTCTTTCCAAGCAACGTTGGATTGCTTTCTTTTATTAGTATTTTTGTGTAGTGGTGGGATTCAGCCGGTTCGCACCGGTTCTATAGAACCGTCTCACGGAATTTTATAAGATCAGCGAACCGGTTAGCATTATTGGTTACTGGCAATGTTCTGTTTGTAACAGAACCGGCTGAAAAATATGACTTTTGTGAAAGAAGCGGCTGACAAAAAATTTGAATCCCACCACTGGTTTTGTGTATTTTTTGTCAGTTTTCAATTGTGTTTCCGAAAAGTAGGTCTAAATCCAATAACTCAATTATCACTGTGTCTTTCGAGGAGATTCAGTTGGAATAATCCAAAATTAGTCCCGCAAACGCTGCGATGGACTAGTAGGAAAAATTAACCATCAGTGCCTGCAAGCTGCACGTGGTCAAATAATCTTAATGAAAATCATGTTTTTAAACATGTAAACCAATTTAATTTGGTTTAATTAATTTTTTCCCGAAATTTATTACGCAGTTGTAATCAATTTTCTGAGACAGTACAACATCACTGAATCAAATTTATCTCAAGGAAAACATAGACTTTTGTATGATATATATAATTTTGAATAACGTAATGGGTGGGGAGAGAATTCTGTTTATCAGAGATGGTAATTTGGATGGAGCTCGCTCAACTATTCATTTTAAAATTTTGGCCAAAAATATCAGGACTTCTAATCTCAAATTGATGTGGAACATTCTTCCAGTTGAGGTAATACAATAATAAGACGTATTTCTGGGGATGACATATGTATACGGTGTAAACAAGAGCCTGAATTTGTATCTCACCAGTTTTGGAATTGTATTTTCACACAAACTCTATTTGTTTATGTTTTTTTCTGTTTCATTAAAAATGAATAACTGTGTGTTGAAAAATGGTTATAAAACTTGCATCTAAATGGACTTAAATGATCAATGCTACTCACATTTATTCAATGTGGAGCGTAATGCATTATATTGTGTACACTGTACAGCAAGGTATAAAATTTGGTTGGAACGAAATGCCACCATTTTTCAAAATCATAATCCAAGTGTAAATAATGTAAATATGAAATGTAGAAGCTCCATTATAGCAAGAAGTAGCCTAATATTGAAAAATATAGAAAAAAAATCTTGTTATATATATAAGAAAACCCAACTTGATATGTGATAGCTCATGACTAATTAGGATCTTTGTTATTATATATATATCACATAACTGGAATGTCCTAGGATTTACATATTTAGCCCCGGGGAGAGGAAAGCGGATAAGACGGCTTAACCATGTGGCGAACCACGGCCTCTCGCCCGGTTACCATTCCATGTCGGTTATGGGATAAGTTAGTTACCGTATTTGTTTTCGGAAGCGTGGACTTTAAGGTGGAGGAGCCGTGACCGACCAGCGGTTACGTGAATCACCCTACGGCGGCGAGTAGTCCAGCAATCCTCTCGCACATAACCATCCCGCATGGGATTCGAACCTGCGAACTCACGCAGAGTAATTAGAAGTACGGTGGCTAGCGTACTCTTAACGCTTAGCACGATGAGCCACACCACCGCGCTCTTTGAGGCATAAATACAAAAAAAAATAAGGCAAGAAAAATATACGAATTGTGCGAAGCAGATTTAATTATTCAACAAAAAACACAAAAAGTCAGTCTTTCTGGTAATTAAATTTGTGTTTTTCTCGTGATTTTCCCGCTTTAATAAGATCTTTGTTAGTTTCCACAAGTTTAATTTCCTGCCAAAAGTTTATGTAAATTTGTAATCCTCACGGAAATATAATAATCAATGAACTCTCGCTAAGACAAAGAACTGTCAGCAAGGCGCCGTAAAATAGAAGGCTATGCAAACCTGAAAACTATCTGATTAATAGAACCTGCTCATAAAAGAGCCTCCCACTAGCAGTGCGTTATAAACTAAAAATAAGAAACTTACCCAATTTTTGTCATCATCAGGGCAGCCCTGTCATAAAGGCCGACCTGTCGTGGTTACGACAGCAAAATTTTACTCGCCATCGGATTATCTACTTAAAAACCTGAAACCTAATCCCAAATACATCTAGACCGTATCTATAAAAAAAATGTTCCAACTTACCCAATATTTGTCATCATCAGGGCAGCTATGTCTTAACGGCCGACCTGCCGTGGTCACGACAGCAAAATTTTACCCGCCATCGATTTTCAATTTGCTGCGCGGTGGCAGCTAAAAAGTCAGTCGCCGTGAGTTTGGCCATAGCGGCCGTGGTTTGAAAATATCGCATGGTTTTGCGGCAGCTCCGGACGCCGCGAAATCTTAAAACCATGATTAACTGAATATTCAGGTAACCATGTTAATTAAAACTGCACTTGGAGGCAGGAGCTGCCATGAAGTAGTAAAAACTGCGCCTCAAATTGTGGGCTAGAGCAGGGTTGCCATATTGGCTTTTTTAACGCCAAATTTGCCATTTTTGGCTTTTTTCAAACACGTTTGGTGTCAGAATTTCCGTTTGGCTTACTGGCGTTTTTTAAGTCCATTCTAGTTTTTAATATTAAAATCATATGAAATACAATATTTAGTGTGTAACAATAGCCTATTGCCGGTACTGTATTACCGGTACTTAACATTAGGATTTCCCGAGCATCGATTTCCTTGTTTATTACCTTAACGCTTAATCATACCCAATAAGAAATAATTGCAGTTACTGCAGCCACTCAGACAGATATTCAAGCAGGGTTGTAAACATTGCCTAGTTTTCATAGTTTTGCGAGTTATTTGTCAGTTTTTAATTCTGTTTCCAAAAAATAGTTGTTTAACTTACTTTAGTTTTATTGCAGTCTCACAGATAATTCTGCATTTTGTTTGTCTGTTTAAGAATGTATAATTTTTTTGGCTCCGCCGGAAACGCATTGCTATTCAATATAATGAGAGACAAAACCAATATTTTGACTCCCAATGTGATTCACAAGTAGACTGACAAAAGTTAAATAATTACGAATGGTGCTCTTGAAAAATTATTGTTACCAATGGCGCTGACACATTAAGAATCATATAAAGTCGAGCAAAAACAATTTCCGAACGAAAACAACAAGAAACATTCCGATTGCTTCTGAATTGAAAAAAATGGCGCTCTCGAAAACCTGAACCCTGACCTGGTATACACATACTATGTTCAGGTTGTGCGCCATCTTAGTACACATACCTTGGGAGCTCCAAAAAATACAGCAAACATGGGGGGGGGAACGAATAATGTAAAGGAATATTATACCAACGAAGATGTTAACAATGGTGCGTTATTTTGCAGACGCCTTGAAAAAAATTAAACCGGTCTGATGCTATTCATCTTTGAAACATACAAAACCATTTCATAATTTCAATATCTGATTCTTCAAGACCTGGGTTAAGCTCTGTGCATTTCACGCGTCACAATCGTCACACTAAATCCAACGTGGTTTACTTGGACCACCTTTGAACACAGCTTTGCATTTACTACGCTTATTATCCCTCTCTGTTTTGCTATGCTTTACGCTTGCATCCGCTTTGTTTTTCTCCATCTTTTTCTTATTGCCTTCCACAACTTGTTTACTTTTCTGAAACTTCTTCCTATCTATATTATTTTGCTTCTTCTCCTGAATTTTCTTTTTTTTTCTGCATTGATGATTCTAATTCGTTCAATGTATTGTCTGGTGTTAAATTGAAAGGCAGTTTCTTACGGGCGACCGTTTTCGTCGATTTCATTTTCACGGGCATTTTAAAAATGTCTTTTTCTCGCAATTTTTGAACAATTCTTCTCTCTACAATAATGTCTTATGTTTGTCTTTCTTTGCTCTTCCCTCTTTTTCTATCTCTCGCTTCAGAGTCTTCCATGCTATATAAAAGCCAATCTCGCTTATTTCACCTCTCTCATAGCGTTTTCTAAAATGAACTTTCTCTTCTGTCGACATATTTATTTCTATGGCGTCCAATGCTTTTCTGGACTTTGTTATCACGGGTGATAATTGACTCATTAGTCGGAGAATGTAATTCAGTAAAATATTGATCTGGATTGATGGTGTTTAGGATTGGGCTTGATGTTAAGCAACGATCTTGTTGAAGCCCCGAAGTTGATGGGATGTCCGCGGAAACAGTGGACGACAGAGATGGAGATACATCAGGAACGTTTGGAGACTGCGGAGACATGTTTTGAATATCGAATTGTTCAAGACTTTGTGGATCGATGGAGTTGTTCAAAAAGTTCTCCATATTTATAGTAGGAAAATCTGAAGTTGGATTGAAATATAAGGGGCATATTTCTTCTTCTAATTGCTGAGGGGGCGATATTTTGCTCTGCGGCATCTTCCAGGTGATTCATGTATGCAGCAGCTGGTGGTTCCACCTCATCATTTTCTGGAAGATTGCGGTTTTCTGATGAGGAAAAGTTTGGGCCGGTTGGGTTCGCGTATAATCTAACGTGTTTTGATTTACGGGCCATAGTCCGCAAGTCAAAAAAGCTTCTGTGGCCAAGTCGGGACGTGAATTTTCCAAGAAAGAAAGATTGAAAATCCTTCCAAAACTGTATTTGTCTACCGACGTCTGCTTTCTTTTTGTAAATAGCGAACACTGTTTTGCCCACAAACATTTAAACGGGCCGAAATACCCTCTATCTAGAGTTTGGAGCAAGTGAGACGTATGGGCGGGGAGGCAAAAAAGGATTCATTCTGCTTCTGCTAACATTCTGCTCCTTTGCCAATTTACTGGTTTTAAAGTCCTTATGTGACGTATGTCCATCACAGAGTAAAACGACATTGGTGCGTTCATTTTTTGGGGGAAGGCTGGGTATGAATACATGTTTAAACCAGTCACAAAAAGCGTCTTTAGTCATCCAGCCGGAGGCAGTAGCAAAGTTGCGACCTCCGACTGGGAGATTCAGGGCGTATGCGGGGTTCACACTTTAGCCAGGGAATATCACATACGGTGGTAGAATGAGACCATCGGCTCAAATACATAATAGGGCTGTTATTTGCGATTTGATAGTTCGGGTGATATGGTAGCTGCATTTTTCATGGGTACTCATTACTATTTTTCCAGATTTTGTTTGGAGAGGAAAACCCGATTTATCGCAGTTGTATTTTGCGGATGGTACTGTAATAATATTATTCTTCCTAATCATATTTTCATAGTCGGTAAACCAATTTCGCACCTTTTCTTCTGAACACGCCATGGCCCTGGCCAATTCCAATTTTGCTGGTTTCTTTAATTTTATATCATGGTGAAGAGCCAAATATCCGTACCACCAAGAATCTCTTGGTCTATTGTCTTGAAAAGTCCCGATCTGCCTTCCTAATAAGTCTAGCAAATCCTTTACAGCGTTAAGAATATGTAATTGTAGTCTATGCTTTAGCTCAAATATCAGCTGTGGTGTAATTGAATTTGTACATGGTGCTGAGCATTGGGAATAAGCTTGCAATTGTACCACTGATTACCATGCGCGGTTTCGCATCCCGTGGTAAAAATTTTGTGCGCGAGGATTTCTGACTATTTGCCGTTGTAAAGGAGTTCAAGTAACCCAACACAGAATGCATGCATCTGAAATCTAAAAATGGTTAGCGTATATTAGTAACCGGTTGAGAGGTCGTGGTTCATCGTATGGCTCAGAATTGTCAACTTTTTCTTCTGAGGGATCGATATAAAAATTCAATTCTATAATTCAATCTATCATATTGCACATGTACTCTAAGCATATAAATTTCATGTAAACAAATTTGAAGGTATTTATGAAACAAACCTCAGATTTTGTTAGACAAAGACCTCTTAGCGCCATCTGTTTCACCTAGTCAGTTAGATATTTATCCCTCTTCGTCGGTCAACATTGTTTTTGGGCCCTGCTTGGGCGTTTCACTCAAGGGCCTTTTCCCTAATAAATTAATAAAAAATTTGTCTCAAATTGTGTTTGAGGATACTAGTCAGATGTTATGTATGTTTACCTGTTATTCGATCTGAAATGGTAGCCTATGCTATTCCATATTGTCTAGCGGCTTGCCCTTGACTCATGCAGTTGCTAATCACGGCTTCAACTGCACTATCGAGAGTCGCTTTATCATATTTTGGAGTCCTCTTGATGCGTTGTCTAGGCATGTCGGCGGTTATTCCAAGTAAAAGAGCTTTCACTCGGGTCTCGATCATGCTTTTATATTTGATCGCAAATGGGACCAAAGTGGAAATCGCGAGCGCCCTTTTTTCACGCGTAGAATTGACTGCGATGCAATAAAGATAAAGACTCATTACCCCGGCGATGACGAGGAGAGAATATAAGTTGTTCCCATTTTAATTTTCACAGCTCTATCTTTATTTTATCCCCCCATGTCCCCGCCGTAATCGCGCCTGCGAGTACCGTACCAGTATGTTTACAAACTCATTACGTCAGCGACCTCTCTCGTATCGGGATCGTTGGGCAGAACTCGAAATAAACAAGGATCACAAGCAACGACTAACAGATCACAAGCGACTAAATTGTCGCCATAAAACGTTCGCGATCATAAATCTGTCCACCTGATATTTCTTTTTATTTTGATTTTTTTTAAACGGTTTCGTATAGATGTCAGCTTGACTGTATTGTGTTGAATGTAGATTCTGGTGCTGTCATTCAAATAATCCTTTTTACTTTAAACCCTTCATCCCGCGTAAGTGGAAATTGGTTGAAAATACAACTTTCAATGGGAAAAGACATTTGTGTGGCTCACTGAACGAACTGATGGCTCTACATCAGCGTCAGTATTGTGCCAAGGGCTTAAAATCTGACAAATCATGGGGCTTTTGTACTTACCGGTAGTAAAATTGTTGGCTTTTTCTGACTTTTTTTTATGTCTTGATTTGGCTTTTTTTGACTGCTGGGATCTGGCAACCCTGGGCTAGAGTGTAGGCCCTAAGAAAAGGCAGTCAGGGCCGAACGATGTTTATTAAGTTCAACAATTCATCTGATATGGAGTTTAGATTCATAGCCTATGTCAAAATAATATAATGTATGGATGAGTTATTCATGCAGTTTTAATTCATAAAACAACCTAGCTTCAGGAATTACATATCAGCATATGGCCAGTATGGCTGAGGTTCATTTATTATACAGTTATATGAAACCATGTTTTGTATGGGCGGTAGACTACTATGAATACAGGAATAAGAGACCGAATTAATCATGGTTTTAAATAGTTAATATGTATCAATATTAAAATTATTCGACTTTAGTTTTTGTATGGTACCGTAGTAGTCTATTGTAATACAGTAATTATTGACTAAGTTTCGTCATTATGGCAATGCGGAAGAAAATAAAAGATGATCATCCACGTCAGGTGTTACTAGCTTTGAATGAATTTAGAGCATGGGATTCAATATGTGATTTTACAATTAAAGTTGAAAATGAAACATTCACTACTCATCGAGCTGTTTTGGCTTCATGTTCAAGCTATTTCAAAGATTTATTAACAAGTGGTGGCTCGGAAGCAAGAGAGGGAGGTGTGGAACTGACAGGAATTAGTGCTTGTGCTGCTCGAAGATGTATCGAGTTCATGTACTCTGGGGAAGCAATGATAACAATGGAAAGTGTCGACCATATTCTGATGGCGGCAGGTTTTTTCAGATTGCAAAATCTCACCCAATTGTGTATAGAATTTTTAGAGGGAAAGTTAGATGCTAAAACTTACTCTTACATAAAAGAAGTATCAGAAAAATACAACATGACCCATTTGGGAGATAGAGTTGAAAAATTCATTAATGAAAATCTGGAGAGTGTTATTGAAACAGATAAATTCTTAACTCTCCCTAAAGATGGAGTAATAAAGTATCTTGCATCTCCAAATATTGGACATTCAGTTATATGGGCTGCTATTGCGGCATGGGTGAAATTTAGGCTAAACACAAGGAAGACTCATTTGTTGGAACTTCTGTCCTTAAATTTGGTGAATTGGCCGATTGATTATTTGCTTAATACTGTATGGAAAGATGATTTAGTTCGTCCATCTAATCCTTGCCAAAATTTGATTATTGGTTTCATTTTCCGAGAAATGGATTTTTTCAAATCGTCAATCACAATCAATAATTGTTTTCTGCTGAGAGAATTATGTGATTCACATCGTCATAGCAATTCTACCAAAGCTCGAAATGAAGTTCGTCTTTTCATGATGCGTAATTTTGAAAAGATTGCTGATATGAATGAAATTTGTCAACTCTCGAAGGATGATATTTTCGAAATTTTAAAAAACGGGAGAACTAGAACTGCTACTGAAATTGCAAAATGGGAAGTTGCTGTTCGATGGACGAAATTTGATATGCGGAAACGAAAAAAGTATTTTCCAGAGTTATTAGCTTTAATAAAACTTGAAAATACCTCAGCAGATTTTATTCAGGATGTTGTCAGAGCTGAACCACTCGTGCAGGATTCCAAACAATGCTTGGATATTATAATAGATGCTTTATATGTTCTATCAGATAAACCACAAATACCGAGCAATGTTGAAAGTAGAAAAAATATAAAAACAAAACCAAAAAAGGTTGTAGCGTTTCCTGAATCAAGTTCTTCTGAAAGTTCACCCGAAAAATCTCAGCAAAATTCAAAGATAACAAAAAGAAAATTGTCAGATTCACAGGCCAACTTTTCTGGCAATACTGAACCTAAGAGAATAAATCTGAATCCCACTACCAAAAAACATCAAGAAATAGCCCAAACTAGATTTTCTGACTCATCGCAATCACCTATAGAAACTTCACTATTCGTCGCGGTTTACAACAAAAATTTAGGCAAAATAAATGGCTTCACTCCCAAACAAACTCAATGGAAGAACTTAGCCATCACAAAAGTTATGGTAAATGGTTATCAAGCCATTGTGAGTGTCAACTTCCAGCTTTACCTTTTGAAAAATAAAAATTTGTTTCTGTTAGACATGAAAAATGGTTGGAAAAAGTTGGCTGAAAAAGAAATATCACCCTCTTTGACGTCAAAAATAGTTTCTTACGAAAATTCCATATTTGTTATTGAAAAAAACAAAGTTTCAACATATGATACTGAATATGATTCTTGGGAAGAAATAAATCATATTAAAGTTGCTGATGAAAGTTTCTGCGTTTGTTCCACCACTCAATTTATTTATATCCTTGGAGGAGAGCAATTTCCATCTAAGGCTAGAGTGTTTGATCCGCTTCAGCGTAACTTGAAAGACATCAATCAGATGACATTTGGAAGGCAAAATGCTACAGCTACTACATTGAAGGGAGATGTATATGTTTTAGGGGGTATTCAAAATGGTACCAAAACTAATTCAGTTGAGTGTTACAATAGTACAATGGATACATGGATGAATATTCCCAACATGCAAGTGCAAAGGTCTGGATTTGCATCCTGCACCTTGAATGATCAAATTTATGTCCTTGGTGGCGATGCAACTGGAGACAGCTTTTGGTCTGTTGAAGTGTATGAGAAACATAATAAGAAATGGAAAATCTTTCACAGAATGTTAAAAATAGATGGCTCTTTCTCTGCTTGCATTGTAGAAAATAATAAATAAGTTTATTTTATTGTTATATATTAGCTTCGTTCCATTTTCAAATAGATTTTTATAACATACCATAATTCAATTACTGATTTTTATATTGGAAATATTTACATTTATTTGTTTTATGCCTTTGTCCAGCTATTAGTTTCTCATTCATTAAATCACATATAAAATTCCCTTATATATTCTTAGATTGGAACAATTGACATCATGTTTGATTTCCAATTTTTTTTTTCATCATGTGAATGTTATATTAATATAGTTTGAAAAAATTGAAAAGGTGATTATTTGTAAATTGATCATGTAAATTTTGTACTGTATTGCATCATATATAGGGATGTAAGTTTCAGAATTTCGAATCGAAGCAATTTGGGAAAAAACGGCTTGATTCTATTTAAAAATATAATAATTTAGATAACACGAGGCGATTGCACGACGCAGCAGCGTTGTCTTATCATCGAACAAAAACGTTCATTTTCCCCAAGCTTGAAGCATTCCCAAGTCGTAACACTCCGGGGGTTGTTATATTTCATATGGGTTGCCGCCTCAGAGAAAGATTGGTTTCGTTAAATTGTTTTTAGATTATTCAAAATGTTATGAAGTTCTACCACTATGTTATTATATGAACATGTCTTTAAATTACTTAAGTTATATAATGTCATTATAACAACAATATTCCTCATTAAAACATAGGTTTGCGATGCTCCCCTTGTTATCATTTGCTTTCTTTAAAATCACGGCGCAAGCGGCACTATCGCATATTTAACTGACTTTTATCATTTGGATGAATTTTAGAAGAAACCATCACTATACGTCCGGTATTGTTTGCGAACATAAATTAATGTAATAAGTAAATATAACGGAGTGTAACTCTATATAGAAATAATACATATTCTCTAATATATTATGTAGTTGAAGCATCAATTTAATGTTTTCTTCTACTAACTTCACTCATTTTTCAAGTTCATTATTGTTATTTAATCACACTTTGTGCTATAGTTCTTTCAAATCTAAGGAGAATTAACGATATTATACTAAATAGAATCAGATTCGAAACTTACATCCCTAATCATATATTACCAGCTACCACTATAAAGAGATAAATCCAAGCCATTATGTAACGAGAATTCCTGTATCTACTTCTTCAAAAATGCAAAGAAAATTCTTTTTAAAATCTTATTTGATCCAGGAAAAATGAGAATGTTTAGCTATGCAACTAATTGATTTTGATTTAATTTCTGTAATATAATTCATATGCTATGTTTATAAAGTCGTTTACACTTTTTCTTGTGTGTCTAATCTCAAATCTAGCTGACAGTAGTGGGAGGTAGGCTTTCTTATTGATCCAGAAGTTGTTGAGATAGCTTAATTATATTGTAATCGACCAGCCAGGCAACAATGATGAGTCCAGCTATCATAGTTCCCCACTCTGTCCAAACCTGCTAACAATATGATTACCAATCAGCCAATTGCAGAGCCTAAGTAAAACAGGGGATTGTGGGTATCGGATTTTTACAGTGACGATTCCAGAAAAAGGGTTTAAAAGTCATCACATCAATGTATAAGTCTTGTACTAATTTTCAGCAATGTGAGTGAAATAAAAGCGAGTAGATTGGTAATGGACATCAGTTAAATCCTTTCATTTATGCATGATATCTACAATGCTAAATTAAGGTGTTGGAACAAGTATGTGTTTAAGCATTCAAGCTGAAGTGATTATCATTTCATAACCCCACCCTTTAATAATAATACTTCGCACAATATGCGTTATTTAAATACTTCTTGCAGTTAACCATTAACTTGGTTAGCTGACTGTACAGTATACTACACATTATCGCCCATCTATGAGGAGTGTGTATGCCCCACAACGTTAATCATTGATTCAGTTAATCTAACACGAACCAACGTTCCCTGTCAGGAAACACATGAAAACCAACAACCAATTTCTATGTTACCCAAGTGTATTTTGAAAATAAGAAAAAAATAATGTTGCTCATATTTTAGTCTAAGCTTGTGTGATGGTGTCTTGTGTGCTTCAATAGGAAACCATGAATCCAACAGCCAGTCGGCAAATAGGTAAATATTTAAAAATTTGCAGACTAGCACAAATCACCATTACATTTTTACAGTTAGAAGTGTTATAGCTGATATCATAACCTTGCAAAAACATTCTGATCACAATTTCGTTTATAAAATACTATTTTAAAATCCCAACACACTCCAAAAAATATTCTTTGCTGAGGTGATAAAAAAAATTCACCGAGCTATAAAAGTAATCACCAGTGGAATAATTTCAATACTGAGCTATTTAGTACGTTGTTGATATTGGGATTAGCATATTGCCTAAGAAAAAGGTTGTCAGACATCAAAAATAATGAAGAAATAAATATTACATATTTCAGACATCAGTGACCAATAAAATAGCTTACAGTATATACAAACATGTTGCTAAAATTGTACATAAAAACAGTAATTGAAGTACAGCAGGATGAAATAAATAAAATCAACACAAAGCTACATAAAAGACACTAAAACGATGCTGAAGACTTCGTGAAAGTAATTAAAACTAATGGTGTATAAGGCAGTATTTAAACTGTTGGATAGCTGGCAGAGGATGCTATACCACATTGGTTGTCTTTGTTGCGAGACATCAGGATGTAACCTTCCTTTCCCCAAGCAGTGTTCCAACTGAAAATAATTGGATATTTTAGATAAAATTAGGATAGGATTTACCTACTACAAGTTCTACAACACGTGCAGGCGTCTGAAGCTGCTGCAAAACCATGGCAGGATTTCCAAACCATGGCCCCTATGGCCAAACCACAGTGACGGACTTTTCAGCTGCCACAAATCAATGACGACCAAATTGAAAACCAATGGCGTGTAAAATTTTGCTGCCATAACCGTAAGGCATTTTCATCTGTAATGACAGGGCTGCCCCTCATGGTGACAAATATTGGGTAAGTTGGAACATCTTTCTTATGGATACAGTTTTGATGAATTTGGGGTCAGGTTTCAGTAGATGATAAACTAAAATCTGATACATGACCTCATGAATATACCGGTACTACTGATTACTGAATAGCGCCATGAAACCATGGCAAGAGAGGCCAACGGTTCATTCATGCCATGAAGCGGTAAGAACTGCGACATCTACAACAAGCACTATATATGTAATATCATGGCAGTATTTCATAATCATCCAGGGTCAGTTCGAATAAAATGTGATGTGATGTGAAAGACTTGACGAATCTCTATTCGCTCACCTGTTCTTAACAATCCAGTAATCTTTTTCGTCCAAGGTACCGTATCCAACAACAAGAACACCGTGATCAAGTTGATCTGTACAAGCTGGTTCATCATAAACACCTGAATAAAGGTGGCAAAATGATATCAATGATTTAACCACGTATGATACTCTAGAAACATTGCTATGGTACAAATACCAATTGTCCCAATCATTAACCCTATTTCGCCGCCGCTGCTGAGCTCATTTTGCAAACATTATTTTTATTGGCATTTTTCGATTAACCAAAACAGCCTGAGATGCCATTGAGGGCTTGTTGGAAGCAATGGTATTTTCGATGGAAACTACATTTTGCACGCTAAAAATAGAAATTATAATATGCCTAATAATTACTTTCAAACATTTCAATCTCACTGAAATTCTCAAGCCTTCCCCAGTTCATAGACTGTGGAGATGAGAGACAGTTTGTTTGAAAGAGTATTTTCGATGACGGAGGGTAGTGTTCTCGGAACTTTATTAATATTTGACTTAGTTGACTAGCAAATGGCGAAAAATTATGAGGAAATTACAAATTCCGTCCATTTGGCATAGCTGCTGCCATGGAAACGATACATCAATTCGAACTTTCAGTGAAACGCACAGTACCAGGGTGATAGGATAACCCATGTGAGAAATATCATCCAGATTGGTCTGGCTGTTTAGACACACAGACAGAACGACTGAGAATAAGGGTCTCTAGAACAATTGTATCTTAACCAATATACTTTACCTGAGGAATACAACTGGAAGGATTGGTGGCTTGCATCAATAGCAACAGAAACAGGCCCAACATGAGCAACTGCTTGTTTTAAAGCTTGCTCATCGCCGGATGGAATATCAACATAACCCGTATCATTTGCAGCGTTGTACTTCTTGTTATATCTGCATGTATCATCTTGGCCTTCATATGGATAATGTATTTCAGCATCAATTCCTTTTTGAATCTTGATGTAACGAAAAGCTTGGTCCATCAATCCACCTTCACATCCATTGTTGCCTTCTTTATGACTGCAATCAATGAGATTTTGTTCGCTGAGACTGACGAGTTTTCCTGTATAAAACAAAGTGAAAGATTAATTCCTATTTTAATGTATTACATTCTCTCTGAATAAAGCTCCATACGAGAATATCGGTCAGAGACCAAAGACTTATCGATCGAAGTTAGGGGATCCCCAAAACAGCGCTCTTACTCCATATTGATACCTTGTGTCCCATCACTAATTAATTAATAACTCGCTAATTATACGACATAATTCATCCAAAATCAATAGGCTTCTGGTCCGACATATGATGAATGCACATGCAAAATCTGGAGCAGATTCAATCTCGCTTTTGTGAGATATCGCGGGCATCTAACAAACAAACAGACAGACAAATACCTATCAACATACTTACCGATTAAAATCGATAAGTAATAAGCAGAAATATCCCTACAATCCCAGCTCATTGTTTCCAACTCATTGGGAATTCTACCCATAGGGGAGAAATATTGTTGGAAATATTACTTTATATTTGATGTAGTTTTACTGATCTTGTTTAGTTATTCAAATCGTAATACATATTTATGCAGACATTACACTCTATTCAAACTGTATAAAAGCCAGAGTGTGAGCTGCAAGTATCACTAACCAATGATCGATCCTTAAAGATTGAATAATTAACGAGAACTGAGTTTTTATGCATAGTGTGGGAGGAATAAAGAGTTCAAAAATAGGAAGAATTATCGAAAAATGTTCGCAAACACTGGTCCAGCTGAAGGAAAAACCTATGACAAGAATGGAGTCAGATATGAATTGCATTAGTCATTATAGGTGACATATTACTCAATGTAATAATCAAAACAATGATGCTTGTATTATATATACAGCACATCTAGATTTCAAAATGTCTTACCTGTTTTACGGAAATGTTGACCCTCTAACGAACCAGTTGTACTGAATGCCCAGCACGATCCACATCGTCCCTGTATATATGAGAAATCATTCAATTTTTGTTTTTTCTACTCGAAAAAAGTTGAAGTAATTTTCACTCCATATTATTGGTGTAAGGGACCGTACTTTACATGCATGTTTGAGAACATGTTACACATAACACATGCAATATATGTTTTGTTTGAAAATAATTTTTCAAGCAGTAGAAATATTAACATAATTGGAATATGGTAACCAATTATATTTAAAGTAAATTAATAAAATGTTATGCCTTTTCCTGTTAGCTGGTAAACATAGTATCATATATTAGTACATCAAGGAAGAAAATAATAACATAAGCTAAGCCATGTGTATGACACTGCAAAAATATACAGACTCATTTCCTCATACCCACATGATGACTATATTCAAATTTTAAATTTTGCGGAGTAAATTTGAATTTTCAATATCATGCGACACAAAATGAATGCAGTCAGCTTAAACTGAGCTAACTTGCACAAAATTGATAAGTTGTCTATCACAGTTATTTTGGAAAAGCACATGACAAGCTTGCGGAGAAAATGAAAATTTGCCTGTCTCACTTCCAGGGTGTATCATGTGATGATTATTTTCAAATTACTGTATTTCTTTAGGAATTCCCGATAAAAACTTTTGTGGAGTGCATACAAGCAGGAAATGATTGGTTTTGCATTGCTTTCTAATAATAGTGTGACTCAATAGCATAATTCTAATGTGTAATGGTTATTCACTCAATAGCGACAAAAGCGACAAAATGTTAGCTTAACCTTTTCTGCCATATAAATCAGGGTTACATTGTTACGTTGAAAATATCAGAAATAAATCTTGAAAAAAAAATGCTCAAAATTAAGCTGAATTTTTACCAATAAAGATTATAAAAATATTTTATAAGACACTGTTTTTAATCCCATTTCAAGTCAAGAACTTAATACAAAACAAATTAGAATTATTTCAACTTCTATGACTGAATTTTTGCATTTTACGTTCAAAACAATTTTGGAATTAAGTGGAAATATGAGATAGATTGGTATTTCAGCATAAAGAGCTACTTTATTTTTTTCATTATGGCTGTTACAGGGTATTCTGCCGAAGTAAAGTCTACCTACAGTTTGGACTTAGATTCAATTTAGGAAATGATTTCCAAATTAAAATTTATAAGTGATTCAAAAGTCTTGCTGCACACTAACCAACATGACTGGTCCGATCGATGGTCAGATGAAGCGTTACAGAAATATATTTGTGTTAGTGTGAAGCAACGCTCTTGAATCACCTAGAATAGATATATATCTTCACCATTTCTACAGCATCCCCGAATTATATGCTTATGGATCCACCGGCACAAAAACATAGCGGAGGAGTAGTTGGGCCCGTAAAAATCAAATCTATAGTACTTCCATTCAAGATACTTGTGCTTTAGTTATTAATTAAGTCAGGAGAAATCTAACACATTTGAATTCTTAAGTTTTGCTAAATGATTCATGCATATTGTAAAAACATATATACCTGGTCTTTAACTGGAGTGACGAATCCTTGTTCTCTCCAATCGACAGATTCAGGAAGATTACTGGTATCAACATTCAATGGAGGAAGATACATTGTGTTGATGATTTCATTTGTTTTTCTTAATAATCTCTGTTTGTTGTCAAATCCATTCATCATGCTGGTAAATTCAGTTGTGTTCTGTAGTGCAGATGAGAATAAAAATATATAATACTCGGATTAAAAATCTGGAATCTGTGATTGAAGTATGGCTTGTAATCGAGTATGTTGAGAAGGATAGTAAATTCAAGTCACGCTAGTAAATTTACTTAACCAGGCTACCTACCGGTAGTTATATTGTTTCTAGAATTTTCAGGATACAGAACACTTTTCAACATTTTAATTAATTATCTTCATTTGAAACAAATGCAAAAAATTAGTAACCAAAGATATTTTTTCTCATATCTCACCAGACGCCAATCTGCTATTGCATTATTGTTAGTTACTAATCAAAATTTTAACGATCAAACTCACAAGATCAGCAAAATGATTCATTTCCAGCCTGTAAGAATGCAGTCCCATGTCATGTTCTAAATTATGTTTCAAAACTTTTTGAAGATTTGTTTGCCAAGTTGATTTCTTTGATAATTCCTCTGCCTTATTAGAAAAAAATGAATAAATTAGTTATTTGAAAAATAGAACATAGATGAGAGAAATTCTAGCTAAGGTTTATTTTGGTATTATATTGGCTATATCTATAGAAAAATTTAAAAACTTGATAATGTAAGGTTTTTTATGGGGGGTTAAAGTTCTACTAATAAAGAGATGAAAAGGGAGATCCCCTTTCCACAAATTTTTTACAGAAACACAGTACAGTAAACAATTTAAATATTGATTTGTGTGGGTCACTATGTAAGGCATTCATCAACGCTCCTGGCCATTTTATTAGCACTGTGATCAAACTATCAAAATGGGTTGTGATAATACAGAATTATAAAATGTCTGAATGTAGACAGTAATCATGAACCGTAGGCACACACTCGTATATCTGTATTAATGACTTACTGGCTCGTAATTTTTGTTAAAAAGCTTCTTCCATTTCAAAAATTCTTCTTCCCATGATTGTTCCCAGTCGATATGAGCCGCATTGATTGCATAAGCCAACAAAAGCACAATGAACAACTTCATCATAGTTTGATTTGGGTAGCTCAACGCTGCAGCAAAATTATATATATTACACTATTTTTTCAATTGGGCTCAGCCTACTTATTGACAAATTTATAGGATTAATCTAAAAAATATGAGCTTTTGTTCAATTTTGCCATTCAATGTTACAACCGCCACAATCCTGCAATGTCAGAACTGCAGAATAAATTTTAGACTATTATGGCATGAGAATATCAAATAATAAACAACAATATCGAACTGGAACTGATACAGTCAACAGTGACGGTCGGTAGTCAGATCTGAAGGTAGTATTGACCAATTGGTAGATGTAAGAACTGAGGTATCGACAGCATAAACTGAAGACTAATATGAAATTTCCTTACGAGTGGTTGCATTTATAAGCTTTCCTTACATGCTGACGAATGCGAAACTACGAAAAAAACTGCGGGAATTAACAGCGATCGCGTGACCTGCAATACTTCACTGTAAGGGCCGAAGGGGGCGAAATTGAGCTGCTGCAGCGATAGACAAAGAGCAAATCAACAAAAACAAAGGCTCCGAGCAGCGTCCATCTGACGTCATGCAATCCCATGACTATGATTCACTTCAAACCAACGGCCTCAAACAGATCACGATAGACTACATCCGATATGGAACAAGGACCTATAAGAGGACTTATCGTTATGTTCGACATATTCAGAAGTACGGTATCGTACGGTATTATATCCCTGTCCCAATTATTACCGCTATCTCTAACGTTAACGCATACTATAAAAATAGTATAAACTTACTTATAACTACAGACCACTTGTATCTACGATGAAAAACATATAACCCTGATATGTATTGGTTCAAATGTGCTTAGTATACGTAAGTGAAGATGCCAACACTACATATCTATTGCGGTGCTTTTCTCTTTGTTCCACTTCTACAGAGAAACTATTGTTGAATAAATTTAGCATGATATTCCTTTCAACTGACAGATCGAACGGCTCCCGTAAAGTAACGTCTTGTGTATCCCCAACTCAAATAAAATTATTGGTTAAAAATTATTTTGAACTTGAACTAGTTACTTATAAATAGATACTTCTTAAAAAGTTGTGTCTTTCCTATATTTGCTGCTCAAATTCAGCAACAATGTGTTGATGACTGGATTATTCAATATGATTTCAAAAATAACTTAAATGTAGAACAAATGTTTGATTTAATTTGTTCGAATATTTCGCGAGGTTACCTATCACTAGAATTGGAAACGTACGAGGATTTACTATGCTTAGGTTACAGACAGGCAAGCATTTAGAAAAAGCAGTTACTGTATCCGTATTCTCCGTATCAACACAGAATCTGCAACCTTCATTCCGTTCCAACAGATTTTAGTTTAACACGAATAAGAATGATTCTACTCTGAATACCTACTGTACGTGAAGTACGGGAATTTATATATATTAGATCAAACGCATAACACTGCCGCTATAATTTTCAGTTGCATACGAGTTTCCAGCAGGTTTTATTGTCCCCTGGGGTGCCCACAAACAGCTTGAGCCTACGCACAGATGATGAACGATTGTCGCTCTTGTATCCCGTAATCCCCTTTCAAGTCACATCTGTTATTTACGTAATTAGCGACCTATTGTGTTACTTTTTACTAGCGTACATGAAAGATAAAGATTTCACTTAAGGAGGGAGTGCAAGCGCTATTTCCTAAAATAATATTAATTGCAACAAAAGCTTAGTTCGCCGAAAATAAGGAATACGAACTTATCAAACATACCGCCCAGATGTATAAATAATAGTTATATTATTATTACTGAATAAATTGTACAATAATACAGCGAAATGTTTATCAGCGGAAATAAGGACTTTCGAGTCCAGATTCTTTTTGAGATTTACGAGATGCAAAGGGGGCAAAAACAGTTTGAATTTCCATTATTTACCTCGAGTTATATATTATAGTATTGTATCGACCATTTTTTCAGTATCGGCTAAATCTAGACCGATATATTCAGCTTTTTGATCTTATCCAGTTTTAAAAAATAAGTTACGATACAGACGTTAACATTATTTTTTGCAGAATCTTGTTTGCGGTATTTGCCTCGTTAATCGGGAACAGGATGCTGACCTGTTTTTAGCTATTAACGGATTTATCTATTTCCGATGCGAAATTTTTATATTGACATTTTCAATATTTCATACATATAGAAATATATCAATTGAATATTAATGAATTTTCCAATGTGTGAAATACAAAATACGACGTTACACTGGCACAAAATCCTGCGTACGCAACTCAATGTATCAGCTTGATAGGATAAGTAAACATTTACTTATTTTATTTTACCATAGTATCATCCATAGCAACCAAACTCTATGATTTTTCTAATTGAACACCGAGATTACTAGCGTCGGCGCACAAGGCATCTGAATCAACCAAAGCATCTGGATCACAAACCTCAAATCCGCATTATCTGGAATATCTTTTTTTCAAGCTGAAAATATGTGCACGATGAATAATGCTCACAGACCGACTATTGTTTTAATCCGTCTGCCTTGCACACTTCAGTTTCAGTACTAAAAATAGCTTCCAGCTTTTAAAGCTAGAAGCTTTTAAATCTAGAACCATGTTTCTAACTTTCCTTATTAAACGTAACGTGGTAACACATTTCTTTGTGAATTCATATATCTGTTCGCCATAAATTTGCACTGTTCTGTAACAATGTTGACTATATCATTTTGTGTTAAAATTGCATATATCATCACAGTATGATAAATATAAGGCATTCAAGTCTCTTCTTCATATACGACCGACAGAGATTGCGTCTACCGTTATACAATTACGTTTAAGGTTTCACAGGTTGCTCGTAAAATTATACAACCAAACAATTGATATATATTCTTCAGGGCAGGCTCAGGACGACGGTCCTATGGTCGACCACTGGGTTGGAGTCTTTTGGAACAAGCCGTATGTATACGTTTCGTAGTTTCCATTATTGACCGAGAAATTTATACATTTGAATCACCCAAAAACATTAACATAAATTATTATGTTATACAAAGCAGATTTCTTGGAACCTCTCTGGGTTAGATATCTAATTAGAATTAGATGCAGCGATATTGATTCGCCTTCTGGCAATTGGCATGCCCATATCACACGGGAAAAAATAAAACTGTCTATGAAATTTTGTTATTGTATTAAATTTGAAATATTTGTCATTTGACAGCAGGCGCCACGAGTGTATGAGTGCATCCTTCGCAGAAAACGCTGCTTTCCGGTATAGAATTTTAGCCTACTTTATCACAGCTATTTCTAGACAATTTTTGATTACTGCGATTAAACTACAACTTCTAAGAAGGCAAAATGATGATTCACTTTTTTGCTTCATACTTAAATTTCTGAATTCCGACCAGAAACTAACGAATAGCATTCCAATTCGCGAAAACGAGATATTATTTGAAACCATTACTGAAAATCTGTGCGAATGACAAAAGTGTCTGAGCGGATGCGAAAAGGCATATTGTTACGTGACATTTCGCATGTTGCTGATTGGCCAATGTTATAAAATAAACAAGGTAGTCGATGCTTGGAGAAACATACATTGGAAAAAAAGCGCTATTATTATTTTGTGTTATTGCGGGTCGGATGAAAGGACGCCACGGGCCAGATCCGGCCCGCGGGCCGTAGTTTGGTGACCCCTGGCTCAAGCGAATAAACATTACTATCGTGGCATAGGTATTTTGCAAAAAGTATTAATTAATTTTTTCATGTTAGCATGGGTTCGCTTTAGAAAATGTTTATTGTCCAATGTCCATACCATTTGACTTCTCTTTTTCAATTGGTAATAAACCGACGTTTCTGTGAGTTATGCTAACGTGGATGATATAAAGGTAAAAATGATGGCTTGTTTTCTCAATTGTGGCACATTTATTCGATTTATTATTGAACTAAATACCGGTTAGAAATTTATGTATTGTGTGAATATGTTGTTTTGTCTGAATGGTTGTGCATAAGAACCGACCAATGGAGTAGTCCACATCTACCGAGCACCTCGCGAATCTTTATCAATATCGGCATACAATAATATATATATGGGATAGGAGAATATATTACAGGGTGAAAAATATAACTTTGATTGACGCTTTGCACAAATGTTATATTCTCTCAATAATATGCCTCAAAAGACCTGGGCTCTGTTTTGGCGTGGGTCGCTTTGTAAGAAAAACATTTTGATATCGATCGACCAGTACTAGAACGAACGTCACTCGCCTAATTGTGCCAATACCATATGTGGAAAGTGTAGAATTAAGCATCACACCTTCAAAAAATTATGCAGCACGTAGTAATTGACTAAACCATGTTTATATAAATTGTATGCGGTTTGTTTACGTGTTCATTGCAAATGATTGTGTCCCCGCCTCTATTGTATCATAGATCATATTGTGCAAAATTTGCTTTTATTGATATGCCGCTTCACAGCAGAAGACGAAGAGTCGCTCCTCTTTTTGTCGTCACAAGAGGAATTCACAGCGTAGCTGATTTGGATAGCAGCATTGAAGACAGATTTCAGAATGAAGATTACGTTCGCGCCGATCATGGTACGTTTATTCCCATTGAATTTTCATTAAGATTGTGTTATGTAATATAACTCGAGGAGCAAATATAATCATTTATGCGATAAATATCTTTCAAAAACTTATGAATGTACATACCACGGAAAGTAATGAAAATATTTTACACTCTCATTCATGTATTTACATTGTGCCAGTTTGATCACAAATAATATTCGTTTCACGACGTAAGTTAGAATTGGTGTGCCTTAATGAACATAAGATGCTAAAACAGATTGAGTCAGCATCATAGTAACGTGAGTTTCGCATAGCTCAGATATTTCAATCTACGGTACAGTTTCAAGAATTTTTCTAGTGGTCTTTCGAAGCAAAATTAACCTTAATTATTATTACCATGTGATGGTGCTTGAAACTGGCGTAGTTTTGTGCACCAGGACTATGATATATTTCTCGTCATATGTTCAAAGGTTTCTTCCCGATATGATGAGGATCTTGGGACGTCATATATCATAAAATGTTTGACGGTTTCGATTTCCAAGCAAAGTCCAATGCCGTGGCAGAAAATTTTGTGTAGATGATAGTTTAAACGACATGGTCTGTTTGTAGTCCGAATAAGATTATTTCATATCTTCGAGATAATTTGCAGGAAAAGTGATCTTTAACAGATGAGGAGAATAATTTGTAATTATCTAGTGCGATATACTAATTATTTCCATTCATGTCGCACTTTGACTTGATAATCGACTTTCTCAAATTCTTAAGGTAATTAAAAATTAAAACTTGCTTCAATGTACGTCATCCGATTCGTCGATAATAAGTGTTGCCTTTCCTTGCATCAAAACACAGAATATCATGTCTATGGAAAATTTTATGCTTGAAACTATTTGTATAGTAAATAGCACATTATCGAAATTTAATTGACGTTTAGCAGAAAAACAAAAGAATGATTCCCCTATGTAGGTATGTGTTTCAATACAAGGTCGCGTGCCCTATAAGGTGTAAACCCACGTATGGGAGGATTACAAGAAATAATTGGCTGACTAATGAAAAGATGAATATTTATCGTTGTAATAGGATATTCGCCGATAAATATCGATTAATCCCAGACTTGATTTCCATGCATCTACATGGCACTGCAAATAGCTGGGCTAAAATAAATACATTGAGTTAAAACTAGTGTGAAAAACTCGAACGAACAAGCTATTTGTAAATATCTATGAAATAAACAATGTGATCTGATGATAGATTTTAAAAGCTTCGAACAATGTGAATAATAAAATTGTCTTAAGCATCACTACGTAAAGGCGGGCGACTGTAAAGTCGAACACAAAAAAGAGATGGTCACTCTGAATATAATCTTTGTAGAATTTGTCAAGATATTATTTGTAAACACTTGTTCGTATAAATAGGACGTTCGGGTCATCAACCATTTTTACGACTAAGCTTGAGGCAAATATTTAATCTTGATATTTTATGGAAAGTAAACACTTTCATTATTTGTCTTGATTTGAGAAAATGTATACTTAAATACAGTGTAGATACATGGTAAAAATCCTAATAAATGTCAGTAAAAACAGGCGAATGCAACAATGTATTTATAGAAAATGTAACAACGATTGAAACAATAAATCAACAGAAGCATATGGTATTCTACTACCATTTACTGTGGTAGCTTCTCGGAAAGCGGGTCTGTGTTTGCTATATACGTTTCAGATCGTTTTTAGTAGCTTATTCATGTTTTACTGTATGTTCTTTCAACAAGTCAAATCTGTTCTATTATATTTTCCTTGAACAAAATTGAGTGAATTCCGACACACCCTTCCAGCAGATGGATTTGATGGAAACATATTACAACCATAAGTACAACACAACAGGCACATAGGGAAGAAAATAAAAAATTACCGCCGTTTTGAAGATTAAAACCTCAAGTATAGAATGAATAAAGTAAAATGCGATAACGATATAAAATTTCTCATGATATTTTCTTTAAAAGTAAACTTCCATTTGTATGCTCTTCGATATGAAGTATAGCGGCAGTGAACAATCCTCTTTCTTGTTTTCCTAATTAAAATATTGTGCTTGACTTATTTACAAGTAATATTAGCGACCGCATTTTATCACTGTGGGTGGTAGCAATAAAGTCAACAAATACCGTACCTAATTAAAAGCAATTAAAATACTTGTTTTCAATACAGAAAACAACACTGATCCAGATGTTGGTCACAGAAGGCGAACCGATAAGACCATCATGAACTCTACACTCAATTTAGCATATATATATCAATATATTAATTTAGTTTGAAGTTATTCAATTGTAGTTTCATTGGTATTTTGTGGGATTATTAATATATTTTCATTAACCTAATTGTAAATAATATAGAATTGATTTATTAAATCGCCCAATGGCAATTCCCCAGCATCATTGATGGAGGAATACCATTCAGCTAGTGACTGGCAGGATTCGATTTGTTATGTTTAATTATGTAGTTTTTTTAGTCTCCAAAAACTCTGAAAACGCCAAATAAAATATCAATTCGAAATTAATTTCGTCTGTGCGCCTGATTTAGCCAAAGCTCCGCCATGTTTATTGATTCATATATTGTAGTATTGAATAATACAGTCAACATGTCTTCCTCGTTCTCATTGATGACGCTCTATCGTTCGTGGGAATGATAATATTTTGTTGAATGGAATACTCATAAAAATGAATGTCTTCATTTCTCAAGATAAAAACTTCTATTCCATTTGGATCGCTGTCCTACCCTTCATGTTTTCCGCGCCTCGATCGAATCGGCGCGTCATGGATTTTTGGAATTGAAATTGATATCAGTCAAATTTTTAAAACTTGTAATTGTATGTCTATAAAATTGTAGTCGACCAACGCTGGCGCAGATCTAAATTCTGCCAAGTACATGAATTTATCCTCGAGCCTCGCGCATTTACGTATCATCAGTGTTTGTCGGGGTGTTTGACGTATTTTGAGATCCCTATCAATGTTGAAGTTTGTTTTTAAAGCGCTCAATTAGTTAGGTAAAACGTATTTATCTAAATATCTCACCAATTGTGCTTAATTCTGATACATTCGCGTCGAACGTTATTTATATCGGATATTTTACAGAATTTTTGGTCGTACAGATACGCCAGGTCAGCTGATGTATTCAATATTAGGACAGAGGTAATGAGAACCGACCGGTATTCTTATTTTACCAAAGAAAATTGTGGTTATATTTTTTTTTTCAAGTCGTAGCTTCCATGGGTATAAATACGAGAGAGATTCTAAAAAAAATCCACTACAGCTTATTAGATGTCGCGCAGAGCAGGGACATGTCAGTCAGGGCGGCGAGGCCGCCACCTTAGCTTAAACCAGTTTCATACTTTTCATTTTAAATAATAATTTCAATTTTACTGAACTTTGGCGTTGCGGTTTGATTTCATTTCACTATACATGCAGCACTCATTCTGATAAGTTGGTCTTCCCGCTAAAAAGTAATGTGTTATCCTATTAGCTAAGAAATAACTCAGTTGATACAGTATGCCACCGGAGAAGGGACATTTACAAGGAGTTTTCTGCAAAATTTTCGATTTGTTTTTCATGATATCAGTCAGGAAGTATTAAAAAACTGAACAAAGGAACATCTTAAGACCAATAAAACTATTTTTGATGCAATTTTAGTCCAAAATTTTGATAATTTTACAATGGGTATATTTCTATATGAAGATTATACAGATGGAAGCAAGAAAGACGATGAACGGCTGCACTTTGTTAAGAAAATTCAAGAAGGATCATTTGGGTGTCGGGAGGTGAGACGTTTTACGTATAGGCCTATGTCTTTCAATATATTTGTAACTGCCATTGTGAAATAATTATTAGTGACTTCTGTGCAGATAAATGGCAAATGTCTGAAAAAGATTATATAAATATGATCATATAAATTCACACATATTACACTCGTAACGTGCAATTATGTATACGTTTAACTTTTTACTAGATTCAAATTATATTGAGAAGAATTGATAAATGTAAATATATCAAAAAAACAATAATCAGGTCATAAGACTACAGCTCAATAATGTGATCGTTACAAAGATAAAATAGATATATTGATGCGTTAATCTCCTGCTTATGTCCTCGGACTAATTTTTTTCTTGTCAAGTGTTATATCTACGTCGGTAGGTATATAATAACATTTGGAATGCTAACAATCTTTCTGGTTCCTCATAACCTCCAATAGATATAAATTGCTAGAGCTCAGATATCCAAATTTATTCTCGAATGTACTCGAATGAAATTCCTAGCATTTGGCAACAAAGTGGCAACGCGATTTTAAAAATTTTTGCATAATTTTTTTTAAACATATTTATTATTATTATTTTTGAAATGTGGAGATTGATTTAAAAAAATAGAAGAAAGTCACTTGCTAAACAGAAAAAACTGTGTATAAAGTAATACAGAATGATAATGGGACTGTGATAAGGCAAGTCGAATGATTATAGGTGAAAGGAAACTTTTACAAAGTGCTCGTTACATTTCTGGCATTTTAAAATGAAAATATTCGTTGACATCGACTCTTTTTACGAGCGTAATAAGATCCCCTTAAAAGGTTTTGCTATTTACTTACGCTTGTAATGATTTCAATCGTGATTTAACTCAATTTATGAGTTTTATTACAAATTTTTAGATTTTTTCATATTTAATATATAAAGTGTATGAAAGGTTTCATTTCGCATATTTTCCTTATGAAAGGGGATGGTGAGGGGGGTGGGGAGGGTGTCGAAATAACGTTGGAAAAAGTTTTACGACCACTCATCGGCTATTCACCTATTGTATCACAAATCAAAAAAATGTTGACCGCAAAAGATTTCTCAAGTAAATTAAAACGTTTTGGTCGTTCAGAAATATTTACTCGAAGTAATAATGTGGAAGCGTGCATGAAACGGAGTGCTCGTTAAAAGTATATTATTCATCGGCCTACATGACAAAATATAAAATTTGTAATCCGTTTCATGCATCGACATACAACTGTCGTAGTAATAATAACTGTTTATGTCGAAATCCAAACGTGGCACATGAAGTAAATCAGCGGGTTAAGATTTGTTTATGCTCGACACAAAAAACAAATTTCAACAAATCGTCTGTCACTTCAAATCAAAATCTTGTCAAAATCTTATTCCCCTCGGAATACTTTTTCTGACCATAACGTAAATTTCTGTTTCACGCTTCCATTTGAGAAAAAAATCAATGACATTTATGTTTTGTAGAAGCTATTGAACGATAAAAGTTTTAAATAGGGAATGCTTGCATTATTCATTTGACAAAATGTTCAAATTTCCAAAAAAAAAGAAAAAATTATGTTAAAACTGCAATGAAAATACGAAAAATGGGCTTTGGATCTTAAGCTCAAAATCCTTTTAAGGTTACACAGATCTCAAATAAAATTTTCTTGTTCCGGCTAGCCGTTTCAGTCGGGAAGGCGCATGAAAAGTGAGCCTGATTACTCGAATTTTTTTCATGTACTCTTTATATATGGCGGAATATTCTGGAGGAGTCATTGTTTTCTAGGGTCTCAGTAGTTTGACGAACTTACAAATAATTAAAATGCTTCTTGGTGAAATATGCTTGGTTTCGAAAGAACATTACAGGTTTCAATAAAAAGATTCCATACTGTCTACACAAAACGGGCAAATTCATTAGAAAGAATCGTTTTTATATTTCACACTTAATCGAAAATTTTTGCAATATTTCAATTTTCAGGTTTGAACAATTCTTTCAATATAAATGTGGAAATTCTTATAAAAAAACATGAATACCCTCTTTTTATTTTATTTTTCGTTTGGTGACGATTAATATAGATTGGATATATGGGTTTGTGTGAAAACAGATGTTTAGATGCCAAATATCGCGTATAAAATGCATTTTTGTAAAGTTTACATGAAAAAAGAACAATTTATTTTTCACGCTTACCTTCGTGAATAATTCATAATTATCAAATGTGAAATAAATTATGGGAAAATAATGAAATTTCCAAAATTTTAACATTCAAATAATAGCTGATGTTATTCATCAGCGACGACAAAATTTCACTTATTCGGAGTAATTTAATATAGTTGAAGTGTTTTAGTTCATGCCTTTGCATCATTTATGTCAAATAATTAAATTTTGTTATTTTTCTAACGCTTGATTTTATGCAATAAAATCGTTTATTTCAATTATGTTAACTCTAAAAAACTCGAATTGTGTGCAATCGGTTATTGACGCTAAATATTAAGTTTCAATCAACACGGTTGAACGCCTTGTATATTTAAAAATGGAATTGCAGCAAAAGGAATTTGACTGGACCGTATTCTACAAGTCCAGTCATAATAAATGCCAGGCGATTCTCACGATGTTGAAATCACGATTTTGATATTTCGGGTTCGAACCCAAAGGTGTGAACCATGCCATAAAAATTTGCGATTTTATTCACAGAAATGGGTGGCGTTTGATAAAAAACAACGACGTAAAGTCATCCTAGAAAAACTAGAAAAGACTGAGCTTACGACTGCAAGATCCTGCAGGATAAAATCAGAGGATTTTAGAGAAGCTATTCTTCATAGATGCGCAAGAAAACATCCAGGGATTATTTACTTCAATGGACTGGTGAAAGACAACCTTTCTCATATATACTTATCAGTAGGTCAGTATTCTTGAACAAAATTTAGAGCTATAGGTAAATTGCCCGGCGAATTAAATTCTTCTCTATTACGACGATAATGGGATTAGTTAAAAAAAATAAAATAAACTCGCGTTCAAGCTCCTTCAATGTCCTTCACTTCGTCATAAAGTAATAATTTTTGTAAGCTATAGCTCAACAGAAAGCAACCCAAACATTTAGAATGAAAATCATATAACATCAGTTATTGCTTTAGTGGGGATCTATCGTTTGTCCATGCAGGTATATCGCTAACTCTAACTCAAAATCAGTTACCTCCATCTTGGTACACATACTTAAAGAGCGCCCAGAAATGGGCTTATGACTTTTAGTCCTGAAAACCAAACATTCAAAAAACGTATGTAATTTACAGTATCTACAATGTCTATGTAATACCTACTTAATATAAGTAGGGTATCTGTTTTAATAAGATTATTTTTTATTTTTTGAAATATATATTTCATCAATATGACGCGCTCTGCATCCTCACCAAAAAAAGACACATGTATGAATATTAAATATAAAGTATAATACCGCAATGCATCCTCAACATTTAACAGTGTCCTTAAAAGGCCCACCAATATTAATTGGGGCTCAGAAGGTGGATATCAGAAGTGTTCACTTTCGTATGCTATAGTGTAAATTCAAATTTATAAGCGTTAAGCTAGAATCTATGATGCAAGAACTCGAAAGGTGCTTCTTCTTTGTGACGTCACAATAGCCTCGTGGTAAACAATGATAATTCATTATGATGGAGCAATCGTAGATTGAGCATGCCACATAAATCTCTCGTTTCATGCGTTTCGAAATCTTTGGGATAAAATCTGAGTTAACAGATAGGTGCGCATCATTACGTAAATAACTTACGCAATTTGGTTATTAGCCTGACGCTTTATGCACATACATGTCGTCGTCACTCATATAAATTACCTGAAAACAACGCGAAGTGTTTGGGCGAACAGGTCATATTTTGACAAAAAATCTATTCCCGAATTACCATATAATTTTGTTTTTCATTTCAGTCTGTCAAGAAGAGTCGATAATTTTATCAAATCTAATTAGTAATGCCCAATAGTCTGGTACCTTTTGATTTGAAAATGAATAGATTCATCCTCTACAATCAACAAATCATATATGTTGCAACACTAAAAAAATTCGATCCAGGTTAGGCCCGTATATCTCGCTACCAGCGTCGTCGGAGAATCTACGCCTCAGGTGTCTTGGAATACCCGCCTCAAAAACATATGGCGTGCGGTCTTACGTCATTATTCGCGCTTCATTAGTCAGTAGCGAGGCACATTTATTCGCTCAAAATTGTGCCTAAAATCGATATTTCGCAGTCCTTGCTTGAAATGCTCATCAGACAGAATATAATTTAGTTTTTATGCCTCAATAATATTGAAAATAATATTTAATGGCCAGCTTGGAGAGGCTCTCGGGGCACACTGAAAGTTCGAACTAAAATTTTACGAGTCATCACTTCGTAATTCGTCCGAATCTTTTAATTGTTCTTTTTTGTATAGATATATAAATATATGTATATGAACCTTTAATTTTTTACCATTCTGTTATTACTTTTTAAAATACAAAAAAAATAGACAACTGTATCTTTCCTTTTTAGAGTACCTTCAAGTAAAATCTCTTGAAACGTTGATGAAATCTAATGTTGACGATGGTTTTCGAGTCAACTTTGTCCAAAAAGTGTTTGAGCAACTAGGTGGCGCCATAGAGCATCTGCACTGGCTTCAAATTGTTCACTGTGCTATTGTCCCAAGCAATGTTTCAATCTATTGTAACTATACCATCAATGAAAAGGAATCTGATCGAGATAATAACATTTTAAGGTCCGACTTATCAGGCCTAAGAGTTAAACTCGGTAACTTCAAACTCTCTCGAACAGTGGGCGACAAAACAAGTTTTTTTCGGGATAATTCTTCAAAATATGAACATTTTTGGTTGTTTTCTTCAACCGAAAATACTTCAAAAGAAATGGGAAAAATTTCAGTAGCATTGGTATCCCCTTCAGATACGACATGTGCCCACAAAATGCTTCTACTGGATGACACAGCGAAGCCAAGTTTCGACGTTTGGTGCTTCGGTGCTATGTTGTTTCTGTGTCTCACCGGCCTGTTTCACTGGAATTGTCAATGCAACAATGCTGTAATTCGGTCTGAAAACACCAAGAACAGAAAAAATATAGAACTACAAAATTCACAATATTTATGCACAAAGCATGAGTATCTCAAGTAAGTGTATTGAAATAAAAAATAAGAGAGAAATGCTCAAATATACGAAAACGAAAGTAAAATAAATTCCGCGTCAAAATTACAGCCAAGGTACTGAAAATGTGAAATGAATTGCCCCATTAGTCGTGGAGAAAAGCGATTTTCCGCACCATCACCAACAAGAAAAACAATTTGCAAGACAAGCCGCTTTGTGTCCAGTTATAAAAAAAATTACCATATCGAATATGATTTTTCTTCTGTACAAACCCTACTGATCGCCATCATCAATATACCTTATCTTTTCAGATCGTCGCGGCACGTGGGAAGGCAATTTGACAAAACCAGGAACGGACGTGGTGGTAAGCTAATACCTAGATCCCGTTTTACTAAATATGTGGGATATTGTATATGCGCTGAATAATTGTTCATGTTTTGAACATAAAAACTGTTTATTGGACATAATATCGTGCGTGTAAACTATAAAATTATGTTTGCAATATATGTGTTCACAGCCGAAATTGTTATTGTATAAAGAAGGTATATTCACCCTCAGAAAAGTTGTTCTGGTGACGATATTTCTGTATTTTTTTTTTTCACAGCAGCCTGGAAATCGTTAACGTCACCTTTCTCGAAGCTAATGGAAACAATTTTGTCACCTATGCCTGATGACCGGCCAACTATTCACAATGTATTGCGCCATCCTGCGTTCGCTTCGAAAAGAAAATGGATGAAAACCTGAATAAAAAAAATAAATAAAGAGCAGAAAAACACGACCTACTCTAGTTATTGTTATCGGTGAACTTCTCATATATAAAATATATTCTGAGACAGCAGTATTCTGTAAAAGTATTGATTTCCCCGTTCTGAAGAACTTTGTCGACTTGTCAAGACAGTGTCACTCGGTGTTTTATTAATATTGAATTGTAGTTAGAATGTTCATGCTATTGTTGCAGACAATCGCACATTCGCAATACATTTGTTGACTCAAACTTGAACTTTGTCAACTTATTCAAATTTGAAAACGAAAACATTTACAAATAAGACTTCCCTACAATGCCACATATTCAGACGAAATTTATAAGATGTTTATGAAAATATCAACGAAAGATGAAGGGAAGTATTCGATTCTTCAACTGTTTAAAATTGTCAGAGATAATGGTAAAAATGAAGTCAATGTTTTTTGTGAAGTGTTGTCAAAGTATTTTATCGTTCATTCCAGATAGTTCGATTATGCCGGCACTTTGGATTCTGTGGGTTATTGATATTTTATTCTTGTTAATCTTTGTTTAACTGCATAACAAAACAGCAATTTATAAATGTTATCTTCGAAATAAAATACACCCTCATAATATATATAATTATATGACTCTTAAACGCTACCTAACGTTTCAAATCCAACACTAGATTTCCATGAATCAGATCCTTGATTTTCAGGTCGACTCAATCATAAAAAAAAATATTTTGAGCAATTGAAAAATATATTGAAAATTTTGCCTAATCTATACCAATCATTTATTGTAAGATGCACTTGTAAGGCTCGTGGACTAACGTCAATACCATCCTAAATAAAACGATGAATCGTCTAACAAGTATCGTTTGAACTTTGTTGTCTGGACCAGAGGAAATAAATCAAACTATTGCTTTACCACAATAAAACTGAGTGAAGCTCTTTGCGAAAGATTAACACAATCTTGTGAATTATTACTGCCCAAAACAAAGCTCTCCAGTCTCATTGTATTTAAGGTATAAAAAAAAATTTCAAAAGAGAAGAGAATAGGTAAAAATACTTGCATTTACGCGTGCTATTTGGTTCCCTATAAAACACACGTTCGTTTTTAAAATTTAAAATGGTTATACCGGAAGAAAAAATCAAAAATTCAATTCAACTCTTAGAAAAATAAACAAATCTTTTTATTTCAATTTCCTCAAAAATCTTGCCAAAAAATGTCTTACATGTTTGCTTTAAATATCCTATTGTTAGTCATTCGCCAGGATAAAGGATAACAATTACTGGTGTAAGCCAGCTGAATTACATCTTTTTATAATGTACAAAAGTGGATATCAATGGCTTCTCATTGGCACTTCAACACAATGGTTAGCTGTGACTAATTTGGAGTAAAAATTCAGATGGCTGGACACTTAACGTTGACTTGAGTACTCGAACATTCACTGTAGTGATATACACAAAATTTTCACTTGTTTACCACAGAACATTTTGAGGTCGAGCGAGCTGCTGAGCTGAATTCATATGTACATTTTGTTGTGAAATGTATTAAGCGTGTAGCTGAAGCTGAAAATTAAAATGTTGTCACTATACCATTAGAGTGGTAATAGTAAGATAAATAAGTATTTTGAAGATAATATTATGGCTTAGGTTTAGTTTCAAGTTCTTATTATGTTTCTCAACGAGGAAAATGAATTGTTATCCCCGCCGAACTAAGTAACTTGGAAAACCCATATACAATTGTACGTAAAAGTATAATATTGAAATATAACTTAAAATTTCATCTATAACAGAAACGGTAGTATAGAGCGAATTTGACAATTTACCGTTTGGAGATGAGATTTTTTACTCTCTATATTAACGATGCACTGAAATACGACCACCCGCCCATATTTCTTATGTCATAAAATCTATTTGGAGTTCGTATTCTTGACGAAGAGAAAATTATGTATTCCACATTATGAATAACGTGATTGCAATGAAATAATACTTGACAACATTTTTCAAATACAAAGATAATTATTTATGTATATATTTGTATCGGATGGTTAGAAAATTTAAAAGTTGAAGATTCGTTTAAACTCGCTTCAGACATCATTTTGTAATGCAAAAATAATTCTATTGCAATAGGAATGTTTTTTTTTAGCAAAAGCATGCCCCTGTTCTTGACCCATCCTCTTTAACTTTTTTTTCAAATTAATTATCGAGACTATAAATAATGCAATGATAACCAAAGAGATTAGAAAATGAAGACTATAAATGCTATCTTCAACGAAGTCAAGTTGAATGTTAAACTTAGATCGGTGTAGTCACTATGAAAAATGACAGCAACTAACATAAGCATATTTGTACGACTTTTAACCTCCAAACTGCTCATGAGATGATGTATCATTCAATACCACATTAAAATAACGTTGTGTACACATATAGCGAAAGAAACGTGTCAAGGTTCTATGTTATGAAAATAATGGAGACTTATAAATGTATTGTATATTTCACAGACCGCTTCAATTTACTTAAGTTTTATGCGAAGAAAAATAAAACATTATCGTTTACACACGACAATTTCTAAATCTAATATAAACAAAGAAGGACGGAATATAATTTGACCACGGGATTCAAAAGCTTATATATGACGCAGAAGACCAGTGTACCTTTGAAATAGGACACCATGACAGACTCAATATCTATCAATTGATCTTGCGAACAATGAAACTTCTGCCGCTTACACACACGCGTTACTGAAAGGCCACCAAATAAACATGGATTCATCTATACACAAAAGATCGAAAAACGTTATCACATTGAAAAAGGGTGGGCACGAGGATACAGACATTCTTTCAGGCACACCTGCGAGGGTGGATGATTCCATTCCAACTGAAGTAAACACGTTTTTAGGCGAGGCTACTACAAGAGACAACAAACCAAAAATTCAGGAGGAAATCGTTACTATCACATCCACTGGATCTAGGGCAAACATCGAAGTAAGTGTAAACTGAGTCACATATTGTACCACAAGTTCATTATAATCGAGTATATATTTTAACGTCAGTTGTGGAATGTACAAAAGTTGTTAGTGTTGTTGTTATATTGGAGGATAGGTCGTAACGGTAGTCTGTATAGATTACAAGATGTTCATATCATGTAACATGATTAGGACTTGATGAAATGCAAACTTTGAGTGTACCTTCCGTAAGCGATTCGATCATATGATTATGTAAGCATTTTTTGTAGTATATTCAAAGTCTTCAAACACCGCCGAAATGATTACCAAGTGCGCGTTGGAACATAATGCGTTGTTAGAGTGTTGCGTTTTCCATAATGTTGCGATATGTTTTGGCGATTTCCATCAGGTATAAAAAAAAATTCAAATTATAAAAGGAGGCCTGCGCATAACCAAGATATAATTGAATAACAGCTTAAAGCACATTATATTTTATTGATGCTTGTATTCTAAATTAATACTGAAACAACTTCCCAACAAGTGGTTGAACCCAGTTAAAACATATTTGCCTACGGTGTGATCTCAATTCAGGTATACGATAATACCATAGACAGGCGTGTGATTGTTTAGGATTAAGTTAGACATAAACATTATATATTTCGTTAATGTTTTACACTGTATCATCTTGTAAAACAAAATGTTAAATTGCGTATATTCGTGTCAGAGCCTTGTGCTGTAATTTCCTCATCACTAATTTTCTGATCTGAAGGTTTTCTGAGGTAAAATTAGGTTAGGTGTTTGGCCCGCCTTTAACTATCCTAGGTTAGACCATGGTAGAAAAACTTTTATGCGAAGAGCCGCATTGAGCAAAGTTCGTAATTTTTTTGAAAATATAATATTATAAAGTTAGAATTGAATATATAAAATATCCCAAATTAACGTATTTTAAAGAAACATATTAGAGGTGACAACGTAAAAACATCAACTGACGCTAATTTATTTGATAAATCTAAGTAACTCATTGTTAAACTTCGCATGAATATTTTCCCAACTTTCTGGGGTCACATAAATTGCTTGCGGGCCTTAGTTTGCTCCATTGCTCCAGTTTAATCTAAGATATACAGAACATAAACTAGCAACGGTACAATAACGTGATAGTACTTTCAGGTGAACTCTCGAGGCAATTTTCTCAATGTTAAAGTTAGGGTGAAATGAATCATTTTTCAATATTGAACGTTTACTCATGATAACGTAACGTTTGCGTCCTTGTACTTGTATCTATCGGTTTAATATTTTTTCAATAATCAGCACTGACAAGTGGCACTTAACGTTTATTAAACTATTATAGCATTATGTTTGCTCGGCATATGGTTTATCAGGTATGAATAACAGAGTAAACAAAATACATTGTGTGATTCAATTTGATAAATAATAGACTGGCACTGACAAACACGCAAGAAATGCGTGTATAAGATGAATAATTTTACACAAAGGCTGGCTTTCTTATAGAATCACAAAACTACGTATTCTGAAAATTTTGGTCGATCATTTTTGTCATATGTAATAATCCATATATGAGTTACAGTCGCGCAGGCAATTTTTAAAGGGCAATTCCATTTGCTTATTCTTTCAACTGCTTTATGATAATGAATTATTTATGAATACCTATATCATATAAAAATGGAGTGAAAAGTAAATATTTAGATTTATTCAAATCGTTTAATACTTTAATAGATATGATTTATGAAAATAATTTGAACCGACATAAAACGCCAATTTACACTTACTTACATAGAAGTGTTTTTATGAATCACAGCAGGCATAGTCAATTCGTTGTGAATTATAAGTCTATATTTTTCCTTAGTGAAATTCAATAAATTTCATACTGAGTAAATTGGAAAGGAACAGTGAAACATTAATACTAGACAAAAGATTTATGCAAATTCAGGCATTTACATTTGCAATATCTAAAACCATAAACAAAACTATTTGTCCATATTTTCGTGTCTTTTCTGCTGATTATTGAAACAAATTTATATGGAATACGTGAAAAACAAAATTGAAATCTAATTTGGCCGACATCTGTATTAGATAAGTTAAGGCGAAAGATCCAGACCATTATTGGTTGTAACTTTGAAATATATTACATATTCCATTTTACGTGGTTTATTAATAGTGTACAAAGCACTTGTGCGGGTTGCCGCATTACAAATGTTGTCGTTACAAGTGCGACACGTACTGTCGCTAATACCCTCGCTGTGAATGTATAAAGGCTTATCGTATTCGCACTATCGTATATTATTCTTAAGTTGCTGAGATTAGACGGTCGCGTTATTCAGGTTATGGTTTGCCACAAAGCCGCCGATTCGTCCCCATAGAGAAGTGTGAGATTATATTTTTGTTAGAGTAGAAAATTCGGCATCAAGAGCTTTGCAGTCTTCGGTCAGCAAATACGGAAATCTATATAGAGTAATGAAAAATTAAGGTTTTGAGGTTTTACGTGGGTTACTAATTCTCCCCAATTAACAGTTTTTAGGCACGACAAACGTACAGTACGAATCGATGTATATATTTTATTCAACGTTTTGATATTATTTTCTTTGCTATGGCGAATGACTCGGAGGACTGAATTAATTAATATTCCTATCCCCTTAACTTACCTAGGGATTTTCTGGTTTCGTCCCACAGAACCTCCAAAACTGTTATAATACCTAGGCGGTATCAAGCGGAAGATGTGGTTAAACAGGGGGGTGGGATCTTAGGGTAGATAAATCTCGTGTTGTAGTCCATTCTATTGTACCGCCGATTCGCGACTTAACGTGACAATGGTAATAACGATAATCATGGTAATTATACAAGCGAGCATCGGTTCATTTCTATATTTCTTGAATTTACTTTATGTATGGTATCGAAAGAATTAAATTCTAATACAAATGCCTTCGCGTAATATGTTTAAAACAAGACCTGACTTCCCTCTATTGGTTCAGTAGTCCACGACCCTGTTTTATTTCATTATTCTTTTTGAAATGCTATACTTCAACATCACGATAGTTGCTAGCGTAAAAATCTGATCAGATCGAACAGATCGTAACCATATCACGTGAATACTGAGTACAGTGGGGTTTATCGCGTTAGCGAAGGCGTTTTACTGTTTTTCACTTTATATATTATGAAGCAAAAAATGTTGCATTATTGGATAAGATATAATTTTTTCAACTTTTATTTATTTAGAATACAGACGAGGCAAGCGTAAAAGATCCGGAATTTGTATATTACAATAACACTGGAGGAAAAATTCATAGTATATTTGATATACCGGCAAGCAACTCGTCAAAAACGAAAGTAACATTTCCGCAGATTCTAACCGTTTTTGCGAGTGAAAGTGACAAAAAAGTCGTCGAAAAGGAAGCAAAAGATTGCATTCTACCTTCCATATCAGAAAATAATCACGCCGAAGTTGAAAAACTTGATCAACATCACGAAAAAAAATCTTCAAAACCTCAGAAGAAAAAAACAGCTGGATTATTTGACTTCCGCGCTCTCGAAACTCAGGAAATAGCTCGCAAAAAGCAAATCAGGCGATTGAGGCAACAAGGATACAGAGTCAGCCACGACTCACATCTTGATTCTCGATTTGTCGCACGACCGTACGAAGGATCCTGTGATAACATAAGTAAGATTAAAGACGCTTCACCAAAACGATCTCCGAAACACAGTCCGAACTCCAGTTCACCTCGCTTGGAGCAAAAGCAGGGCTATTATACGCAAAACGACATAATTGCTGATCCTGACGCATTGGCTAAAATCGAGGCAGCTTTCAGCGAGTGGAACGCGCGCAAATTGAAAGGAGAACGAAAACTGTTGAATAAAGAAAGAAAAAGAAGTTCTTCCCATTCGCCTATCCGGAACTCTTCACAAAGCACAGTACATGACAAACCTTCGTGTAATGGAGAAAAGTTTCTGAATCAGCAGGGTAATCTTAGACATCGAAATTTTATTAGAGCAGGTAAAGTACACTTAATTAAGTCACTGGAAAAAATCTTTGGAAGTATCAATGAACTCGTACATAAGGTATTCTTTTACATTCTGAGGTTTCGAATGTCGAACAAGATGCGTACAAAATAACAGCACACATAGCCCTATAGTCAGGTTTGTCCATGGGAAACGTTCCATCGAGACAGCACACATTTGTATTCCCCATGGGACACGAAAACCGTATGATTGTCAGAGAAATGATGGTAAAACATTTCGTTATGAATTTCGTGTCCATATATTTGAGCATAGCTCTCTTGTTAGTTATAAAGAGGGGCTGATGGACACATGCATGATAGTTATGGATATAAAGTTAACAAAGTCCGTAAATTTTGTTGTGTTGCATGTCTGCATGTTACATGTAGTCCTATTTAGTAGACGCTAAATAAATCTAAATTTAACAATTTTATTGAATTTTATTCCAATGGGAATCCCATAGGATGGGATTGGACAGGCATAATTGCTATAGGATGGGAATGGGACAGAAAAATATGTCCCATGGACAAGCATGCCTATAGTTATCATTGAAAACAGCGAATTTTATACTTTTGCTTGTCTTCTCAATTTGTTCATATTTTTCCCATTTGCAAGTTGTTTGGCTATATATATATATGTTTGTTTTAGGTATTGGAGAGTCATCAACAGGGACAACTTATAGAGCAATTGCCTCTCCAACGTGTTCTCGAAGGAGGGTCCCACCAAAAACATTTAAGACCCGACCTAATTTATCAATAACTACTATCATTACACCGTTACAATCAAGTCCTGTGTTGACAAGACAGACTCACACAGGTTCAAATTCGTTGACTGTTAAGAGTGAACCCGTAGTCTCAGATCAAAGCGGCAAATTTATCAGGAATAAAAAACTGAATGAACTAGAAGGACGTTTCTCATCATCACTGCCGGCATTAGATTTACACACGCGAAACAAAGCACTTGTTGAAATGGAACGTAAAAGCCTTCGACCTCGAACCTCAAGTTTGACTAAGCCTCGTCCTCCATCAGCTGGAAAATCACCAAAACCGACCAGAAAAAGGACTCCAAAGACCAAAAATGAAACCAAGAATGGGATTGGTGACAAGGGAAAAAATGGCGAGAAAAAAGTGAGTCCCAAGCACTTAAGATTGTAGACAGAAAAACGGCCAAACCTCTTGAAATTTTCAAGTATGCAGATAAGTCAAGGGGATACTACACAAGACGCAGCAACAAGTGGATTTACTTCGCGACTAAACAAAGATATATAGCCCATACGCGTGTAAGATCACCAAGTGATATTTTAAACGAAGCATTCTGCCAACAAAAGTTAATTTTATTCATGCATAGGCCGAAGGGTGTCACGAATGCTGCAAAATGTCTTGTTCCTTCAATGGGGTGGTATTTTGTGTGTTTTCTCCAAGTGTATTTTTATAGGTTCTTTCTCCCAATTAACCCTACTCCCATATTTAACTCAGACACATAATCGAATGTCATTCACATACCATACTTTAAATCATTTTTTGCGAGAAGGTTGTTTACGCCAAACGACTTCGCCTATGTATTGTGGATAGAGCCTTGACCTCAAATATGTCGACTAAAGCTTATTGTTTTGTGAATTTTAGCCTGCATCGCCAGCTGCAACAAGGAGAGTGATGCTGAACACATCACTTCCAACAGCTTCACCCACATTTCAGAGGGCGATGAAGGGGATGGATCTACCAGAAAAAGACTATTCAGAAATATTTGTTCGCAACAGACGAGATAGTATATTACAAAGTTATACAATTCCCGAAAATGCGCTGAACAGTTTCAGAGATGACCACGAATTGGATGCAGTAGAGTCAAGTAGTACAGCACTAGAAGAAATGACTAACAAATTTCGAGATGATTTGAAGGACTATAAAGGTGGCTGGGATCCAAAAACAGAAGAGAAAAAACGCAAATCCATTTTGAAAAAACGCAGACAATCCGTAGACGATATGGAAATTAGTACCAGGAAAAATTTAGCCAAATATCTCGAGTCTAAGCTCGATATTAGCGGAGTTGGAAAACTACCTTCAAAAAACTTGAGCTTTACATGACATAAGTTATTAAAACGACTTTTCTAGAGATGGAAGTGTACCTAAAATGTTAACTTTTTCATTGTCGGTATTGGTAATATTACTGGCAACAGTAATGCAATGAACATCGCAACTGTTTATTCATACTGAGGATAGGGCTGGGCATCGACTGGGCAGGCAACAGTAAATTATTCGAATCGGTTCAAACAATAATTTCGAATCGCCGCCATCTTCCATCTAGGTAAATCCCTCAATCTTTTTGTGGAGCCATATTTTAATAATGCAATTCTGACATCTGACCATTATCTCCTAGTGAGTTATTGATGAAACATGGTTATTATTGTGTGCGACAACTCTGGGGAATTTTCTGATAGATTCAATGTATTCAGTAAATTATGTGCCTGGATGACCCATCACAATAAAAAGTCACATACAATTAGACATCTTCAAAGTAGTCGAGATTCAATTCGAAAAAATATTCGATTCCGAAATAATCAGGTATTCGAAAATGCCCAGCCCTACCCGAGGATTGTGCCAACGACGGTATTTTTTACTGCTACTCACTCCACCAGTTATTATATAAGCAATTTCTTCTCTGCACGGGGTAATAGAATATTGCTGTGGTCAATTTCAACTATACAACTCTATCACATTCAAACAATACTCGAAATAAAAATCTCGGTATTGAAATATCGGTATTTAAGAGAAAAAGTACCACTTGCAAAAAATAAATGTTTGAACGCTCTTTAAAAAAAAAATTACGAGTCCAATAAAAGCGACATTACATGTTTTCTAACTGCATTGAATCTTTTGTAAACGAGCGCATTATGGACATCTCTCAAAAAAAATGTAAATTCTTTTTGTTCAAACATAGCAATAAAATCAACTTGAAGTTGATGATATCCAGATTCCAGACACTTCGTCTCATACAAACTGTTTGATTTTCAATAAATGATCTTGTGTATACAAAATATATATATATACGAGTTAAAATCATTCACCGATGTTCTGTGTACTATGTTTTTACCTCTCCGTCAATATTTATAAAGCCAATGACATCCCCTAAATTTCGAATTAACAAGCAGTTTGGTCGATCTCCCCTTCAAATAGCAATATACAACTCAGGTAAAGTACATGACTTGTGCGATGCAACTTCAGACCAACGAAAACAGTTTGGGAGTCATGACTCATGAGCACGCCTACAAGGGAATTTGTAAAACTATTCGGTGAGATTATTGCATCACAAAATACTGTATTAGTATGTAGAAGTGAGCCCCTCGCCTTTTGGCTAATTAGCGTTCTGTAGGCTTACTGCGGATGGACAGTATATAATAAGTATATTTTGATTTTCCCGCAAAAAAAAATCATACACAAAACACAAACAATGAACACACACAAGATCTGGCAAAACCTTTGCGTCAGTTCACCCACATTCAACACACAAACATATATTCAAAATAAAAATACCCGAACGGGTATCGTTCGGGCGTCAAACTTGTGTAACATAAACACTCGGTGGGTCCCAATTATTAAATACACTTTGGTAGGATGGAATGCATGGCTATGGTATGTGTATCACAACAGTGCTTTTCCTACAAAAAATATGAAATAAAAAACACTCGTTGACGTAAAGCAATCTTTTTGGTTTTCATTGATTTTTTTTGAGTATTATTGATTTATTGCAGATGTTTGAGAATGTTGAATATACTTCAACGACGACACATTTTTTGGTTATCGAATGGCTCTCTCGGGTCCAACAATGCTACGCGGAGTCAAAGCCACCAACCTCTGAGTAAAGGTCGAGTATAATATTCCCTCGGAGGAAGATTAAGTCAAGCTCCATTTCTATCTCGAAACGACTGCAAGTGAAATATTTCATTTCAAATCATTGCTCTAAACAAGTTTGCTCACAGATATATCCTTTATTTATAACATTACTGAGATGTGCGAAACCTTGAATTAAATTTTTGGCCGAAAAAAACTTACGGTTGTTCAACAATATTTGATCCTTGTCCTAGTGACGAGAAAGGTGTAAAGAATATGAATATATGATATTGCATCGCCTTCTGGCGGTAGTGCAACAACTATGGAGCGAAAGCAGAACTCGGTAAAATAAATTCAAAACGCAGGATCAATCTAAACTTTCTGCAAACGTACCGTGACTGAATAAAAAAAGCTTCCATGCGAAATTATTCCTAGCAATCTACCTCTACTTATTAGACAAAAACTTGACCTCGAACGAGTAATCTTATACGAGTTTGGCACATTCCTTTTAAAAAATGAAGTCAGAAAACGTAAACTACGGAGCACGTTTTACATCTCATTACAGCATGAAAACCAACATGCCTTCGCAATTTTAGTGGTGCACAAAAACATGATTTATGGTTGGCCATCACATTCACGGGAAACCAATAAACTTGTCACAGGGCGACATAATACACATACCACTATTGTACGTTCGAAATAGAAACATTGAAGCTGTTCGACCTGCAAGTAATCCCCACCATCTACTGAAAAGCATCGAAACTCCAGATGTAAAATAAACAAGACGACATTGTTTTAAAATGTTTTATTTTGATAATAGTCATTCTGTACACACAAAGATTCATTGATGATACCAAATTTCATGTCTGATAAAATAACACTATTGAGCAAAAAATAAGAACGACATGGATTTTGTACTGTATGCTGCTAAAATTGTTACATCAAAACACAGTGAAGAAAGAGCCTAATTAAGAACTTGGAACAAAAATTTCCTTAGATGCAGAAGGAGTTGTAAGTTGAGGAAGCCGAGGTTTCATAGTACAATGTTGACGAGTTTAGAATTCTATTCAGAGGCAGGTTATCAATACATGGCGACAAAATTCAAACAAATATTCAAAGAAACATACTATTAAGCAATCAACAATTCTTCTTCATGCAAAGAGGTCCAACATTATCTCCAGTATCTATATTGTGTTGATTGTGAGAGCCATCGCAATAGGGGAACTGTAAAAATATTTTCCAATGTTGAAAATAGGACAGACAAACGTTTATAATTTAGCCCTGAGTGTAATTTAACATTTATTGATATGAACAGCAAGAATTAAGAATGCAATGCAAATTTATGACAAACCAGCATTTTCAAAAACCAGCATAAAAATTAATTATTAAACGAGTAGTATACTTTCAATTGGAGTTTCATACTCCACTCCATATTTGAAACTGCACAAATCACAATCAATAGAATCTGTTCATTTTCTTCCCCACTATTGCTCATATTATGTTTACAATTTAATGGTCATACACTAGATTATGTTAGACATACTCTAAAACAAAATAATTAACTCTGAGCAGTAACAATCTGGTTTGTGAAAACTTTTACATGAATAAAAATTGGTTTAAAAATTATTTCCATAATTCATCAGTCATTTTAAATCATGTGTGTATATTCTATTACTTCTACTTTACCTCAATGGTGGATGGGTGGGTAATTGGATATTTTAAACTTTATTTCAAGCCATGCTCACTCCCCATGTACTTTTACATTTTGTTTGTTAATAAGTTCCATTTTTGCGTTGTTTAGATTAAGGATCAAAATAAAAGGATTTTTGAATGATTTACTACATGTCAAAATGTATCATAGTTTTCGTTCCTGTATTAATCCAAGTTTCCACAATCAAAAATCAAATCTTGTCTGAATAAAATCCTATTACATTTCAATGAAAAACTTTTTTTAATGACTCCTTTCACAGCATACAAGACATTAGACACTAAAATGCAAAAACCTTTTATATTTTGAAAGGTGAGAAATATTTTCGGTTTGACATTATGTAACAAATTTATTACTCTGGTTGACGTGATAGGCATGTGATTTAACCTGTGGTGTCGATATACTCAAACCAACACTCTAGTAGTCACAAGGCTGTCAAGACCAGAGTTTCCTGCGTTAGACTGTATTGAGGTAAAATTATACTAAAAATCATCAAAAACCTTCCAAATACATGCAAAAAGACTAGACCAATCTTGGACGCACAAACATCAAATGCAATGAGTTTGACAATAACACACACACAACAAGAAAGATTCCGGTTCTTTTGAAAATATTAGGTCCTCACATATTATTCAGAGTGAATTCCGTGAATAGGTATCATGTAAAAAAATATCTCTCACTTTTTTTGATCTCCAACACCTGCAGTAAGCTGCTTTTTCACCTAAACTTTCGATATCTACAACATCAACTACTTTCGGAGAACCTTTTTGAATCGAAAGATTCACAACAGAATCATCATTTGCACCAGATTTCCTCTTTTTGTATTCATCTATATATGGCTTTGTTGCATAATATCCGATAGCACCAACAGCTCCAGAGAAAAATACAAGGTGAAACCAGTCTTTTACTGCAAAAACAATTAGGACAATACTGCAATAATAATAACATTTCATTATTTAAACATCCGGAGCTGGTAATTTTTTAAATAGCATTGGTACAGTTTGATTGCAATATGGTGTATAGTCAACTAGGCTGTACTTGTAGTAGGTTACGATTCTGACCCCCGACCAAAACACGAAAAAGGGACACAAAATATCATTATTCGGGTTTTATTTTATGCAACTTACCTGTACCACTACAATTTAGGCTGTAACGTAAGTGCTATGTAATAAACTCACCTGACAAATCAAGAAATCCACTCAAGGTTCGTGGAATTGGAACACCTTCCAGATATGCTGGTATTTTGTCTCTCACCAGAGTTGCAAACAAGTGAATCATGATTCAGTAATTCGCACTGTACCAAGGTCGCGTACAATTTTCATATGTATGAACGATTATTTGGAGTCGGCAGTCAGAGTCTGTATTTTTAATGATCGGAGTATCCGATTCCGCCGCCTTGATGTTGCTAATTTCACGAATCCACCTACGTCCTACATAATTTGATGTGCACTATTTGAGCTAAAATCCATTCTTTGGGATGTTTTGTTCCGAAGACATGAATATTCATTCGATATCTTTTCATAATATAGGTGTTCTATAATCTATAATCATCCAATAGAGATTCAGATATTTTATTTCCGTCGTGCATGAAATATTGTAGCGACACAAGTAATAAGAAAAAAATGCTAACAAAAAGATCAATTGAAATAGAGAGACATACAATATTTCCGCAATTGACGCGGGGCCGCGAAAGACTACCAGAGTCATCGTGTCAGCAGCCAGTTTGTTTTTAATAAGTTCCCTTTTTTGCTTTGTTTAGATCAAGGATCAAAATAAAAGGATTTTTGAGTGATTCACTACATGTCAAAATGTATCATAGTTTTCGTTCCTTTATTAATCCAAGTTTTCACAATCAGAATTCAAATCAAATCTTGTCTAAATAAAATCCTATTACGTTTCGATGAAAAACTTTTTTTAATGACTCCTTTAACAGCATACAAGACATTAGACCAGTGGTTCCCAAACTTTTTAGAGTTGGGACCCACTATTTATTACCACAGCTTATGGCGACCCATTTAACTTTTTATGACATAACACAGAACACAGCAATGGCTAATCATCGCAAAACTACCGTGTTTCCTCGAAGATAAGACCTGGCCCGAAAATAAGATAATAATTTGAATTTTCAAAATGATTTTAATTAAACTCTAACCTTAAAATAAATTTAAAATGTGTGGGAGAGGAAAGGTACAATGACCTGAGGTAAGGTGAAGATCACACCACTATTCAAGATTGTGTGATGTCACAATCACAATTATGATATTTGTCACTTGATTTTTGTATAGGAAATACAAATAAAAACATTGGATGTCGGTTTTTATATAATGTTTATTAAAAAATCTTGTAATTTTCTACAATGTAATTCTATTTTTGATAAAAGAACACAAAAGACCTCTTCAAAAAAAAAAAACCATAGTGTTATCTTCAAAAGAAAATAGATCTAAATTTTGTCTAAATTTCGGGGAAACACGATAAGAAATGCTGTCCAGTGTACAAAACTGCTATGCGTAAAAAAGCCACATGGACATTCCTTGTGTAGCAAAATTTGTTCCTTTGAGAAGATCGTAAAAAGGAAACTTCCACAGATTAGAATTTAAATTCAATTTATTTTTTGAAGATTTACGTATTCGAGTAAACACCGATCCTAATAACCGGTATAATTAATCAAAGCTTTCTACATCTTTTCACGGCCCACTAAGATTCCTTTTGCGACCCACCAGTGGGTCGCGACCCATGGACCTTTCCCCGAGCATCGACTTCCTTGTTTACTTCGTGACATTGGCCAATCAGCAAGATGCGAAAGTGACGTAACAATGCCCCCTTTTCGCATCCACTCAGACACTTTTCTCACTCAGACAGATTTTCAGGCGTGGTTGTAAACATTACCTCGTTTTCGCGTTTTTGAACTCTATTCGTTAGTTTTCAGTTGTGTTTCGGAAACTTGAATATAAATCAGATAATTCAATAATCACTCTGCCTTCCCAGGAGTTTTAATTTAATTGCAGTAATAAAAATTAGTGTAGAAATAGCTGTGATAGACTAGCCTGAAATTCTTTACCGGTACTTTTAAAAAACAGATTGTTGTATGCGATGAATCATAATGATGGTTAGAAACACATACCCCATTTTACAGGCACCAACTCACAAAAGCACTCTTAAAATAGCCCCGAAAATTTTGCAATGGTAAAGTATAGAAAGAATTTTCCGGGGGTCAAAGGTCGGGGAAAGGTCCATAGTTTGGGAACCGCTGACCTACATAATTTGATGTGCACTATTTGAGCTAAAATCCATTCTTTGGGATGTTTTGTTCCGAAGACATGAATATTCATTCGATATCTTTATCTTTTCATAATACAGGTGTTCTATAATCATCCGATAGAGACTCAGATATTTTATTTCCGTCGTGCATGAAATATTGTAGCGACACAAGTAATAAGAAAAAAATGCTAACAAAAAGATCAATTGAAATAGAAAGACATACAATATTTCCGCAATTGACGCGGGGCCGCGAAAGACTACCAGAGTCATCGTGTCAGCGACACCGTGTTTACTGAGTTCAAAAGCAGATGACGTCAAACAAAACGTCAAATAAAATCAACTAATTATTCTTTAACAAAAATGGGAATCAAATTTGGCAAAATAAAATCGAGAGAGTCAGGAGATTACTGATTATAGAAGTCAGTTTAGCTTATTAAGGTAATGCTCAGATGAGCGCAATACCTGTGAATATTATGCACAACAGTAGAGGGATTTGTGAATATTATGCACAACAGTAGAGGAATTTATTTATTTTTGGTTGACAAATCAATAAATTTGTCTATCTCAGTTGCTTAACATTCTATTTGGAATGATACCGCTATGCCTTATTTTTTTTTGGGGGGGGGGGGGGGGGGGGGACTTATGGGGTTTGGCCTATTTTGACAGAGCTCGCCTTGCCGGACTTATACTGCCAGTGCCACGCCTGATCGAATAAACAGCATTTCGTAAACAAAATAGGATAATGAAAATGGTTTTAATGTTCTTCATATGGCAAACGTTTTTTTACGCGACCTTGTGGGTAGTACTGGCCTTTTCAAAATACTGATATATCGTAACGTCGCTGTTTTCACCCTCAAAACGGGTATTATGAGTACAACGCCATAGAAAATGCAAACTGAAGTTTGTTGAGATATCAGATATAAAATAATAAAACATACATCAACGACATCACAGTTGTTGAAAATTATTGTGGATGTGTACGACTCCGCTGTTCCCAATCAATCTATGACATCGGATAAAGTAGCAAATGAGACCAACCACATGAGATTTTTCTCTACTGACATTTATCCACTTACATGGTGACGTAATAAAAACATGCGTCATTCTAATTTATCACAGCTTGGCCTTCAATATCTATCAGTCTCACTCTCATCAACCACATTTTCCTGAGAAAAAGTCTTTCCGACTGCAGGCCATACCGCTAAAGATTTAAGGTCTGGTTGAATAGGCAAACGTGTAGAAGCCCTATTTTTGAAGGGAAATTCCGATTTATGACATAATTAATTAGGGGAAAGTGGCTACCGTACTCTCACGTTTTCTAGTTGTTCACCAGTTTTCTTTCATTTACATGTAAGCGCTTACTGTTTTCGTATTATTCTTGCGCTACTTGGTCACTGTTTTGTCATCAAGGAGAAACCTTCGTGAAAAGACCAATTTGCATGACGTACATTGCATTAGCATTTCATATTATCTTATAATTACCTTCAAGTGCAACCTTTTTGTGGATTTAATTATTGGAAATGTCTGCTATAATACTATAAATTCGATGCGTTTCGAACACCAATGTTTCGAAAATTCCCAGTCCTAGTTGCGAGGCACCTCCCCGCGGATTTTTGTACCAATAGGTAGCTGCGCCGTATTGAATACGAAAATCAGAATTGGCTACAAATATAACCTCCCACATTAACCCTTTCACGGTCATCCTCTTTCAACAAAACAACGCAAGTGTACCCTGTACGTCTGTATTTTAAGCTCACACTGACAATTACAACGTATGTACCGTACGTAGATGCAACGATTAAGAAGCCAATAATGTTGTGATACACTTTTGTTTTAGTGTGATAATAATCACTTATCTGATTTTTTTGTATATCCCGACCTTTACACCCTTATATATAGCTGGTATAGCTTATTTAAATTAGTTGCGCAATGTTACAAAAGATGGGCTCGACAGTTGAACTAGTTTCTCCTCTGCTCTTTTATTCTTTAATTAGGGAATTACTGCAGCATACTTTCGCTCAACTTATTTACGACTAAGAACCTTTGCCCTATAACTTCCTTTAATCCTTACTTCTGGTTCTTCAGTGAGCTGCCGATAGTTTCTTTCCACTCCCCTTCCGCCTCTCACCTTCTATAGGCACTGTCTTCCACTGCAATTCAGTCTAAACTCTAAACAGTGGAATTCGAACACATCGTTTTACCTGGCATGATTTATTAATACAGAATGTCTCTGCACCATCGCTACCGACGAGGATCGTCTGGGATTAATACCTTACTAAATTTCCACAACATACTGACAGAACACTTAGCCACCTCTGATGAGGCTAATAGGTCTACTTCGTACACAATTATGGTGGCCTATCGTTGTCACGCGTAAAATTGAAAATAAAAATAAAAAATAAAATAAAAAACCAAAAATAAAAAAATTGTTGTGAAAAAACATAAAAATAATTGAAAAAAAAATGATAAAAAAATTAAAATTAAAAAAAAATTGAAAATAAAAACGAAAAAAAAACGGAAAAAAAAATAGAAAAAAAAATTTAAAAAAAAAAAAAAATTGAATAAGAAGAAAATAAAAAGGTTGACAACGATGGTCCGCCTCGTGGCCCATCGTTGTCACGCGTTTTTATTTTTAGAAAATTTGCTTCTGCTTGGGACCAACGTTGTCAGGCATAATCCTACGCGCACAAATGTGTTCCCTGGGTTTCCAACTCACTACTGATTTTCTTGAGCAATATTCAATATGAAAATGTTCTATAAATTCTCCATGCTACAAGTTCAACAAGAAGTAATATATTTATAATAATGATAAGAGAATATAGAATTGAATACGAAAATTCGGAAAAATTTTTTTTTACGTGTAGAAGGAAATTTAATTGGAGAATGCTGCTTAACTACTTAGTTATCTGAACACTCGCGATGCCGGTACCGTACCGTCTTACCAAATACCGGTAGTCGGTTATAGTCGCTTTGCGTCTGACCGTACCGGTAGCCATACAATCACTCATGAAAAAATGGGAGATACGGATAGTCTCGTAGAATATAGACTACTGAAACACTCTCTGCGCCTGCCCCATAACGTACAGCCGTAACGTACCGATCCAGACAAATGATAAATCGCCCGTGTTCAACCATTTATTTCAATCCATACCTCGATTCTAGTAGAAT